AAGGATATCGAACGAACAACAAAACCCAGTAACTGAGGCAAAAAACGGGGAAAGGTCACTCGATAACGGTGAGGAATGTCCGCCGGTCGAGTTGACCGAAAAGCCATTAACGAGCCGCGAAGAAATAAATGAACTGGAAAAGTCAAAATCGGACGGAGAAAGGTCAAACTCCGATCAATCAGAAAGGTCACCAACGAGAATTCGGGTAGCGAGGAGTCACCCGAGAGTAGCCGCACGAAATGGGCGAAAGGCAAAAGAAGGGGACAAACCCCTGCTCAAAAATTCGAAAGTGAAAAAACTTAGCGAGTCGCGAGAAAACGAAAGTGACCTTTCATCAGAAGATGAAGGAGTTGATGAGCGTCCACTCGAAAAGGCAAACAAAGGTCAAGCCACTGCACAAGAATATGAGAGCAGTAACTCCGACTCCGAGTGGACGAGTTCAAGCGATAACTCAACAACTTCGGAAGATTCAGGTGTAAGTGACCTTTCGGAGCAAGAGGATTTAATGGACTTGGATGAAGATGACGAAGTAGATGAGGAAAAAGAAAAGGATATTAAAGTCAGAAGATTGAAAGTGGAAAAAGCTAGAATGTCGAAGGACGTGATCAAAGTTTACAGCGATCAGCGAATCAAATTGAAACCGTCAAACTGCACACGTGTAAAGGTCAAGATGGGAAAATATGCACCGGCTCAAAACAAGCTGATGTTTACACCGGTCCCACAAGTGGAAACTGAAGTGCAACCGTTGGCAGGAGTGACGGACCACAGGGGAAAATACTTCGAAATCGTTATCGCAAATCACAGTAGCAAATACCGAATCGTGAAGAAAAATCAGCTTCTCGGCTACGTTGAGCCGTACGAACATATGGAGAATGTAAAGGTCAACGCAGGGACAGTAAAGAACGTACTCGAAGACCCTGAGGTGGATGAGACAACGAAAGCAGAACTTAAAAAGATAATCGAAAACCTGAAATTGGGACCTGACCTTACCCAAGAGCAGAAAAACGACGTGTACAACGCGTTTTGGGAATTCTGGAAAGTCTTACCCACATCAAAGAAACCGTATGGAGATGTGAAAGGGGTCACCCACGTAATTGATACGGGAGACGCGAAACCAGTCAAATGCAACCCGGCCAGAACGAGTTGGACAGGCCGTGAGTTTATAACGAAACATATCGAAGAAATGTTAGCACAAGATGTAATTGAACCGTCAGATGCCGAATGGAGTTTCCCAGTCGTACTGGCAATAAAGAAAAATGGCGACGGAACAATGGGAACGCGATTTTGCGTCAATTACATCATGCTCAACAAGCTGACAAGAAAGAATAACTACCCGCTACCAAACCCGGATGAACTGCTTGACGCGTGCGCAGGCAACAAATATTATGGAAAAATGGACCTACAAAGTGGATTTTGGCAGATCCCAATGGATCCAGCGTCAATCAATAAGACGACCTTTGTCACGCAAGATGGAATGTATCGGTTTAAACGTATGCCGTTTGGAGTTTGCAACGGACCAGCAACATTTCAATTGTGTATGGACAAAGTACTTTCGAAAGCGAAAAGAAAGGGTTGCGTTTTCGGGTACATCGATGACGTTATCTTCGCCGGAAAAACTTGGGGGCGATTTTCATGCAGAATTTGAGAAACGTCTTAATGAGTCTAGTTGAAGCGGGATTCACGATTAAGCCAACGAAATGCGAATTTGGAATGAGACAAATGGGATTCCTGGGTCACATACTCAGTGAAGATGGAATTCGAATGGATCCGGAAAAGGTCACCGCGGTCTCAGAATTTAAACGGCCTCAAACAGAGAGGCAACTAAGGTCATTCCTTGGATTGGCGAACTACTACCGCAAGTTCATAATGGGATATGCACAGAAGACTTCCCACTTATATGAACTGCTGCGACAAGATAAACATGTCAAAAAAGACTGGACAGCAGTACATGAAGAAGAGTTCAACAGTCTAAAACAACTGTTATGTGAAGGTCCGGTATTGGCAAAGTTTGACCCTGCAAAACCGACCGTAATCGAATGCGACGCAAGTAAAGAAGGAATTGGAGCTGTGCTGTCACAAGATGGACATCCGATCGCGTACGCCAGTCGTGTTCTACATGGAGCTGAAAAGAATTACGGTGTAACGGAATGGGAATGTCTGGCAGTAGTGTTCGCTGTCAGGAAATTCAAGCCGTATATAGATTACGCAGAATTCACCGTAAGGACGGATCATCAGGCGTTGACGAACTTGCTAAGGTCAGAAACAAATAAAGTTGGAATGAACCCGCGACTGACAAGATGGGCTATGGCATTACAAGGTCACCAGTTTAAAATTGAATATAAACCGGGAAAATACTGTGACAATGCGGACGCGTTATCAAGGGCGCCAATTGAAGGTCCGACGTGTCACGAAGAAGAATTTGACGAGATTCCGAATTTCGAGGATTACAAGAAGGAGTTTGATACGAAGGAACCGGCAATTGAAGTTGGACAGCTGTTCCTGCAGATGGTGGAACAGAGGGAGAAACGATTAAAGGTCACTTCAGCTACGGCGAACGAGTCGGCTGAAAACGAAGCAAAAGTGAACCGAGTGAGAAGCTGGTTGCCCGCCGTTAGTGACTTAAAGGTCACCGGACTTGACGCGGAATCTCAAATGCAGAATGGAAAGGTCACGGGACTTGATGATAGAGCGGAGAATAGAGATGACCTTTGGGAAACGGACAAAGTGGCACAAGCGATGAACGAATGCCCAATCAAACTATTGAGATTCCCAAAACAGGCGAAAAAGCGGTATAAACCGTTACCACGATGCAAGGTCATCAAGGATTGGAATGAACTCAGTACAGCGACAGTTCGCATTGTCAACCTGCAAGGCGACGAAGAAGAGGTTGATGATTCAAACTTGCAGTTGCGAAACAAACAGCTGAAAGATCCTCATCTGGCAATGATCATAGACGAACTGGAACACCTACCAGACGCGGAAACAAGATCGAAATTTGAAGTGCATTACCAGTTATGGAATGGTATATTATACCGAGTAAAGGATAAAAATGGAAAACTTGAAAGGTCATATGTGGTACCGTTGTCAATGCGAAGAGCGATAATCCACGCATTGCACGACGAGAAAGCAGCAGGCCATTTGGGATTTGAAAAGACTCTGTCAGCGATAAGATTGCGCTACTATTGGGACAGAATGAGCACTGACGTGAAGAATTACATACTTGCTTGCCAAGGATGCCAATTTCGCAAGACACCGAGGAAATGCCCACCCGGTAAACTACAGGAGATAAAAGTTGGACACCCATTCTTCCGAGTCTACGCGGACTTGAAGGGACCGCTGTTGCCAACGAAGAAACGTGGATACAAATACATAGCGGTGTTTATTGATCAACTGACGAAATATGTGATTGCGGTACCAATGAAGACGGCAACGGCTAAAGAATTCGCGAAAGTCTTTGTAAAGCACGTGATATTGGTACACGGAGCACCGCACATCCTACATACGGATCGTGGACGGCACTTCACAGCCGAAGTGTTGACAAAGGTCACCAATGTGTTTAAGATTAAACACACATTTGGAACGGCGTATCATCCAGAAGGTCAAGGCCAAGTAGAAAGACAGATGCAGACCATTGCTGATGGCTTGGCGCAATACCTAAAAGCGGGAAATGAGCGAAAGTTTAACAAGTATCTCCCATATGTTATTTCGGCGATGAACAGAGTCGTGCACGCCACAACGGGATATTCAGCATACTATATGCTACACGGCAGAGAAATGACAATGCCGGAAGATGTGGTTACAAAAACGAATATACCCGATGATTACGGAACTCCAGACGAATGGGTGGAGACCATGAAAAGAACTTGACCTTTGCCGAAGAAGTGGCGAGATGTAACATCAAAGACGCATATGAGAAAAATGCGGAAATTTATAATAAGAAGAAATCGGAGCCGAATTTCAAGGTGGGCGATTTGGTACTTATACGACTTCCAAAAGATACTAAACAAGGAAAAAAAGAAAATCAGTCGGATTTCAAGTCGAAGTACGATAAAGTGTGGAAAATTCTTAGCTTCCCGCGAACAAACGAAGCGGAGGTCATCGAGCAGAATCCGAAGAAGGAAGCGGATCTAAAAGTGGTTTCTATTGATCGGTTAAAGCCGTGGCATCCGCCATTACCCGACGAGAAAGATTCGCAACGAACGTTGAACGAAAAAGAAACGGAAGAAGCCGAGCTTGCTTCGAAAAATGGTACCAATCAATTTTTCGAACCACCTCTGCTACCTGAAAGGGAAAAAGTGGATAAGGGCGCAGAGCATACTCCTCAAAAAGAACCTTTTTTCGAACCACCTCCGCTACCTGAAATGGAAAAAGAAAACAAACCTACAAAGAAAAGAGGAAGAAAGAAGAAAGAGGATAAGGATTTCGAAACAGCAGTCACAATCAAGTTGAACGCGGAGGCTGGTAATTTGGCAGAAAGGTCACTGGAACAAGACAACGAACCGATCCTCTAAAGTACCAGAGCGTACTTCCAAAAAGGACCTGCAACAATCCTTTTTCGAACCACGCACTGCTACCGAAGATAAGGATGACCTTTCGAAACAGCGTACGGACGCTGAGATGTCAGAGCGTGACCCGAATTTTTTCGAACCACGCACTGTTACCGGTAATGAGAATGACCTCATAAAAAAGAGAGAAGAGGAGATAGAAGCGGTCAAATCAAAAGCTGAACAATTGGGCCGTGATATAGCGAAAGCAATTAACGAGCGGAAAGCCAAACAGAAGAAAAAGAAACCGACCCCTACGGACTTATTGACCCAAAAAGGCGAACCTGAGGATGCAGCCGAGAAAGAACTTCTTGATCGGATAACTAAAGGACGAGAGAACAAATAACCACATAGACATAAATAAGGGGTCACAATAAATTAAAAATAGGAGTCGAAAAGGAAAAAAGAAAGGTCACCACTGTGCAAAAAGTTAACCTTTATTGTTTCGTTTTATAGAAGGTAAGCACAGTTAATGGACAGATTGGGACGACAAAACTCGGATAATTCAGACTCGGAAAGTATTGGAAACCCACTAAAAGCATCTACACCTATAAGAATGGAAGGTGAATACGGTTATGACACCTCATATGGTGAAGGATCAACGTCGTCAGTGGGAACGGCTCAGAATGAACCTGGAACAAGTCAAGGAGGTTACTATGGCGGCCAGGGATATTACGTGTATCACGATCCAGGACAGCAGACGAGTTATCAGGACACGGTTAACTGGGTGCACCACGGCTCACCTGCCGGAACCCAGTATTCGGGACAAGTAACGGGCGCCCCGTATCAACCGTATCCAGGATCGTATACCCCACCGATGGGACCACCACAAGTAATGATGGGACCGGCAAGAATGTTGATGCCGCCACCGCAACAGACCACACCGAGTCGATTTATGGGACATGGTGGATTCAGCGGAACTCCACCACGATCACAAAGGTCATCTCCGATATTACCGCCTTTTCCGGAGACGGGAGGCTTGTCACTGTCGGATATCGGAGCGCCTCGCATGAGAACACCGCAGCAACTTGGAGCGCAACGATCTCACCGGAACTCGCCACAGAGAGGAGGAAGACGAGGCGGAAACCGGTTCGATTCACCACGACCGCGAGGCATATTGCCATCACTGGGCCCTAACTTGGACGAAACGGGACCAGATGGGTTACGGTTGACGCCACCAGGCGAACCTTCAGTACACGAGTACGCGCCGAAACTCCCTTTGGACCTCAGAGAGGATGATGCGCGTTTAAACGTAATCGTGGACAAAGCAGAAGAGTTGACAGAAGCGGATGGAACGGCCATTCAGGACTTTAACAGGATGTGCCGTGACCTTTACAGAATTCACATGAGAGTGGAAGACGAACATGGATGGTATGGAAAGTTGATCAGCCTGGAGGCAGTCATCAAACCATGCCACACAGCGTTGAAAGAGAAAACAAAAGCGATAGAAGTCAAGCGCAAAGAATTAGCGATAAAATTGCATCGATGTGGCAATATCATCCGGCAGTACATGGCAGGCAGTGGCCGCGGATTATCGAGAAGGTTCTGAGATACCTTAAAGTATTTCCGGAAGAGAAAACGATTCCAGCGACCAGCAGCGCAGGAACATCTAAGCCATTAGTCGAAAAAGCCACTTCGGTGGATGAAATGTCTGACAGTGACCTTTTGGCAACAAAGAGAAAGATTGATGCCGAATTAACTGAACGAGCAGAAAGGTCACGGGCCAGCTCGACCGCAGGATCAACACGTGGACGGACCAGTTCGGTTACAGAACCATCTAGCGGAGCCACGAAGAGTGGAAAAAGAGCAAGGTCACCAACGATAAGCCCAAAAGAAACTGACAAGAAAGGGCAGCGAACGAAGAAGGCCACGTCAGGTAAAGCAACACCAGCTGAGCCGGCAAAGCCACAAGGCCCAGTCCCAGTGGGTAGAAAGAGCGCGCCACCCACACCAGCTGGAACAGAAGGTCAAATTCGATTTCCGAAGTGTAGAAGCTTCACGGCCAAGTACACTGGCGAAGACCATAGAGAACGAAAGGTCACCGCACGAATAGTCGATAAGAAAACGAACAAAGAGATCGACTCGTATAATCCCCTCGCGGATAGGTCAGTCAAGGATGCCATTGGGAAAGAGTCAAAAACGATAGTCAATGAGGCGCTACAGTTTATTCCCCCAGAAGAACGTCATAACCCAAGAGTTATCGTTCAGATGATGAAGCACGTGGTATCTAAAGTTGCAACCGAAGAAGATGCATGGATCCGTATCAAAGTGGGCACAGATGATGACCACGTGGCATATACATACACAACGGACGGCAAACTGTTGATCAAAGAGAGAACTCGCTCAAAACCGACGGCGGATCCAGATCCGAAGAAACGATCGTCAGATGATTATGAGTCGGTCCTGAGATACACAGAGGCGACAAGCAGAAAGGTCACCCTCAGACTTTTCGGTGGTAATGGAGAAGCTGTGGAAACCATAACTGCAGTGATAGTCGATCCAATAACAGGAGACCCGGTTCCATATGCTCCATGGGACGTATCAGAAGAGAGCGCCCGAAATGCGAATCAGGCAGCCGTTGAGCAGTTATGGGATCTGATACCCGAAAGCGACCGGACAGATGCCGTGGTTCAAGCGAGTACACTGATCAGCATGATGCGGCATCGAGCGGAAATCGATGGAGCACATTTCCGACTCACAAGACGAATGGAGGACGGATCGTACAAAACGGTATTTTACGACGCTAAGAAGAACCCTTTGTGGGAGGTCGCCTCACAGGGACAGCTGACAGAGACACTACATTTGGAAATCCAGCCCCCGGCACAAGAAGGCGGAGCCGGAGAGACGGAAGAGGCACAGGGCACGTCGGCAAATGTAACTGAAACAGGAGGGCCAGACGTTCGCTACAAAGAGTACTTGAGATTGCCCAAGGAAGTCATGAGCACCTTCAGTGTGATGAACCAAACTGTGCCCATTGTAATCCACCTGGTGACGACGAACCAGAGTCGGAAGACGAGGACCCACCTGAGGAAGAAGGCTCAGACGAAGAAACGGCCGATAAGCATAAAAAGCCCTTAAAGGTCAAGCCCTCAAAAGTCAAACCGAGGAAAGCGCCCAGATTGGAAGAGGCCATGAACCGTGACAAGGTTAAGAAAGGCGATTTCCTCAAGAAACGACGGGAGGAAGAGGATAAGAAGAAACGACGGGAGGAAGAGGATAAGAAGAAACGACAGGAGGAAGAAGATAAGAAGAAGAAGAGCGGTGACGAAAGTGATAGCACAAGCACCGGGAAGAAGAAAAGAGATGAACCAGCGTCGCATGATGTCGAGATATTGGACGAGTCAGTCGGCGAAGTTGAAGAAAGGTCATCGACACCTACGAAGCCAAAGAAAGTTATTCAATCGGCTACAGCAGAGCCATCAAAACTCAAAGGAAAGGTCATAGCGGTGAAACAAGCTGTCCCCATTGTCATTTCCGCATCCACGCCAAAGGAGCGCAAGGACAAACAGATTCGCGAAAAAGCGAAACGGGAGACGTCGCGTGAATCGGAGGCATCGGAAGTGAGCCTTCCAAGCACTTCGACGGTCAGTGCAAGGTCACATACAGATTCGAAAACGACACGATCAAGGACTACTGAGCCAAGAAGCTTAGCGGAGGCCTTGGATAAAGGGCAGAAAGCAAAGAGCGAGCCCGTTAAGACGAAAGGAAAGGTCAAAACAGCCATGAAAGTTGATGCAATGGCAGTGATCAATTACGCCGAACCAGAGGGAGAGAGTGAATTGGACTTCACCTCAGACGAAGAATTTGATGGTCCAGATGATGATAATTTGAACACGGTCGATGAAATAATCAAAGCGTATAACGGAGCGGAGAAGAATTTCATACGAATAAGAACAGCATCGGTGACATCCAAATTTAAATCAGGCCTGAAGACGTATTTGAAGAAACAACATCGTAGCTTCACTAAACAAAAGTTCGACGTCGTATTGGAATTCGCGCGGAACGCAGGAAAACTTATACAGAAGCACCCGAGTTTCTCGTATGAGGCCAAGTTGTTCCGACCGAAACCAACCGGAAAGCGCTAAGAAACGCCCGCCGAGAGATGACGAGGGCGATTCAAATGAAATGGAATAGTGTTGACCTTTATGATCACACTATTAAAAGGACGTCTACGGCATTTGTCGGTACGTCACAAAGATGAAAATGGTGTTGTATAAAGGACGTGACACGTGACATGTTAACATAAACTGTATTTGTGTAATTGTTGTTTGCAGCGTTTATAGCACAGAATTGCCAAAAAGAAATCATGTGGAGTATCTATTGGGGTTGAAATTGATTCGGTCTATAAAGCCGGCCCCAAGGGAGTAGTTACGGCAGTTAGCCGGCTCTCCTCTCTAAGCGACTCAGTGTTATAAATGCACAAGAGAAACAACGGTAATCAAGCCGGATCTCTTGAATACGAAACGGGGCCACAAGCGGCGAAAAAGAGAAAGACAACAGGTGGAATATTGATGAGGTTAACTTAATGCGGCAATTGGCCGGCCTCATTAGAGTTGTTACGGTAAACTATGCCGGCACTCTTCTTAAGCGATTCAGTGTTAAAGGTGAAACGAGAAAAACTACGGTAATCGAGCCGGATTTCTCGTATCAACATTGGCCACAGGCGGCGAACAAGAGTAAAAGATTAACTGTGGAAATTTCATGGGGTAAACTTAATGCGGTAACTGGCCGGCCTCATCAGAGATGTTACGGTAAACTTGCCGGCACTCTGGCCGCTCGAGGCATATTGAAGTTGGATGTGCGACGGAAAGGTCAACTTAAAAGTTTTACCAGGGAGGCAAGCGAAGAAATGCTTGACGGCCGCAGAAATTGGCTAAGTTCCTCCATGACCTTTGATGAGAGTTTGAAGAGATGTCGGATGACCTTTGGGATTATTACCGCCCAAGAGAGTCACCGTGTTAGAATTCAAGTCGCATGACCTTTTGGGACCATTAACCCAAACCGAGTCGCACATCACAACGGATCATCTCAACAAAGGATGACCTTTACTAGGGAGGAAGCGAACTACGCTTGTCTATATGACGTCCCTCCATGACCTTTATGGATCTCATTTTGAAGTCGTACAATTGATACGCACCATATTCCAAAGATGAAGCAGTATTCCTAAAGTCGTACTTGATACGCACCCGATTCTCAAAGCGGATTGTGATGGAAGTCGCATTATGGATGCGCGAAGTTGCTCAACGGAGCGGAATGGATTAAAGTGCGGAAAACGGTGGACAGGACCTGTGACCTTTGCGAGTCAGAAATGGAGGATCCTAGTCTACAATTTGATTAATACTTTTGTTGATCTGTTACTGTTGATCTGTTTTAATGATTTGATAGTATTTTTATAATTGGATCTCTTTATTTCACATTGTATTAAATGGAATTGTGCCTTTACGGAATTGATGTGATAAAATGGATTAAGAGAATTTGATGTTTTTGAGCACACACAGACACTCGGCGACCGTCGTCTTCTCGTGGATTCGGGAGTGTGTCCAGCCTCACAGGAGCTCGGCATCCCCCCAGAGGCATGTGAGACCGGGATCACTAGCGTTCACGTCAGTGGCGCTAGGCGCTACGCCTTTGGATTATGGCCTGTGTTGTGTCTCGCTTCTGATTGGCTTGTGTTTTGTTAGTGGGCGCGGCATAGCACGTGCTGCACAGCGTTGCACGCTGTTGAATGGGCTCCACGTTTTACGATCGAGCTGCGCCGATCATTATTGATTTTCGATTGTCGGAACTTTCAATATTAAAAAGTCAGCAGTTTACGGTGCGACGTTTTGTGATTCCGCAATAGTTCGCAATCCAGATCGTATTGCTCACTTCCACGGGATAGATTCCGTTTCTGTCTCCGTCCGTGGATCTGTTCTGGATCTACCATTAGAACTCAAATGAGTTGCATTTGGCCCAGAGGCGTCGCGGTCCATGATGGCTAGTTTCCGGCTGGCCAAACGCTATTGACAGTTTGATTGTACTGTACTGGAGTTCTTCAACATGCAGAGCAAAATCACTGTTGTTGAGTCATTTCCCAATACTCGTACGGCCACATACGCCTTACTTTGTGGAAAGATCCAAAAAAGGACGCTTGCTGGGAGAAGGAGCGATCAAGTCCAGTTCAATGAGAGCTGCGTTATGAAAAAAATGGCAGTTCCATATCGCGATCGGGATCTTCTCAAGTAAACTGTCCACAGGTGATCACACTGCTCTCTTCATCGACCAAAGGAGCACACTGATAAGTCAAATTTAACAGGAAGAAATTCTAAATCAACAAAAACTAAACAAACATGCGCGAAATGGAGAAACGCGACGGTAAATAATGATGAAAACGGTTTTCTAACTCTGATCAGCGACTGCTATTGATTTTCGTCGAAACACAAGAGCGGAAATTGCATACAGTGACGCGATTGCGAAAACAAGCTGCCAGCCGTGCCGAATTGAAGCTGCCTGGCGAAAATCTTTCGATTGGTCGGTTTATTTCATTTCTAATAAAACCGACCAATGGAAAGATTTTCGCCAGGCAGCGTTTTCGCCAGGCAGCGGAGCGCCGTGGTGCTCCGTTCGGGTTTCTCAACAGCTCAACGTCTAGTTGCTTCAGTACTACCAAAAAACAAAGGATTTATAAAGCTTTCTGACAGAAAGCTATTATAACTATTTAAGCTATTAAAGTGAATACTGACTATATTTCTTGCGCTAGTAGTATTGAGAAAATAATAATTTTTCCATCTGTAACCCAACTCGATTCGTTGTTTTTTAAGGGGAGAGTACGAGTACGGCACGAATTTTCCAAACTAACAATTTCCCTTGCTTATTTTGTAGTACCCAAGTCTTGCAGTTACGGAGGTACCATGGCACATCTTGCATGCCTTAAAAGCTCCACTGAGTCGTGCACTCATGGTGCATAAATCCGATTGATTCAAGGAGAACAGCTTCCTGATGTAGTGATGTCAGTGATGTGTCAAGCAATGTGTTTGCTACTTACTTGCTTCCCGGCTCTTCCATCTCGTTACGGGGCAAGCCACAACACACAGGCATAAGGCACACGATTTAAGGACAATGAAATGAGAACCAACCGCCATGTCGATTTTAATGTTCAGGCATCAGTATGACCATCTTCTAAAACTGTCTCGCAAAACCGGTAAGATTACTGACTGCATCCGCGGGAGTTGAAGAGGTAGTAAATTCCCTTTAACCGCCCGCACTAGGCGTCGGCTTCTTCGGCATCAAAAGAAGTCGAAGTGCGGGCGGTCTAGGCGAATTTACTATTCCGTTAAACTCCCGCGGATACATTACATACGTTCCAAGCATCGCTAAGTATAAGCAGTGTTGGTCGCTTTTGGTATAATATTGTTGAGTTTTCTGTCAAACAGTTACAAGCGTGAGAGAGTGGTACAACAACGGCCTAGCACATGGTTTAGCACAGCACTAGCTTTTGGTTATCAATCATATTGGTCTTAAATGGGAGAAAACGAATATTCTTATTCAGAATACCATAGTAATTCCCAAGAAATCCGGAATTAAACTTATGATTGATTTACCAACGGCCTAGCACATGGTTTAGTACAACAACGGCCTAGCACATGGTTTAGCACAGCACATTTCCGGTATCAGCATGCTCCACATGGACAGGGTCTGTTAACGGTAAAAATATTGCTGCATAATTATAGGATCATCGAAGCGTTATAATTAGGGCAGCAAAAGTTATTAATAACTACACTTTAGTTGTCACCATCGAACAATGAGGAGCATTGCACTGATTCATCATTGTATGATTAATTTATATTGTCACACCTATGGCACGCCCTATTGTTAATTTACGCTCTGGTTAATATGACATTGTTCTACGCTTATTAGATTGCTAAAATTTGGTAATGCAAACTGCTGTCTCAAATATTTTAGTATAAAAGCAGCGCTGCGTCGCTGCCAGAAACGCGCGCTTTTCTCATTTGCATTTTTCGGATTAAAAGTCACTGCCGTCACAGACCGAGTGGATGCATCTCGCGCTGATGTACGTTGGTTGAACCGTCATATGAGAACTGCTGAAGATGACATTTCCAATCTAAAATGCGACATGACTGCAGCGGAAAAGGGAAATTACGGATGCCGAGGATGGAATCTTGATGATCACGTTTGACATCAAGCACATCAAAAGAGCTATGAGTCATAACTTTTGATATGCTTGATGTCAAACGTGATCATCAAGATTCAGTTGCCTCCATCTCAGTCTTAGCCTATGACGGCCAGTGTCAAAACGCCGGCAGAATTTTCTGCCGACCGAATTTTTGTGTGGTCAAAATGCCGGCCGAATTTTCTGCCGACAGAATTTTGTGGGGTCAAAACGCCGGCCGAATTTCCGGTGGTCAAAACGCCGGCAGAATTTTTTCAGCATTTTCAATTGTAAGTAAAAATACTAAAAAATATTACCTGCCTCGAGGCATACTTGCCACGCGGTGTATAAGAAAGGTTTGGGAATCTACACTTATGCAATTATACAAGTTTCTTTATCGGCACGATTTTAGTGTTTCTTGGCTCGCAAAAGAGAATCAAGAGGCCGCGCAAAAAAGACAAATAAGGTGCCACAAAATAGGTAGAAAACCTTTGTGAGCGCGTCTGCGCGTAGAAGTTCTTTTACGAGAGTCAGCTGTGCCAGTCTAGACTCAGAAGTTCTGGCTCATCTCAGGTACGTCCAAAAAGGAATCAGACTAAATCACACTTCGGTGTTATTGCCGCTGTGGCATTGTTGAACACCTGTTTGTCTCTTTTGCGCGGCTTTTGCTTTCTCTCCCGGTCTCCCGGGAGTTTCTATGCACGCTGTCAATGCAAGAGCACTAAAAGCGTGCCGATAAAGATCCTTATGTAACTGTAAGATCCAGATCTTTGTTATACACCGCGTGGCAAGTATGCCTCGAGGCAGGTAATATTTTTTAGAATTTTTACTTTTAGTTGAAAATGTTGAAAAAATTCTGCCGGTATGTTGACCACCGGAAATTCGGCCGGCATTTTGACCACACAAAAATTCGGTCGGCAGAAAATTCTGCCGGCGTTTTGACATTGGCCGCCTATGACTGAGATGGAGGCAACTGCCGGACAAATAAAGCGTTTCATGGAGGAGTACAAGGACAACAAAGCGAGCAGTAGTATTTTTCCGTTAGAGGGTATGATACAAGTGGTATTTCTCCGTTAGAGAAATACCACTTGTAACAGTTTTCTGACCGCTTTTTGGGATACGCGGCCTTCACGCGGAGATTATATGGCGGCAAACTGCGGATATATGACACGACTTCCTGCCACGTAGCCACCGCGTGCTCGCGGCGTCACACTCTCGCATCAAGCGCAGCTATTACTGCGTTTATTTCCTTCACATCAGACGCCCTTTCTATTACAGTGAAACCTCTCTTACTACAGTGACACCTCCGTTAAGAAAATTTCGTACGAAATGCAGAGGGTGTACGGAACTCAGATGTGCTTTTTGCAGTGAAACGTAATTTTGGTTAGTGTTTTGGTGTACTTATTGTAATACAGAGGGTGTACGTGCATAAGAGTGTACGTATCATGGAGGTTTTACTGTATCTTGCTTTTATACTTGTTTGCACCGAGCGCGAAGCGCAAGGTAATGCAATTAAGCCTTCGTCAAAACTACACGCTTTATAACAGACTATACAGTCTCCACAGCAGAGTTTGTCTGACGCCACGAAGAGTGCACGTCACGCTTTTCCAGTTTCACAATCCCAATACCATTTTTCCGTGGCACTGGTCCTCGCTTGGTGCACTGATGTGGTTTAACAACCACCGCTAATATTATTGTGATGATGGCATCATGGCAGTTTGCCTGTTAGTGCTCGATATACTCGTTACTCTGTTTATGCTTTGGCATTCACTAACAAAAAATGTGCGTACAATAACCTTTACGCACCGGGTTTAGCCAGGTTTAGATTCCCACGCTAGATATCGATCCTAGCATAATGGGGTACCAGCCTACATTTACAATAAACAATAATAAACCGAAATAGTAAAAATAGCAGCTTTCTTACAACTCTTTGGTATGTAGTATTAGTTATTACTATTAAGGCGGTTATTCAAAAACAAGGCATTCAAACAGTACGAGTAGAGTAAAAGTAACATGCTGCGAAAAAGGTTCGAAATGGCTAATTTATTATTTTAACAGTGACGCAGTGTGTCTGCGCTTGCACTCCTGTTATTTTGATGCCTATTTCCTATTAAAATTTTCATTGCGGTGTTTGCGGCAAAATAGCCATAACCAACAGTTTAAAAAGTGCTTGAATTTGAAATTCAGGAAATCAAGCTGCTGACTGACGTTCCAATCGGCTTGCGCGTTATTTCAAAAATTTCGACACGATTTTACTTGGCGCCATTGTTAACGCACTTTCGTTTGGTTAATACATTACTGTCAAGAATATTTTCCGAAACTCTACTCACTTTAAAGTAACGCAGAACTTACTCAGTCAAAAGGTGCAAGAAATCAACGCTATGTAAGATAAGATAAACGCGATAGTTTCATGACAATTCAGTTGTTGTGCAGCTGTTTTTGGACAGCGGTTAGACGGCGGCGCAATGGTGCAGCACTCGGATGCCACATTAGCCGGCAAGAACCCGCTGCTTGGAATCAAGCCGCTAACTGCACTGCAGAATACAAAGAAAAAAAGTGGTCTATTTCTGTGCCGATCGCTGGCATAAGGCTACCGTAACAGTGTAAACCGATACGTGACAGGGCTTAATATCCTTTCACGGCGTTAGCCGACACAATCTCCGACATATGCGGCACACTTCGACTTTCCGAGCCATGGCGTACATAATTTATGCAAACTACCGATTACATATTTTTAAGTCTTGAAAAAGCTCGCACATTTCATCTAAATTGGCCGCAGCTGATGTGCCGTTCCCATGACGGACGCCGGAAAAATATTGGTAACTGCAAGTCTGCAATACATTGTCAAATATCGTGCATAATCTACCTGTAGATATAAGTTGGAGTTGGTGCGTTGGCCAACTTCATTCCACTTCGTTGTTTCGTTGAGCTGCAAGCTTTGAAAATCAACGGGTCACAGCGAGATCGAATCGCCGACTATCTGTATGCCACGATCCGATCCACGATCGATCTATCCATGGTCACTGACTCGCTAGTGAAATGCAGACGCTGTCGCTGTCTGGTGACAACAGCGACTGCCTGTGCGTATCCCTAGCGACCTTCATTGCACCCATCCGGTTTGTTGCTACGGTTGCTGTTGTAATCAGTGCTTTAGCGGGTGTTATAATAACTGCCGCACTTCTTCTCTCACGATAGCAGAATTATTATGCTGTCGTTGAGGGAAGAAGCGCGGCAGACAAGAGGTTATGACTAATTACGTGGAGTATAATAATTGGCCTGTTGATGATCCCGTTAATGTACTGCCTGCACAATATGTACCTCCTACACCGCCCACATGCGCCCAGGTTTCCGAGGAGATTCACCTGCAAGTAGGCCATGGATTGTACGCACTGATTTAACTAGATTTGATGAGACGATCTGGCCGATTTTGCTCAATATAGCCGTGCATACCACGACGCATCATTGATGAGTCATCCGATGACTGATTTGACTGGCTGTGTTGGCACTTGGAGTCTTGGAGAAGCCGCAGCTTGCTCGCAGTCGTTGCTCGTTAGCGATTGGTATTTCTTGACGCATCACCTCCGGGATATGACACGCCAATGTCATAACCAGAGCTACTGCGTCAAGGAATTAGCGTATCAATTAAATTGCCGCGAAAAGCTGCTACAAGAAAGATGCAAGTTGCAACGCGTCCCGGGTAAATAAAAGAGCGTAAACTGTGTTAAGTGGAACGGTACTGGGACAATTACCAGTAGTATTCAACGTAAATTTTAAACTGATAAACGCGTCAAATCAGCTAATATTTGATCAGCCATACTGTTTGCCAGTATTATACATATCTATATTAGTCAAAATTTAAAATTACTATTGTTAACTGCCAATTTCCCCGCTGGGAGAGGCAACGTAATAGCAAGCCGCAAGATGCCCAAAACGATGACACTGTAAGACCAAAACCGTTACGGTACCTATATTACAGGCTTACAGCTAAACGTAATTAACAACCATTTGAAATATCCGTACTGTTTGAATTGAGTATAATTTGTAAATCAATTTCCTGTTTCTTTTGACTGGCCCGACGCTGCTTGCGCTGGTTTATGACGTCTTCAATCCATCTTGTTGCAAACTCGAAGGCTGCCAAGCTGCCTGCCGCACGATATAACAAATGTTGCGAGTCCTTACACAATACAACAATTCCAGGCACTGAAGTTTACTCGCACGTATTTATTGTACATCCGTTCTTTTAATTTATTTGTGCACAATTGTCGAAAAATCTGTCGCTCGGAAGCACGTTCCTCTACAAACAAACAGCCAAACCCGCTTAAGAAAAGTTTTACTTAGGCCCAGGTCGTTCCGTTATTCCCAGTCAGCATCAACGGGAGAGCATTTCCGGCTTGTGCATAATTTTTGCACCGTTCCCCTTCAGCGCACGGGTTCGTACCCGTACCCGATGTGATGGATTTGAAGTATCTGAACGTCGACCCATTATTAGGCCGCAACATGTTCAGCGTACGGAAACCCCGACCGCTCACCGGCACCTCGTTATCATCGTCGCTCGGCCATTTTCCAGGCGGTGTTACAGGCAACAGGCTTCCGACCGGCAATAGCGTTGCAGCGGAGTCATTCAACGTCAAGGCAATTTCCAGCGAATGCTCCGGTTTAATGGAGGATTCCGTGGTCGTCCAATTGACGCCCGTATCATCGATATCGTTAGTGTTGGTCGGCAAGAGCGTTGACAGGATGGGTGGAAAGGTAGGTTTCTGTCGGTGTCGCCGTCTGAGTCGGGAGTAAGGCAAGAAGTCACTTAAGAAAGTCATCGAACCGATGCGGTCCGTGGAAGATTTAGCGGGAACGCGGAACAGCGCCGCTTCTTTCGACGCCATCTCTTTGTCACGCAGGCCGTGGGCCATGAGGTCATCGATCAGGGGAGTTTGGTCATCGTCATCTGCGACCGGAATCCCCGTGTTGACCGAGCTGCTCTGGAAAAGGGGGCGAAGCAGTTCGCCCGGCATTTTCTCACCGGAGACCTTTGAACTGTCGAGATCTCGAATTAGTGGAAAGGCCGCGCTGTCCAGTTCCGGTTGGTCCCCCGATTGCAAAATGGTGGCAGGATGGAGGTCAGGGTATGGTGAAAGGTTTGAGCCAAAAGACAGCTCCGGCACGGCGGGTTTGCTTTGACTGGGGATTATCATTGGTAGCATGAAAGGGTCCATCACATCATTATCCAATTGCTGAGCGATTAGTCGGCGAGGAACTGGCGGATTAAAACGGTGGGAAGCGGTAGCCAGCTTCATCAGAGCCTGCACGACGTCCAGATTGGGATTGGACAATGTCGGTGTAAACGTTGGTCGAGACGCTTTGCGTTGGACAATGGAGAATTCGAGGGAAAATTTTCGTTATCCATTTCAGGAACCTTCCGAGACGATGCCGTAAAAATTATGTCTGGGATCAGCCCGGACGATAAGGGAACGCCATGGGCTTGCAAATGCGGTAACCGTAGAGGAACTGCTTCGGACGGGAGTTTCGAGATGTCTTCAGAGGAAATCAAACGTTTGTGTGCTTCCGGTTGAAAGAAGGGGCTCCGGTCAGGTTCTGGAGCGGCTTCTTCGACACCGGAGCTGTCAATATTCTCCAGCTGGGACTGCGCCAATTTCCGAAGTAACCGGGCCGCCATGGAAGTGCGCTGCTTTCGCATCCGTGCTGGCATTGGGATCGGAGACAGGCCGTTATCAAAAAGGGCATCTGATCGCCGCATTAAAGGACTGTTCCCGAGAATCGACAGCGAAAATGTGGATAAAGAATTGTCGGGTGGTGTAAACTCTTCTGTGTTGCTGTCCGGAACGACGTCGAATTGGTGTGGCATAAAAGCAGCGTTGGCGAGTTTTTGCAGAAGGAACTGCCTGCCAGCTGCTTTCTGTATAAGCGTTTTTCGGCCGACATTCTTGGCAGTAAAACCAAAAATAGTTGGGCCACGGAACAGCTGCGGTATAGCAGGAATCTGCACACGTCCTCGTTGCATGGAATCTTGGATCATTGGAAAGACGAACTCCTTCGTTTTCAGTTCATCTGAGAGGGAAACCGTTTCGGCAGCTTTTAAGGCCAACTCGTCGGCTGATAGAGCTGCGTCGCTTTCATCGTTAAAGGCAGCAGCGTTGTTATGGCCGCCCAACAAACTGCCGAAGCCGATGTTGCGGCTCGCTGGATAAATCACACCGCTTTCGGTATGAAATAATGCTGAATCGGCAGGAAATGACACCGTTCTTGGCTGTAAAACGCATAACAGATACTTATATTAAATGCGTTCTGGCAACGTACACACTTTATGTATGTGGCACATTTTTTTCTTAAACCGGTCATACCGTTTAAAGTACCGTACTTCTTACTTAGTATATATTCTGTACTTTCTGTCAACTTGTGTGTGGAAATGCACAGAAGCAGCGAAAATTTACTAATTATGTCGTTCATACAGCGAAATGTTAAAAATGTTCCAGAGCGAACAGAAACGAATATCATTCCAGGCTGTTCAGTGTTTTATCTCAAACTTACGTCGTCAGCGTAATCATCGTCGGTTGTTCGGAATTCCTGTCCATCCGACCGCAGAGCAGCGGACCGCGTAAAGGTCAACGCAATAAGGCCCACAAGTGTCCACATTGTACCGCTGTAATCCGACCGGAATCTTTCATCAACGAAGCATTAACTTCGCATACAGATGCGGCATCTTTCCGTTTTATATCCATTGCAACGATGAACGGTGTGCGCGTCTTCTTAATTGCCTGCCGGCAGTTACGACGTTGTCGTTTTCACATGTGGACTGCGAGATGAACAACCTGAAAGGTTCAATGTACGGGATGATGAAGCGGTTCAATGTACGCAGCAAAAAACAGCTATCATGCCACGGCAGCAAGACGTACCACGTTTTCAACATTACAACCGTGTTTAATAGGTACCTTCAAATCTGCAAAAAAAATTTTCAACATTACAACCGTGTTTAATAGGTACCTTCAAATCTGCAAAAAAAATTTTCAACATTACAACCGTGTTTAATAGGTACCTTAATACCTTCAAATCTGCAAAAAAAATGCCGGCGCGGCCACGATTCTCAAATATTATAACAGGTTTCAGCAATAACAAAATCATCGGAAGCATGGTGACGAGAAAAATGGTGGAGTGGTTCAACGTCATCCATCTTGCCTCGGGTTTGAGAGCAGGGCATCCAATACAACAGGTACTTATCAACTTCTTACTTTAATACGCCATTCTGGCGGACCAGTCTAGTTTGTACCTCCACAAGGCTTGGTTGCTGAAGGATTTTAGCGCGATTACTTATGCGGGTTTCCCATTTAATTAAATGTACTGAATATGTACACTCTTCTTTTCTTGTGGGCAATAGCCACCAAATGAGCAAGCGCTGCAAGCGTGGGGTATACTGCTTGATACTTACTACCCGGAAAGCGTGAGCCAGCTAACAGCAAGTTTCAAACGCCGGAATTTAAAGTATTTAGAAAGCGAATATAAGGGGCTTTCAAAGGGTGAACGTTAAGTGAGGTGTTATGATATTTCATGGGCCGTAAAATTCGGGATTTGGCAGAGAAACGCATTTGCTGCTTTTCTGAAGCAGCGTTTCTTTGTTTTTCACAGGAAATTCTACTGCTGTTTTGAGTAGGTTACCTTTACATCGGAGAGAAATGGAGACTTTAATTGTTTTTTAACGTATAAATTTTATCTAAATATAAGGGGAAATAAATGGCACAGTTTATGAATTGTCACGTAAAGGCTGAATAGGGGTTTCTAAAAGCGCTGCATTTATACCTGCACATTGATGCAGGTACATGTACCCTGTAAAACGATAGTCATAAATTCATAATCACAAACTACATAAAGCGCTGCAGTTAGTGCAATGACATAGAATTTGCATTTTGTTGTGCGTCGCGCAGGCAGAATCCTTGGACTGAAGTGTGCACAATTCTGGTTCAAAACGGCATATTTAACACTTGGAATGATTTCCGTAATGTATTCTTCATTTTGCAACAAAATTTCGCACTTTTTCGCCTGAAAATTAAGAATCAGTGGGATGAAAGATTTTCCGAAAACTCTCAAAATGCGAGCCGAAACATGGTGCCACCTGAGTCACGCGCCGGAAGTCCCTAAAATTCGTTTTTCTGTTGCGCTTAGCTCTAAAGTCCTTGTGAAATCTTAATGTAAAAAACGGGAAAAAGATTTTCCAGGAATACAGGCAGTTTGAAGGTAACCAGTCACTAACCACTCATACGCATTTCGAGATACGCTTGGTAAAGCGACTCGATTTCCCCCTATATGCATTTATGCAGGTTGTTGTTTCGATGTTGTTGGTTGTGGTTCTGTGAAGGAGTAGGTAACGATTACAACTAAAAATATTTTGCAGTATTAAGTGCTGTTTACGCGCTGTCCCACTGACCTTTTGCATATGCTCTACCTAAGACTTAAGTTTCCATACCAGTACACAACGACCAGGCTCCGATGCTCAAAGGTTTGTCTGCTCAGTGATAAACTAAACTGCGCATCGCTTTATAGAACGCTTTTAAACGAGACACGTTACATGTAGGCTTGTCGGCGCTCACTGTATTAATTTTGTTTGACTTTCAGCTGTACCTTGCTTGCTTAACGTTAACTATTAAAGTTTCTGACTAAAACTATCTCCAGTTTCTACGCAATGTGGCATGATTATTCAACAAACGGGTATTTTACAATATGTAGGGTAGGTACATACCTAGCTTAAGGTGGTACTGAATGGACTGACAGGCTGCCGCTACGTTTTGCCGTTATGTTTCCGGATTCTGCGTTGAGCCTGTGAAACTCGTTGTCCAGCAGTGCGATCATCCAGCAACAGATTAGTGCCAGCACCTCTGTACGGCGCACGCAAGAGCTGCATAGGCGGAGTATATACTTCCTTGCCGGATGGAGGCGACACGAGGTCAACGTCAGTGACAAGCACGACAAGTTGAATGACCAGCGCGTGTAAGTCGGAATGAGGAAATACTGACTACAAGGCCCGTGAAAGCAGCATTTCCTAAGCGTGAGATGCGCGCGGTAAAAACTTTCGACTCCATATCCATAAGGCCTTTCAAAATTATGTTTGATCGGCATACGAGCCGATCCTATATGCTCATTTGTTAGCTGTATGCTTTGGTCTTTTATCCAAATTCGGTAAAGCGAATGTTTGGTGGAAAAAAATCTGATGTGTGTAATACACGATTCACATTACATAACATTGACGATCATGCGCAATTACGTGTGTTTATTCAAGGTTTTCATCCTGCTTGGAAGAAATTGTTGTTGCTTATCGTAATCGAAAACTAGTTTTTCGACAGAAATGACAACACGGTTGACAACATTTTACGTCACAATCTGATGCGCCGGATACGCCTACGGCCCACCACATGGGAAGTGCTACGACTACGCCAAATCGTATATATGTACAATACAAATCGTTAGTTCTTTCCGCAGAAGCGCGATATGTGTACCATGTACCGACATTCCTTTGATCGGCATCATCCAGTACACATAATAATGCGCCTGCAAGGCTAATACTACGTAATTGGAGAGTCTGAATTTTAAACATCGAAAAAACATCCAAAATCATGAGGGTCTTTCGAAAGTTTAGGACGTATGTTAAATGTACCCAGAACACGCTGCATTCCCTCTACCTACCGCTAAACTTAAACATTGTCTCAAAAAGGCGGTAGATCGTGTACTGGATTCGTTTCCTACTGGTGCAGGCTAGCTGAAGTATTAACAAATTTATATAACCACTCGTACATTAGTCTTGGTTTTGTGTTTAAGAGGAGCGAACCGGGTAAAACTTTCTCCTACAATTCTGCTTCACGTAAGCTGTTTCACTAATGACCTCCAGCTTCCCGTTGAGGCGTATGAAAGCGTTCGGCGCTTTGATCATTACCTGAACGAAGTGGACTGGAAATTGTTGAAGCGGACGAAGACATTTGTTCATGTAGAGCATCACTGCTTGTTATAATGCAATTCTTTATTCTGTTTGTTCTATGTTCTGTTAGTTAAATTGTTTCCTGTACCGTAGTGGTAGTCTACCACCCTGTGTAGAAGTAATCCTGGTTGTCCTAGACGTTAAGCAGAATAAACACCAACCAGCAACAGCTATTCTGCGGTAGTCACAGAGTTTTTGAACGTTACTAATTTGCATTTTGTTGACAGATACTTCCAGTATGTACTCATACGTACATATTGTTTACAGGTTAGCGCTCTAAGTAATTTCCTCGGCATGATGTGCGCCTCCATCTGCAATTATAGTATTCCGTCTGCATCGGTAGCCTTGAACGATCCACAAGGATATTAGACCTGGCAGACTACGCAGCAAACTGGGGCGCATGGCTGGAAGAGTCGACAACAGTAGTAATCGTGGACGAAATGATTCTCCCGAAGCGGTGGATAACGATGCTGCGGCGGCATCCTTGAAATCCTTTCCATATCCACCGTCTCGTATAAATAATAGCGGAGTAGACGCTTCTCGCACATCTTTATTGAGGATGCGGACTAATTTCCCAACACACGCCTTTGTATTCTTCAACATAAAAATTCATCCGAGTCAAGGAAATGCACTCGAGCCGCTTCGGTTGTCAACAATAGTCTGACACTGCAAGCTGGTCCCATTACACACGAGCCGATGGCGAAAGTGTGTGGTATAGCATGGCGGTGTGCAACCTTAATACTGCCGAGTCAGGCGATAGGTGTCAATGGTGCACGGGACGAGTAATTGCCCCGAGATCTAGGTTGTAAAGAATGACAACCCGGGCGCCACCGTGCACTCTTATCCGGGGGGATTGCGGGTGGCGAAAAGGAACAGTTTTTCATTGTTGCGATTGTCTTGACACATCCAGCCAAAAACGGCAAAAAGGAGAAACGGCTCCTATTCGCAAACTTCCTGATAGTTTAATTCAAATTCCGACACTGCCAAACCCAGGACGAACACTAGACGATGTTGATAGTATTGCACCGTGAGAAGCGCCAGGCGGATCTGTGTTAAAAAAAACATAAGAAAAAGAAAGCAAAATAAAAGAGAGTTCTAGAATATACTCGAACCGAAAACGTACGCGAGAGAATAAAAGTAAGTACGGTTACACATTGCATTGAGAAAATAATACGAGAGTCAAACCGTACAAGTATGTACCAGATCGCTACATTTGATAATGTACCGTATCTTCCGTCACGCGTGAATCACACTGTCGAATAGTAGAGTTCCTGTAATTATACGGCAAAGGCATGTACGAAGACTGAGTGCTTCCCAGAAATTCGAAAATATATTATAATACTCCAAGATTTTCGAGACGAACTCACAGTCAGCGTAAGACGAAGAGATTCAGCCAGGACGGGTGGCAAATGAGCCAGGCCGACGGTGAATCCAATAGTGGACTCCGAAATAAACGCTTCAATCACGGTGAATGGAAAGTACCGTGACCTCGAGACCAGGAGCGTTAGGCCGCCTAAAAACCATGAACGGGGCGCCATACATACAACGGTCGCTGGTACATGAATCCTGATCTCATCGGCACAATTCTGTATCGGCACTATTGCACCAGTCAGGAAAAAACCCGGAGTGGCGAGTGCATCCGAGAAGCCGGCCATAATAATAACGTCCCACAATATCTCCGACTTCGCGGTTGCGCTCGCCACTGCGCGGTGGCGACATAATGCTATTCAGATCCATTATTCGTGGAAACCGGTGACCATTTCCCACTCGTCTACAGGGCCACATTACAACCGCCAATCGACAGGGAGATTGCCGAATTCTTATGTTTTTCACGCCATTAACCGTACGAGCAAGCACGACCTGTAAAGAATTCACGGTTAAACTGACAGTCCTGTATGCCAGTTCCAGCCAGAAAGCCAGCTACGTTAATAACGCTGCTCTATGCAACGCGCAGAGCTATTTGTTAGGACGTCAGTAATGTGCAGCGTAAACGGTAATAAAGAGCGCAACAAGCTCGTCGCGCTGATCGATATTGCCGGCACCAGCAGCGTACGGGAAACCGGCGCTTTCGGCCGGTGCTGTTCTCCGTCGATCATTTATGCCGATCCTGCTTGTACTTCGCATGCAACCGGCATCAGCGCTCAAACAGCCGGCCGCTTGATCACGCGTCTTCCGCTTGGCGTGACTCATCTAGCGCGCTTGTTTACGCTCGCTGCAGCTGCCGTTGTTTTATTCTTAGACCCTTATGCGTCTTCTTCGCTGCGCCTGCCAGCGCGCTCGCTCACGCACACTCACATTTCCTCGGAGTGTATTTTGCAAACGGTACCGGCCGCGAAAATGTAGAACACACATACGGCCGCAATAATTCGGCTGCCATCGCAAGAAACAGTTGATATATATTTTTCAGTTGATGTCGATGCGGGGATTTGGCCACGAGCGTTCGGTCCTGTATGGGGTGATTTATGGGTGGCGGTGTTTAATCTCCTGGACAGGAAGTGCACTTCCCCGCCGATTCCGCGGGTTGTTGGTAAGTGAAAGTGCCCATTTCTCCCGAGTTGACACAGCTAATTCACCTGCTCGTATCGAATGTTGAAGTATCGGGTGCGCCTTCAGCGCACTGTCTGTTGCGTAGTTGTAGACCGCTGTTTATACGAAGCTGCAGATGTTTTTTGATTGATTGTCGAAATCTTTTAGACATCTCTTGTCTTGTCGTCATCGCTTAATGCGCAGATACCTCATCCAATTAACCGTACAGGTAGCGCATAATATTTTTACTTAAGTAATCTTTGTTGCTGAAACGTTTTTATTTATCGAGTAACGTGTATTTATTTCTCGATTCGATTTCACTTTTTGAAACCGCAAAATTCACTTAATACGTGAAGCTATACACATATATTAACTATGTATCTATAGATTTAAAAAAGAAACTTCTACTAATTTTTCTTGTCTCAGTTCCGTTTTTAAATTCTGGGTATGTCTTTCTGAAACTGCGAATTTTTTGCAAACGGCCAAGATTTCGATTTAAGTACCAGAATTTATCCTGCTAACAAAATTAATATTTTGAAAATCGAGCGCTAAAGAGCTCCTCAAAATAGACAGTTTCTCAAAAGCATTATAAAATAATACGAGAGTGTTATGTGCAACTATCACTGTCTGGCGTTGTATTTAATTAAACGGGAAAATAAATGTTTACATAAAACAAATAAGTTGATAGTGAAACGTGTACAAAGGCCATCCGCTGAAGAAGTAGCTGTCGCATAAGAAACCAGATCGGAAGCGGCTTGATTAGGGAAATGCATGTGTATCTGGAGATGCAGTAGAAACGATAACAATCACGCGTATACGATCATGTCAACGCACACAAAAGACACCAGCCGGAAAGCATATTACTCACGATAACGGACGCGACTCCAGCCGTCCCTACCCTCTAATTCTTCCCTAATTCACCAGATCGAGACATCGACTAGATTAATGGTAAAAGGGAATGGCATAACATAACATAAATCGTAATTGAGTGAGCTTTCGAAAATACTTTAATCGTCTGGTCTGGAACATCTGCAAATTTAATTTCCGGTAAGGAATTTTTTAGATTACTGTACAAATGTAGCATTACCTGCAAATTTAAATACAAAATTAGGATTAATGCAACTTAGTTCGATTGCCCGACACTCGACATTAGCAGAATTAATTAAGTATGTAATTTTCTTGTAACTGTTAAAAGGCAATGGTAAACAGCCAACTTAGACTAATTAAGGAATGTGGTTAATCACATTGGCTGGAAGGCCTGGGGAATCCAATTAAGCGTCTTCGTGAATGGGACTGAGCTTTGTAATTATCTTTCGAGAAATTCTTTCGAGGAAATTATAATTTATAATCACTCACCATGATTAATGCGGAAATTAATCCGATGGCGGAAATAAAGTTTACAGTATTTTTTTCAGACTAGCATTTGTTTTATAAAAATAATTAAGCATCGACTTATAATCATCACGAAGTTAATTTCTAACTGAAGAGTTAAAAAATAATTGCTAAGATAAAGAAACAGGAATTTATGGTCGAGTCTTGACAGAATGGCTCCACTGCACTCATCCCGCTCGCCCGGCCCCAGCTCCGATGAGTCCCTGTCCGAGCCCGACGACGAGCCGCTGATCTCCATGGCCACGCCCAGCCCCTCCCCTTCCGACCACCACCCCCACCACCATCTTCCCCTGAAACTGCCTTCGCACCACCGTTTCACCGTCTCCCCGGTGTCACCGGAGAGCGAGCCGCTCCTGCGCCCCGGCGGCGGTAGCAGTGCCACCAATCCCTTCCTTACCGTCCCCGGTGACCCGCCGGCGGACGACGTGACCTTTCTGGAGTTGGCGCGCCGCGGAACCCGCGACCGGCACCCGTCCGCCCGCAGTGACGTCACCGACGAGACGCTGCTGGACGATGAGGAGGAGCAGGAACTCAGCGACATTCCGGTCTGCCCGCCGGATGACCTTGCGACCGGCACCGACACCGGGCATTTGCGACAGGTAAACAAATAAACCGGCTAATCGGCGGATTAAACCGCTGCGATAGCATCTGTTTAGGCGGATTATCGAACCTAGATCAAACAACTTTTGGCAGAGTTTCAAAATGGCTAAAATTCTTCCCCGAAAGCAGTAGATCAAAAACAAAATGTGGAGTGATAAAACAGCGTACTTAATCACCTTGGCTGGAAGGTCTGGAGAATCCGATTAAACCCTTTTGTGATTGGGACTGAGCTTTGCAATTATCGCTTATGATCGGACACTTTTCGGGCATACTATAACAAGCAATAATTTTACAACCGGTTTTTTTATTTATTGCCGGAAACACAAAGAAAGGCATGTCAATGGTTCTTCAGTGGATAATCTCATGATTTGAATGCCGGGAAATAATCCGCTAAAAGTGGCGGTTAACGTTTTCAATCGGCGTTTATTAACAATAAGGTCATTGCAGTGTATCGTCTCAATGTTATTTATTTTTCTTGGCAGCGATTTTTTACGAGCATGAAGTGTGCAATTTCGGCGTAACGAAGAACACTCTTATACGTAAATTCTTGAAGCACAAACGCCAGTTACTCGTGATCCCCGCATGTGCGCAAATAATTGGCCCTTCTCGGTTTGTTGTGTGCCGGCAGCGATTGGGCTAATAAGACGTTTATTCACACGTCTATTGTGCAAATAAACACACGTCACAATGATCGGCATTATGCGCGTGTTTACGAGCACATAGTTTTTTATATAATGGCACTACAGTTTAACCGAAGAAAACGCTGCGTCAAGCGCGCAACGATGGCTGCCAGATATTTATGATAAATGTCAAGGTCAGCCGGAAAATGCCGCATCAGCGTTAGGATGTATTTTAAGAAAGATAATGTAGTATAAACGGAAGGCTTACAAACACCGCCGTGGGAAGAAAGTGGATGCCGATGTGACTAATTGCGCGGAGACGCAGTAAATGGCCGGCTGTCCATCATTCTTTATCCACACAAAGACGACGGGAGATTTAAGGGATTATTCGTAATCTGCGGTGAATTAATCTTAATGTCTTTTTTCGCCAAATGATGCAGTGCATTGATGGGGTGGATAAGACGTTAAGCAGCGGAAGAAAATTTAAATAATTTATTCTATCGATCGATTTTTTTTATTTAGCACACAATTCGTTTTATTTTATTCGGCAGCATATTTAATTTTTAAAAAAGCTACGTCCAAAAGTAGATACTCTTATCTTTTTGAAATGGACAAAAATTTGAATAATAAAAATTAGCAGATAACTACCTTACGTTTTACAAATTCTACATTCAAAAAATTACTTAATAATTTTCTGGGAAATCTACGTTCTGAAATTAATCATTCCGGAACATTTTTTCAAAAACTCTGATAACATTCGCGGAAAGGTAGACATTATTTGTGATTTATTGATCAGGTGCACTTGTCATTTGTAACGATTTACTATTTATTTTTAGGAACATATGAAACGCTAACTTTATACATTTATTTTCCTATGCGTAATTATTGATCTTATCGCATTAATGATTATTTTGGTTTAATCAATCTGCAAGCTTTATTCAGAAAATAATCACAACGTTCAATCCTCCTCCATAATCCGGATTTTACAGTGTAATCATGATAAAAACATTGTGTTACGTGCTGTCCATTACGTCCGCATGGGGAGCATGCCAAATCCGCTTATTTGTTTTTACCATCACGTGACACGCAACGGGAGGGTGGGGTGGGACGGCGAACATATGGTCGCCGGGGACTGCAATATTACTGAACGCCATTATAGCAATCCGTCCCGATCTGCAGCCATACCTTGGCGCTTCCTTGTTGTTCGGCAGAATTACGCTCAGCTGTTACCGCTAGGCTGTTCTATGCCACTTCCGGCCGCGTTGGGAGATGCGGGAAGCCCCGGCGGATCAATGCACGCACTGGGCGCGCTCTGCGGAACCCATTAGTCGCCGTCCGAGGGCGTCCCGCCAATTACGCCAAGCGCCCTTCAACCCGGGCGCAATACGGCACTGGAGACCACTTGGACGAGTCCCATCTCCCGGGATAATCATCCCGGCGATGATTTCACGGCGCTGACGTGTCAGCCATAAACAGGACGCCTTGCACGTGTAAAGTAAAAGAAAATGCCGGTGGCGGCGTTATCGTAATTAAGCGGGACAGTTATACGAAAATTATACGGCGAATCATGCAGAATTGGGATTCATCAGCAGGCGCAGGGTAGTTGTAATCGACTGGGGTTGGATCTCATTAGGTGCAGGAAATAGCGGCTGGTTAGGACGTGATTACATCCACTTTGGGCTTCATTAATCATGTTTATATGTCGATTTTTCCCGGAAACAGACTGCTGTTGTATACCAACACCGCTGGTAATTTTCTCGATGACCTTTAACGGCGAAAGCAATTTGCACAAAAACAGGAGGGATCGACGCATATCCGGATGTAACATTTACCAGCCAGGCACGGCACCGACAACGTCCGGTTTACCTATCATAGAAGTATACCACGAAACTGGAAAATGAGACTGAATCTGAATTTGACTATGTAAATTTAAAGCTGATTGAATTGAACTGAATTGAATTGACTATTGAACTAAAGCTAATGAATTGTCGTTTTTGATCAACTATGGTGATTGAATTACGAATTAATATTAAATTTTATTATTTCCTACTACAGTAAAACAAATTAGATATCCGCTAGACGGTGCGTGACTCAAAAACTGATTAATACGATTAACATACAGTGTGCATGCAACAGGAAAACATCCATGCGAATAAACTGCCAGCACTGGATTAGCACATAGAACCGTTTGTTTGTGCAGTACTGTATGCGCTGTATATACTAGTACTATCGTACACACAGTAAATAAATGTGTATATGCGTGTTTTTATAAATTCTTTTTTATATTTAGCTAAGTAGCAACTAATTATATGTTTTTGAAGACTTTTCTTAATTATTTTTTTCCATACAGGGTTGTTACGACAACGCCGGTCTCCTGCCCTCCCCCGGCATCCCCACCCCGGAACCGACGGCGCTCCAGCCGGGCCCGGACCCCGGCATCCCGTACCCCCGCGGCATCCCCCCGCTGATCATCACCTCCCACCCAAGCGACGCCTCCCTCCCGCCGCCCCTCCCGGACTCCCTACAGGCCAGCCACTGGGACATCGGGCCCGGCGGTGGTGGTCTCCCGCCCAGCGGCCGCAACCCGGCGGTGCAGTTCTACGTCGGGAGCTGCCTCAGCGTCTCCTCCGCGGCCTCCTCCATCTCCTTCTTCAACACGCTGTACGCCCACGGCTACACGCCCATCTGCCGCATCTGCCACCAACCGGCTAGCGACAAGCGGCCGCTCATCACGCCGTGTCACTGTACCGGGTCGCTGCGCTTCGTCCACCATAGTTGTTTGATGCGGTGGCTGGACACGCGGACCAAACAGCTGGGACATAATCCCAAGTGCGAGCTTTGTGTGTACCAGTTCCGGGCGCGCCGACACTGGCGCTCCCTGTCCAGTGTGCGCTGGCCAGCGATTCCGACAAGGGATAAAGTCCTGCATGGGATTTTCTTCCTGGCGCTGGTGGTCATGGGCGTCTGTTTAGGTAGGGTTGAATGATTTGAATTAAATGATCTGAAAAAAATTTCAAAAAAAATTTAAGCAGTTTGAAAAATGAATATTAAATTTAGTTAGCTTGTTTTAAAGGACGTTTTAACAAATGGATGAATTAATTTATAAAACATAAACAAAATTTTTTTTAAAATTTAGTTTCCATGTACATATCGTTATTTCCAGCCGTTATTTAATTGTATTTTTATTAGTTCGGAGTTTGATCCATTTCGGCCACTGAAAATGTTTAAAAGATAATTTGATAAAATATGTAATTATTTTTAACATTTTAAGCCGTTTTACAGCCGGAAGTCCCGTTTGATTTTGCAATGATGTGACTGAAACATTTGAAACTAATTACTTTTTTAGGCGTGATCGGGAGTGTGTTCAAGGGGCAGCCGCCCACAGTGGAGACGGAGCCGCGGTCGGGGGAGACGGTGACGTTGGTGTGCGGCATCGTGTTCTTCGTGGCGTTCTTCGCGGCCACGCTGGCGCAGATCAAGGCCAGCTGGAACGTGTGGCGCTTGTTGAGGATTTTCTGGGATAATAATTACGTCATGCAGCTGGAAAATGATCTCTCCGTCGGCCAAAAGGAATCCAACCGTGTACGGGCCTGATCCGGCCACACAAGAGCGTCACAAAGACGACTGCTTACATTTTGGCGGGATTTCTTGTTGGCTTAAAAGTGGCGCTGAGCGGCTTCACCAATGATAATCAGAATTCTGTCACAATAATTAACTACTGACTGTACTGATCAGTCTTTTCGTAGAGCAATTTTTCTGAATCAGAACAAAGTATTAGAGATTCTTTAGCAATGATCATGAACGTTACTATTCTTCACTATAGTTTCACCAAGATGTGTAGGGTAGAACCATCTTGGTTTCACCTTAAGTTGTCCCTGTAAATAAGAAAAATTGAATAAAGCGTATAATTGAATAAAGGGTCATGATTCAGTAACTACGAGTATATTGCAGTATTTCGAAAAAAGCTAGGTTAGATAGGCCGTTTCGTTTAGTGAAGTACATTAAGACAGTTTGAAAGAATTCGAACGCAAAGGAGACATATAATTTGGTACATTCTAGACTGAAAACAAAACTTTTATTTACAGCCACTTTTACAGTCGGACGGTGTAAGATTAACATTGCCTAATGGAGCAGAATGTTCTCTTTCAAGCAAAGAGGAAAGAAAGTACTTGAAGTACCAAGCATGCAACATGTACCGGCACACTTCCCTTAAACATTACTGGTGGTGGCTGTCACCATCGTTGCGCGTTGTCGGTCCATGGGTATGTTCGTATGTACGTATGGGGCTGAGGATTATAGCTTAAAGCCATGGACAACGTATGGACAGGTTTCATGACTTTCATCCATCGTTTTGTCATGTACCACTACCGGAGTGTCTGTGAATAATGTAACGTGTAATAGGAAATCTTACATCATGTAACTACTGTAACAAAACATTTACCACAAACTCGTTACTCATTAACGCTGTAATTCATTCCTTTAGCTGTCAACAATGTGTGTTGGCAAGCCGCTTCCGCTTCTCATGCAACAGAGACAAGAAATGTTACAAGAAACAAATTCGGTTGGGAATCCGAAAACCATCTACGTAGTTCTTACTGCAAGTGCAAACATTTCAAGTCGTCAAAACAAACAGGTAAAATTGGCAAAAAAAGGAGGAAGCAACTGAGTAAAGGCACACTGCTGAGTACGTTTAACAGAGAGCTGATTATCGAGTATTTTTCGTGGCCACCGATACAAGTACTGCTCAAACTACGTTATAGTTGTCCCGTTTCCAATTGGTTGGCAGAACGAACGATGGTCCCGGCAGTCCTTTGGTGTCACCAGATAATCGGTGGCGTAGATCGGACAGCGCTTGTACTGATACGGAGTGGCAGCCCAAGCATAACGGACAAAACTGACGTTCACGCCGCACAATGTTGTGATGACGATGGCATTGTCGGTTGACACGCCCGCCTGACTGCTGGTGTGGCGCCACACGCTGCAGTCCCACCAGTTATCCGTGCACAAAGCCGGCGCATCACAGCACACCTGTCCGTAAAGCAATCAGCGCATGACCTTTGTACGATATGGTTTGTTTATGCTGCACTGAAAATCGAGCCGTTTCATGTTTACGCATATTGCATAATCATGCGTAAGCTTAATTCTTTGGACGAACCTAGCCCACCGCTTGTTGATTTTCTTATTTAACTATTCAACTTGCTTTTTCTAAATTTATATATCAAAGTTTTGACCCGCGGACCGACTGGCTGACGCCGCGACTTTAAATATATTAAATATTTACACATGTTTACATATATTCGTTTCTACTTTGCATATGGTCACAATTTGCCGGCACCAGCTGAATGCACCAACCTCGAAATTACTGGATACGTCCGGAAAGAAGTTGATTCGCTGGTCATATTCGATATAAACACGGTCCTTCATCAGTTGCACCCGCTGCGGGAAGGGGCCTTGAAAGGGAATTTTGCGACCGTAGAGAAGTGAGAGGATGCCGGCGAATAAGCGCTGCGCAATCTCCTCTTTGTACCGCGGGAGCTCCCTGTAAAAACACAATCCGAGAGGTTATTACGGAATACACGCGCGATTTTCAACGAGTACGATCCCTTACGAGCCAAACGGCGACTCCGGATCCGCCAGATCCAACGCCAACGCCATGAACACCCGCACCAGCGCTGGGTTGGGCACCTGCCCATACTCGGCGGTCTGCTGCCAGCGTAACTCCACGGTGGCTCCCGTTATGTCCTCGTGGTTCCGCATACCCAGCTGCACGATGCCGAAGGGCAGGCTGATGCCGCGGAAGAAACCGTCCCGCCATCCTTCCACCATGGCCTGGAATAGACAGCCGTACGAGTCGGGATCGACGGCCGTATCCGCGACTCGCTGATACCAGAGGACGCTGGGGAAGCCATTTCTTTAGGGGAGCAATCATGGTGTTCCACACTACGGAGTCGGTTGCCGACGGTTGCCCAGTTCCCGTGCAGTGTGCACTAACGTCCCGGCGGAATCCAGGCACGTATGGGAGAAGTGGTGTCCTGATAGGCGCCGATCAAGCCAATCGGGACTTTTTGGCCTGTTTGAGCGATGGCAGTGATACACAGGCCCACCAAGCTCAGTTCGGGCAGCTGCATAAAATAATTTTAAAACTCCCGCTTCTTGCTTTGTACTAGTGTGACTTTTTATTGTGGATTTGGCAATATTTATTTAGACCCATTCGGATCGGAGTGTTATAAAAAACCATAATTATGAAGGCACGAACTTGGCTTGGCAGGGCTATAAATTTCCGAATACAGTGATTTAAGTTAACAACTGTACCAGCTGCACGAGCTAGCTGAAGGAATTTGATGTACAAAAGTTCAACGAATAAGTCGGAATAACTATGCACACTATATGGTTGTAGGCTACGGAATGTACCAAATCTCCCGCGAGTATTCTTCGAACACGCGCCGACCAGTCGCCCAGCACAGAGCCGAAAAGTCCTTCAAGGAAGCCGGGCTGGCCACTGTCCAGTTCTGCCGGATGCGTGGTTCTTCTGGCTCGTTGGGAGACGACGCCGGTGCGATGGTCAGCGACTCAGCAAGCGGATAAGCGGAAAGTGTGAAGAGGCCGCCAGTTCCTCCGAAGCATTAAACATCTACGGCAAATTTACGTACGTAGCTATATTACTTTGGAGCTGTTCTCATTCGTCACATCTCAACCGAATGTAGCGCGCTAAAACATCTTTTTTCAACCAATACTTCAAACATATGAATAATCTCCCTCAGCCACAAGGAATCAAACCGCGTGCGGGCCTGATCCGGCAATGCACGCGCGTCACAAAGACGGTTGTTTAAGTTTTGGCGGGATTTCTTGTGGGCTTAAAACCGGCGCTGAACGGCTTCACCAATGATAATCCGAATTCTGTCACAATAATTCAGCACTAACTGTACTGATTAGTCTGAATTTTTCTGAATCACAACTTAGAGAGCAATTTTTCTGAAACTTAGAGCAATCTGAATCACAACTTAGAGAGCAATTTTTCTGAAATAACTTAGAGCAATTTTTCTGAATCACAACAAATTATTACCGATTGTTGATTTAAAATGGTTTAAAAACGAAGAAAAATGCCTCTGCTGGATTTTCTGACTAAATATAGCGAAAATAACACTTCCGCCTTCCACACAGTTTCAAAGCGAGAGAAAATTGAGAACAGCTAGTCCAAACGGTCGCGTTTTAATCAGTTTGTTTTACACAAAAAAAATGCAGAACTAGTAAAAAACAGCGTCAGTAGTATACAAAAAAATATCGGAAATTAATCCACAAAATTAACTTTGCAGGAATCAGGATGCAAAAAATCAACGTAAAACTTGTGCACCGCACGACATCACCGCCCAACAAATTCTCCGCGTTGAAAAAAAAATAACAAACAACAGTACTTATTATAAAAAAAAAACAACAGGAATAATTTTGCACATGGAAGAGAACAGGCGAGCGACAGATCATATTCTCTAAAAAATTAATATCAGCGCTGTGTACAAAACGATAAGGCACATCCACCGCTGACGGCCAGGATTATTAACGCTTGCGCTTTTTGGCGGCCGGCTTCTGTGGCTGTTCCAACGGGCGTTTCGCCGGCGGCGGCGGCTGCTGCTGCGGTTGGCGCATGATCGCGTCGATGCGCTGACGGTACGCCGAGAAATCCGCTCTGCCAACAATTCATTAGGAATTAATTTTTCATTTATTATTTTTCCTATTTTAATTTAGCTAACTTATCAATCATCTTAAATTAATTTTTCATTTATTATTTTTCCTATTTTAATTTAGCTAACTTATCAATCATCTTAAATTAATTTTTTTCTTTATTATTCTGCCCAGGATTTTGTATATAAATTATTTATCAATTTAAAATCTTTTTTCTTTTATAATTCCCTGATTTCCCCCAAGATTTTAATTTATATCTAAATTTAAATTCATTTTTTCTTTTAATTATTTTCCGGAAGACATAAATTGTTATAAAATATAATTACCAATCAATTTAAATTAATTTTTTCCTTTATTATGCTGTCTGCCTTGATCCAAATTACGAATCAATTTAACTTCATTTTTAAAACCATTCTGCCAGTAATCTTCAGATTTTAAATGGTTCGGGCCGTATTTCAATACGCTCTGCATCAGCTAGATTTAAATTTCGTGCCATTAACATGCTACGCAAGAAACAGCACAAACCGAAAAAATAAATAAAAGAAACTATGTTAAAATTTAAAAGCGATGTATTTAACAAAATGCTCTGTAAACAATAGTATAAATTATGAAACCGAAAATAAAGCAAGAACAAATTATGGAAAACAAAAACGACTACACTGCAAGGTTAAAAAACGCTATGTTACAAACAGTAAAATTAAATTAAATACAAAAAATTAGAAAAATAAAGACAAACGAAAACATAAAATAAATAAATAAAATTAAAAAACTGCGGTAAAAATTAAAAAAATCACTCACGTCATTACGCCCTCGCGCTTCTCCTTCGCATCCAGCTCGCGGAGCATCCGGTGGCCGGCCGGCACCGAGGCGAACTCGGCCAGCAGCTGGATATCGTTGTGCAGGCGGGCGCGCTTGGCTCGCTCCTCCTCCTCCTGGCGCAGCATCTGGCGACGGCGCTGCTTCTCGCCGTGCAGGACGAAGCGCAGATAGCTGGCCAGGACGTCCGGGAGGTGCGCCTCGCACCAGCTGTACTTGCGGCGGAGGGCCGCCTGGCGGGGGGCGGGCGGCCGCGCCACCACGGTGAAGAGCCAGCGCGACGGCGAGTGCGCGTCGGCGCCCAGCCGCGGCTCCACGTGGTCCGTGATGGCGAAGGGCGACTTGCCGGCGCCGTCGGCCTCGTCTCCTGATTCCGAGTAGGCCAGATCTGCGGGTAGAAATAATCGGCTGCAATTTTATCCAAATTATTCGCCCCTCATTTTTTTTTATATTCCGTTTCAAACATTTTTCTAATTAAATAAATTTCTTTTAATTTTAAATTATTTTTTAAATTTTTTCTTGACTCTCATTTCACAGTTGTTTAATTTGTTCGGACATTTTATTTTTCCCCTAATAATTTTACCAATCTCCCGAACTTTTACTAATATGATTTCCATCCGCGTTTTCTATGCAATATAGAATATTTCTATAGAATATTTGTTTCCAGTTTAATTTAATTATGTTCGGGTTAATTCAATTTTCCTATCATTAGCACACAGATTATCTAGTTTTATTACGTACATTAATTTAAAAGAGCTCTGTTGCGTTTAGAGACCTATTTTACAAGTATTTTAGGGAGAATTTAATTCAGTTTTGTGCTTTTTCCTGATTTAACTTAATTATGTTTGCAGTAATTTAATTCTGTATATCATCGGAAAGAACGGAATTTCTGTATAGAGGAAAAAAACGGGGCAGCAGATTTTTACATCGTGTGCAATGTGCAGTACAGATACACAATCAGGAAAAACAAGGAAAATCTATAGAAAAGCGCTTGGCGATGTGCTTACCACTGTGCGAAGACGCTTCGTCGTCGGCGCTGCCGCCCGACGCTTCACTGCGCGCCACGGACACCGTACAGCGAATTTCCGGCGAGAAACGGCGGACGGGAGCGGACACCGCCGGCCGGATAACGGGCTGCGACGCAGCGGGCTGGGAAGGCCCGGCAAACACTTCGTCTGCACAAATTACATTATAAATCAAAATAATATCATTTCACAGCGCGCTCATTCTCAATCCGCATACAGTGTATTGTACAATTACCATGCATAAAAAATCTGCAAATAAAATTAGCAAGAATACCATAATAGGAAGAAGAGAATCCACAGCAAGCAAAGAAAAAAAATCATTTTTCACAATTAAAAATGTCAGTGAAAATCAATTTACTATGAAATACACAGGAATTAAAATTGAAATAAATTCAGTGTTAAATACACTGCTAACGACAATAAGCGGAAAATTCCAATCAATTCAATAACATTTGACATACACTGGAAATCACAATTAAAATAAATTCCGGGTTAAATAAATTGTCAATTCCGTGTCACACAAATGGTTCAATTTCCATTTTCCGCAGTAAGTACTACTGTACCGATAATCTGCACGGAGCTGCTGCCGGAGCTAACGGGACTGGGCTGCTTGGCTGGGTGTGGGCGCGAGCCGGTCGGCTGTTTCGTGGGGCTGCGCGGGGGCTGTTTGCGCGTTGCACTGCGAAGCCGCGCCGCCGGTGCCGGACGATTACTGCGCAGTCCGCGGCGCTGGCAGCGCTGTTCACGCAGCCGCTCCGACGAGCGCAGCGTCGCCACCCGGCCGGCGCTGCCGCCGGTCTTCCGCGGCGTCCCAGCGGTCTTCTTCGCGCCGGAGGCTGCAGCAAATAAATAGAAATAAATTATTTCCACAAATTATTATCTAACATAGAAATAACATCATTCAAAACCTATCCAACACACTAGGGAAAATTATAAATGCCATTTATTATCGGGTGTAGTTTCGTGTGAAATGCACCTGGCGTTGTCGCTGACGACACCCGGCTGGCGCTGCGGCTCTTCTTCCTCGGGCTCCGCGCTGTCTTCTTTGAGCCTGACACTGCAGTACAATAAATTCCTCAGTTAATACGAAATAATCGAAAATACTCATCAGCACGCATTTATTCGCTATCAGGACGAAGTACATGTATTTTTTTATAAATAAATAACCGATTGAAAAAATTAACGATATCAATAAAACACAAATGTATCAGTAATATCGAATAATTTAGGGAGACACGCAAGAAAATCGATCAACGAAGAAAACCAAAGCCGTAAAACAAATACTTAATCATAGTAAATGTTTTTTGTTTTTCGGCAAACATTCCTGGCAGCTGCATAGGAAGATTATTCCAGATTTTTTATTTTATTTACTGTACTGGCCAACCGCCATAGCGCACCTGCTGGGGTCGTCACTGGTGACACACGGCTGCTGCGCTTCTTGCTCGCTGTTTTAACCGTCTTCTTCGATCCGGATGCTGCAACGCAAATTCGCAGTGATTAGAAATTCACGAGTTATTTATACATTTTTCCTCGTTTTTTTTTTTAAAATTATTCGTCAATAGCTGCTTAATGTTTTGGCAGTATCCAGATCAGTTTTTTAACGGTCCATAATTATATTTTCGTTCAGTTATTTTTATTCAGTAATTAAATTTTGCTAATTTTTTTACTGCCAGAAGGAAAAATATTCAAGCAAAAAATATTCCCTGCGCGAAAATAATACTCGCACGAGTATTTTAACTGCTATTGTCCAGAAAGAGTAATTTCTTCCCATTTTATAATATCCAATCATCTTACTTATTTCTTAATCGTAATTTTATTCGTTAACTTCCCCTTAATATTTAGATGAATATTTTGTTGTACCTGTTGGCGCTAAAAAATTTCCAAAATTAATATGTCTAATATTAATCCGGCAAATTAAACCAATGATTTGTCCCTTTTAAATAATCTTCACAGTTCACACTATTAATTCCAATTAATTACTGCGTAATCACATTTTATTTGTGTATTCCCCGTGAATATTTTTGTAATTACAATGTTACTACATGTATTCTGCGCACCTGTTAACACCAATAATAATTATCAAATTAATATTCCTAATAATAAGAACAAACGAATAAATTGTTCCTATTAACAAATTTCACAATATCAATTCTCAGTAATTACTGAGTAATCATATTCTACGCGGTTACTGCCAGTCAGTAATTTTGTGAATATTTTTGCGCACCTGTAGGCACCGTCACCGGCTCCTTCTCCCCGTTCTTCCCCACCAAGCGCAGCTGCTGTTCCTTGCGCAGGATGAAGTAGCGCACCCGCCCATCGTCCTCCTTCTCCAGCATCAACACTTTGCGGCCCTTGTAGCGCTGTGCCAGGTACTCCATGACGGCGTCCTTGCAGTGGTACTCGCCCTGCAGCAGGGACGCCAGGGGCTCCCACGAGTCCTCGGAGGGCGGGTAGCCCTTCCAGTGCACCTTGAACTCCCCGGCGAAGGGATCCCCGCCCGTCAGGCGCCGGTCGTTGATGATGCGCTCCACCTCGTACTGGGGGACGGCCGCGGGAGGGGGCGGCGGGGGCGGGGGAGAAGTGGGGGCGCGGGGCGGTAAGACGGTGGCGGCGCGCGGGGGGCGCTGACGGGGGCGGTTAGGTGGGGGTGAGGGGCGCTCGCGGAAGCGGGAGGAAGGCGCCGGGGGGCGGGGGCGCAGGCGGCGGGGGAGGATGAGGGGTGAGTGGTGGGGGTTGCGGCGGGGGCGACCCATGTCTGCAAAAGAAGGCCAGGGGCTCAAGGATAACGTGGAGGGCTGTGCGAAATCGAATGAGTATCACGCTGCGACGAAACCAGCTTCGATCAGCGTGCCAACGGCCGACAGCAAGATAGGGAAAAACGAAAACTGAAATATCTGTGCGATATTGTAGCGTAGGTTCTCGATTGAGTCTCAACTTGTCCAAATAGAAACAGGCAGAGATAGCAGTATCATTATGATATTATCATGTGAAAAGTGAGCACTTCTTACCGGAAGTAACAAAATGATCCCACAGAGAACAAAAGCACAAATTATTAAAAATCCCAGAGAAACGATAAACTGGAAAGATCCACGCACTAAAAAACTAAATTAATGACTGTTGATAAAAGTGAGAACGAGCTCTGACATGCGAAATTGTGCGGGTTCCCGTTCGTGGCAAGAAAAGCCTTTTCATTGGCAAGTGGTATGTGTCAGCTGCCACTCGAAGGCGGGCACGATGGGTAAGTAAGCCCGCTTTTCCTTTCAGTACTCGTATTAAAGTACTGTACTCGTACTTTTTGAAATCTTGGTTATGACTGTACATGTACTAATACATATTATTGAAATCAAACGTCGCTCATTGCAAAATGCAAATACATTGAAATGAAATGCTTATCTTAGACCCTAGAGTAGTTGGCATGAGATAAGCTTGTAAGTAATCAGTCCTAGTTGAGATTTTATTTTGAATCCTAGTTGTTGAGCCAGACCACAACGAACGATCTCCAAGCTTAAACGTCGAAAGAGAAAACACGTGGAACGCGATTATACTGTGAACTACGGATCGTTAGAACTTTTCGTTACGTTTACTATCAAAAACGTTACGATCAAATGAAAGTTTTTATACATATGCACCGTATCTCAAGGTTTTTAATGTGACGAATGACCTTTCCCTCGGTTCTTCAACTTTTCGCAGTGCGAAAAGTTGAAGACACTATTCGTTTTATTTACAGTACTTTTTGGCACCATTCGTTTCATTCCGTTCATAGGCTTTTCCGGCATTGCCTTTAAATCCTTTTACAAATACTGTAGTTAATAGTCATACTGTGTTTTCTGGCAAGTGCGAAACAGATTTGTTTTTCTTATTGCTTAATTCTGCCACCGCTGTTTGTTAAAAATTGTTACAGTACGAGAGTTCGCTGAATGTTCGTAAATGATGTTGCCATACTTCCAGATCCAGTAAATAGCGCCCAACATGTCATTTATGTCGTCTCCACAGGACGGCAATCAGTTAACGGACGTGGAATCTGCGAAGTTAGGTAGGTCTACAATATATTATTATGATTATATGCTCTTTTTGAACTTTACAAAATTATGGTGCGGAAAGAAACCACAGAGATTTCTCTCACTATTGCTCATGGCAAAACGTGAAAAGTGAACCCGAATAAATGGTACACAAAGTAGTGCGCGCAAATTAAAGACAATGGGTGACATGTACAAGAGCATCCTATCCACATCTACAGACTGTAGGTATGTACTGCTACTACTGTATCTACTGAAATCTTAAACCTGCTTCTTATCTTCCTGAACGTAGGAGGAGTAAAGCCTATGGCTACTGGTCCACGTTGGCCGTGGCACTTCGGTCTCTGATAGCCAAAGGCCAGTCTCTTGTAATGTACCAGTTGTTATGGAATATCTGTTGCTGTTACCGTGGCACCTGCGCGTGTTGATCGAGAAGATAAGCCGTGCGAGGCACCTCGATCATCAATCGTTGTAATGCCAACAAACTAGAGTAGAGATTCGATCTCGATGTGATTAAATCCACGGTTTGCATCTGGGTTTCGCTTTCGTGTGAGGAGCAGCTTGAGACCTCTGAGTGACCTTTGCTCAAGTCTTCGGTGACCCTTGCTTCACGGGCGTACGCAGTCACCTTTTCGGAATGTCCTGCCGTGTAACGTGGTAACGGTTCGCTTCTCATTTATGCCATGACCTTTGGTCACTTCTTCTGGAGAAGTTCTCCATTCTTTATTCCCGATTTCGCGGTATCGCCTGGTCACTGGCGATGAATATTCTGTCGCTTCTGCTTACATCATGCGTGTTGGAATGGTAGGTGTAAATCGTCTTGCAAATTGTGTGTATCTTGTGTTTACAGCAGGGATTCCAGGTTCCAGTTTTCGTAGTAAAGGCTAGGCCATCATTTTGCCATCCACTGCTTTCCCAACAGTTTGAGAGACAGGGAGACAGAGGGTGCTTTACCGTTGTATCGTGGTCGGTATGTGAATAAGCTTACACTTTTGGCAAGGTCTTTACTCTTTACTTCACGACAGTTATTACAGTAGCACAGAAGGTTGCGAACCGAGCTAAAGGTTACAAACCGTTGCAACTGTGAACTGTCTGCCAGTTTTTAAATTTTTGCGCCGGTTAATTGTTCATTCAGGATATGCGGTAAATTACGCATGAAGTTTTTTAACGCCGTACTGATACGGTTTTTATTAGCGAACAAACGGTTTTCTGACTGAGTCGAACAACTGAACAAGCGATATAAAACATGTAATTTCCGAATATGGCAACACTGCAGCGGGCTAACCACTGCTGTCAACTTTTAACCAATCACACCAACTCTATGAGAATAATCAACCAGTAATGAGAAAGCCGCCATAAATTAAAATCAAGCCATTCCGCGCAATCCGAATGCATCAGCCGTGGAAAGAGAGAGTGCCATCAGAACGAGCAGCGTCGCCGACTGGTATCATCCGCCAGGAACATGACCACGGTGTGTGAGCACTCCCGGCCGGACGAATTACTCGGCGTACAGTTGGAGACGTTGGACGACGACTTGAACGCCGAACTGCGGCGCGCGATCCGCTCCCGCTTGTACACCGCATCCGGCAGCGGACCCGACGCGATCTGGTGCATGTGGTTAATCGAGCTGGACGAGGACGACGAGAACAACGACATGGGTTCGCTACTGTACGAATACCGCTTCCAGTAGCGTGTCGGTTTGCGTTTAGCCAGTTTATTGGCCTTGGACCCGGGCCAGAGATCGGCGAAGAAGAAGCGCGGACGGTTGGAGCGTTCGATGTCGAAGCAGACGTTGCGCTTGACGGAGGACCGCCGTCCGCCCCCACTGCTCCCGCCCCCGCCCGACGGGAGGGTGGAGTCCGCTTCCCGGTCCTGAGTGGAGCGGGTGAGGTGCACCCGGGAGCTGGGCTCCTGCTCGTCGAAGGGCGACTCGAAGATGTTGGTGCGGCCGGCGCGCTGGCGCTGCTTCTTGGACCAGGAACTGTGGAAGAAGGCCGAGACCTCGTCGCAGGCCAGGATGTAGATCAGCGGGGTGGAGGAGCATGGGGACCAGGGCGATCTGCGGGAAAGTGCTGTCCAGGGTGCAGGCGGCGTGGACGGGGCCGGCCGTGGCGGAATGCTCTTGGTTGATCAGCGACTGGACCTGCAAGCATCGTGTCCCCATTATTAGATGACCATTACGTGTCTAAGTCGTATACTCCCAAAGTGTGTACATACAGTACAGCCGGTCCGGTGTTAGAGCACGATAGAGAACATCTAATGCATAATTAGCGCGATGTTCGCGCTTAGCACGATGGCCACTACACTACGCTCGTTATAATGCGTAAATGCGCTCCGCAGTTAGATGTCCCTTACCGCACCGACCGTTTTTTAGCCACCTTTCGTCAGACAGTTACTATTATACTCATTGAAATAAATAACGTGCACCAAGCCGCCCACCATCCAGCGAAACGCATGTTACGTGTTTAAACAGAGTGGCGCGGCGTGGCGTAGTATGTTGTTTGGCGTAACACGTGGAATTTCATTTTTCGCTGTTCTCTATCGTGCTCTATCTCCGGACCGGCTTGTACATGTACTGTATAGCTTATGCTGTAACTGTAAGAATTATTGGAGCTTTTCTTACACTTTATTTTATCAGCTAGTAACATGTTTCATTGTAAAAGCCACGTTCGTGTTGTTATCCTGTATTGCTGCTAATTTTGATGAGGATCGGTTTAGAATGAGACTTTTGGTACACGTGCACTTGAATGCAGTTTAAACTTTTTTTTCGGGCATATAATTCCGTAACCGGCTGTCGCGTACACAAACGGCCTTTTCACGCCAGTGTTTCTAAAATACTCAATAGCTGCATGCATAAAATGAGAGCGAAACTTTTTGTATATGTATGTCATAGTAACTGCGACTATCGGGCACCGTGAAGCGGTACTTACATTTCACTATTATACCGGCTACTGGGTAAGCTGCGGATGTGTTGGCAACTCTGCCAGACAAGATTAACTTTCTGAGAATAATGATTTTGTTTTGTATTTTCACTCTTATGATTTGCCATTTGAATCTTTCTAGCCGTGAAAATAAAAATTTATTGTTTTCTTATGTGAAATACACAAAATACAATATTTTTTTAGAACGGCTGATTATTCGAACTACTGATTATAAAGCACTTACTTCAGTTAGTGAGAGTCGAACATTAATTGCAGGTCGGATTAATAACACAGAGGCGATAGAATAGTATTTGTTTATGCATTAATAATTGGGTCGGCGCGCCTTGAAAATATTCCTCTTACAACTCGGATCCGGTCCTTTACAGTTTCCGGATACAGTGCATATATGAATTGGTTTGGCTCATAAAATAATAATAACAAATTATTATATGATAAAGTTAACGAAATTATCGATTAAATCCAAAAACTAATGACATTAATGCGACGGATATGTGCTGTCTGTTTAATTCGTGTAGGTAACATTGACATTACATAGCTGTGACACATAATAAATAAAACCAGGTAAAATCAAATGTTCCGGCTTTCCCGGTTGACATTACAGTTACAAGGTGCAGCGCGGAATTCATTACGATATTAATGCCAGTTAATATGTTAATGCACACCGCGCAGCTGCCTTCGAGGAAGCAACGAGCATGTGATTTCGCCGATGCACCGTTGTATGCCGCTAATGAAGGGACGAATGCTCCCTACGTCTAATGTATTATGAAAGGGTATATCGCATGACAGCACGTGGTGGGCGTGACGTCAGCGCGCGCACTCTTACCAGGAAGGGTGTCCAGCAGATGGTGGTGCAGACGGTGTCGGCGAAGACGATCCCGAACATCTTCACCGGCTTCGGATTGTTGCCGGTGTTGGGTTTCGGGCCGTTGCTGACCACCGGCTCCGGCTTGGCGGCGCCGGTATGGACGCGGCTGAAGATGGACAGCGCCGCGTACGACAGACACGAGCTGATTATCACAGTCAACGTGAGAATGCAGTAGAAAAACGTGAACACCCGACAGTCCAGCAGACTGCGGAAAAAGTCCTGGCAATCCGGACACGCCCACATCGTCTGCAATAATGCCGGTGCAATTAATTGATGATTAGAGTTTTCTTCTGTTTTCTTATGCTTTCTTATGTTTTCCCATATTTTCTTGTGCTTTCTTATGTTTTCTTAGGTTTTTCTTATTTTTTTTCTGTTTTCTTGTAATTTTTTAGGTTTTGCAGGTTTTTTATAGCTCTCGATTCGGACGCTTGCAGGCTTTGTATTAGCGAAACGAAGCGGAAATAAAATGTGGGCGGTATGTAACTAATGTAAGAACAAAATAAACTAAAACGTAAATAATAATTTTGCTTGTGATATGGTCACCGAAACGTGCTAATAGTATGTCGTGGACGTCATTCATTTATTGGTACCGAAGTATAAATAAAAATACTGATATTCAATATTATTCTAAATACGCGAAATGGTATTTTAGCATTGACATTAATGCATGATTAAGAACTAAAGCGGAACAGTCGTTAACGAGTTTCGATGACGTAGTTGTTCTGTTCCAGTAAAAGAGATTTGCTAAAATTAAATAATCCTTCTCGGATGGCGCGCGCACCATGGTATTGTCACAGTTTCTTCGTATATAGGCTTCAAAACTAGAGCGTGGTATTGTCAACCTGAGCCCCGGCTGACGTATTGCCGGCACCGGTAAATTAATCGCAAATGACGCTGCTGCTTCAGTTTGTCGCCGGCAGCGTTTTCTGTCAAAAGGAAATAGTGGAAATTCTACAAAATCCTACTCCTGAAGACAAAAAAATCCATGAAAACAAAAATGAAATGAGATTTATACCGGGAATAGATCATCGGGGATTCGGGATATTACGACTTAACCGGTGACCCGGCATTTCACTGATGAAAATTCGTCTTCAAGTCGAGCATACCCAATGTCGACCCGTCACGCATTGCCGCGCTAGAGCATTGCTGAACCGGCTTTAATTTTCTTAGGCTTCTTGGGTTTTCTTAGGGGTTCTGGATTTTTTTAACGGTTTCGTAAACTTTGAGGGTTCTGTCACGTACTGAATTGAAACATCACATGAACCGTAGGCTGCTCATAAAGCAACTAATCTATTACAGTTATACGACATTACGACTAATTACTTACAGATGAATAATATTGCTGTTATTGGTTGCTAAATCAATACATCACCGGTTCCTTGGGTTTTCTAGGTTTCTTAGATTTCCTATAATTCTCTTAGCCCTGGTTGCAGTCGACGCCGTGCGGTCGACCTCACTACGCTTGTTACGTCGTGTTCGTTAACTTAAGCAATGTTCACGTTCAGCTACGACTTACACTGAGCGTCCACTGGCTGATATCGCACCACAGCCCGCCTCCCGGCGGCAGTGCCATCAACCCGCCGATCCCCACCACGACAAACACAGCCTTGACCCAGCCGCTGCCGGGCAGCGGGCGCTGCGGATACATCACACTGTAGACGCGCTGACTGGCCATGGCCCCGATGATCAGCGTCTCCACCAGCCCCAGCCACGTCACCGTCCCCATGAAGACCATGTAGATAACGGGGGTCGCCCGCGGCGCCGGACTGGAAGACACGGCCAGGGAATACGCGATGTGGCTGGTGAAGACCACCCCGCAGCCCAGGAGATCGGCCAGCGCCAGGACGGTGACGAAGGGCAGCGGGGGCGCCAAGGTAGGGTGCAGGACGCCGGGGTCACGTGCGGCGGCGGTGGCGGTGGCCGGGGAACGGGGCAGACGCCGACGGCGCCGGCGCAATTGGAAGCTGATCACCATTCCGTTGGCAATTAGGCCCACTGTCTGCGGAAGAGCAAGGCACTGATTAGCGCATGTTGATGCTGACACCGGAAAAGCGTGCACTGTCCGATGAACTGGTAATCGTGGCGTAATCGCCGCGTGCCGCTGCTGCCGAGAGGACGCACACGACATCGGGCGACGTTTATGTGCTTGGCCGTGTCGGCAATAATAATTTGAACGATGCTGGCACGCAGCGCATGGCTCTGTGCACGCCTTCAATTGCTCATAAACATACACATAATTAAATTGTTGGTGCAGTCACAGTGTAAAAGGGGCAGAAGCCTTGTTTCTAAATCAACCAATAACGGACAAGCAAACAAGGTGACAGTTATTCAAAAATTAAAGAAACGTTAGTTGTATAACTTGTATGTAATTTCTTGCTTCCTCATTAGCTAATCACCGTTAAACAAAAGCCAGGTGACTACCGTTAAAATATTTAAAATCTGAGTCACTAGACAGCAGTTTTAATCTTGCTGTGAATGGAAATTAGCCAATGGCCTTCAAGCAAACCAGGTGACAACCATTAAAAACCAGTGAATAAAATTTCCATCATTTTTTTTAATTGGAAAAAACGACTGTTTTCTTCTACGACTATAGTTTAGAAATGATCCAGATTACGCATAAGTTAATTACAGCGATACTGGGTTAACGTTTCCGCTGTGCAGCGGAACACGGCGAATCCCATCCCGCGCTTAATCCCTTGCGTATCGATCTCGTGACAGCTCCGTGTCTACGCACATCTCGGCACTGGCTACATCGATACTTCACGTTGAAAGTCGACAACGGGTATCGAAAACCGATTAATCGTAATTCATTACCCATCACCAACCCATCGAAATATCCTTCACCCTGGCTAAAAATAATAAAACGGAGATGCACCCTGCTTACCAGGAGAACCGAGGCGGAGAGCAGTCCGAACAGCGGCATATCGCGCGGCGCATTCTCCAGCTGAAAATGCGGACAGTGCGCCAGGACCAGCGTGACGGCCGTGGCGTTGGCGCAGGGCGGACTGCCCGTCGACCGGGGCGGGGAGCTCTTGGCGCAGGAGGGTGACCAGACGCCGGACACCGCCACGGCGTCCGCATCCATCGCGTCGACCGACAATCACCACCAACGAAACATGGCGATTATACTCCGCTGCGAAAAATCTCCATCAACACTGTGTATCAATATCGCGGTATTATATTCGGCATTTCATCATCCTCGCATCGCGTTGCATGGATGTTGATCAGCGCGTATAGTGAGCGGGGATCAGAGAAGAACGAGGATATAAAAATAGCCGTTTACAGCGTTGTCGGATGAAGAGATTCTTTGTACTGGCTGAATTATTAATCACGATGGCAGCGCTGGCACAAAACGCCAGCCAGGAAAGTAGCTGAGAGTGTGTATTGGAGACTGTGTGTGTTCAACGGGAGCCGATCGATCGGCTGCGGTTCCTGCGCGTCGCTCACAACCCCGGCTGACGTCGCGCTAATGGCTGTACGACTGTTTGGCCGTTAGTGCTGAGAGGCCGGTGCAGTGTATTCCCGGGTGGAGTGCGCTGTTTGGCGGGCATTAAGGCGCTGTTATCTGCCCATGGCGCTAATTAGCTCTTGGCAGCGGCTAATCGTTACGACGTCGTTCACAGTGCGAGGGCGCTAAAAAAACCTCCTTGCGTCGTGTTAGCAGCGTACGGAAATTTATCGTTAGGAATAATCGTTATGCCTTGTTACAAGGATGAATATGCGGTGCGGTGAAGAGGAGCGGAATCGCCGGAATGGGATATTAATGCGACGCTGCATACCGGCTGCTTACTGGAGCTTGCAACGGCGCCCACACAGAAAGCAGCGGCGACAAGGTTGACTTTCTCTCTGTCTCTTCTCTCTGATTCTCTCCCTCTCTCCTCTCTGCCTCTCGTTCGCTCTCTCTCTGTCTGTCTCTCGCTTTTCTCTCTCACTGCTTGTTATATCCGGCGAAAGCGGGCAGACAGACAATTCGCGGCATTTTCTCTTGTCCGCACAACAACACGCAAGTCATGTATTCGCTGCCAGCTCCACTTTCACCTCGGCTTCCACTCTTTCCCTCTCCCGCGCCCGACAATCTCAGCTTTTCCAATCAACTTGTTTTTCAGCCGGCCTGCCATCGCATGCCGCCGGGCATAGCCAGCCGCTCGGTTTTTCCACCCAACGACCGAGAACACAGGCGGCGACAGGCCGCTGTGCTGGGCGGGGCCAAGCTGGAACACACGTCATAAACTCGCCTACTACAAGTCCTACTAGTTTAATCGGCAATATTTACGTAAGACGTCGATTACCGAATTAACTGGTAATTAGTCATCACATTTTGTTTTTTTGTTCAAAAACTATTTACAGATGTACTAAAAGAACAAGCAAAATGAACGTAGGTACATCGGTACACTCGCACAATAATAATAATTTATTATTTTACAGTATTAGTACTTGTAGTCTTGTACTGATAGCACGCCAGTGAAAAGGACGAAGATAATATTTTTGTTCACCTCAACGTTTAAGCATTTTTTATTCGCACAAAAAAATGTCGGAAATATTCTTGAACTGTTGAACTGGCAAAATTGGGGCTTTCTTAGCGAAAAGGCACTACGGGCTGTCAAATCATGCAGCGCATCTTCCCCGAATCCCCGGCTGATGCAACTACCCATCAATTATCGATTGGTCCGGGCGCAATTGACAAAAGCCCGCAAACGAGAACGGATTGATGCCTTTCAGCGGCTGACGATGCTGGCGCTGTACAAAATAATCAATAGTCAATCTACTCATCAACCGACGCGGGCGGACGCATTATCCCGGCGTTGTTCCAAACCGGGACACTGTCCGTGCCATTTCCCCTTTTCCAGCCGTTGATCATCATCCCAACCGACAGGCAATTAGCCAACACACCCGCCTAACGAGGCCTCATTATCCCGCGCGCCAACACACTAATCAACACCGACAACGACACACTCGCTACAAAATTACAAGCAAATCACCGTCTCACGTGGCCGCGTCTTTTCAAATCCGCTGCGCGCACACCGCAGTGTTTGCCGCGTTCTTTTCACCGCTTTTGTCACCCGGTGGAATGTGTTGTTAGCGCCTTGCGCTTGACTGCACCCGGGAACAAAATGGACAAACGACAATTACCCCGTTATAAACCGGCTAATCGATACAAATTTCCGGCCGCAGCTTTTCTTTCTCGACTTGTCATCTGATTATAGACGGATGCGCTGGAAAATACAGTGTATTCAGCAGAATACTTTCCCGTCGACTAATTAGCCACGCTGCACACAAGACGCTCTTTGTGCCGCCTGCACAGTGGAGAGAATAAGGGAAAAACACCGTCGAATGGCAAAAAGACCATTAGTCAGTCTTTGTGCTGTTTACTCTGCGCTCGTCAGATTAGATGGCTAAGCAATAATTTAAAAACAGTTGCTAATACACCGCCACGAGTCACAGACTGAGACAACACTAGCGTGCAGTGTTTGTTGAAATAACATTAGCCTTTTTGGCTGAGGAGGTAGTGTACACTGCTAATCGGCAGGAGACGCCGCGGATTATGGCGACAACGCCGTCCAATGTGTCGCAGTTGACGGTGGTGGTGGACACCGGGGTGCCCTCCACCGGGTTCATCGTGTGGAGCGCGTCGGGGGTGTTCCTGATGATCCCGGGACTGGCGTTGTTCTATTCGGGCCTGTCGCGCTACAATAATGCCCTGTCGCTGATGATGCTGTGCATGCTGTCGGCGGCCATTGTCACCATTCAGTTCTTTCTCTTCGGCTTCAGGTACGGCATCGTTCTCTGTATAGTGTATACCGCTGTGACAGTATTTATTGTACGTACGATAGCTGACCAATGACAGTGCAGCATCGCAGACTTTAACCGCATTTTGCCGCTGTTCGTTCTGCGCTGAGAATTGAGGGATTTGCACGTGACACGTGATATTATTTGCTGATCGTTTAAGACGCGCATAACCTAACGGCAATTTCAGCCGATTTTAATATTCTTAACCAAAGAAGATCTCGTTTTTTTTGGTACGAAGTTTACACTCGTACTTTCATCAGTTACATGGGATACTGTCCTATTACAGCTTAGAAAAAACCAAAGAATTTTTATCGTGATAAACCAGTACTGTAACATTATGTATTGTGCGATTTTTTAAAGCAAATTTTGCACTTTAAATCCGTAATATAATATTATTGCGATTTATTCAAACTGAACCAAATCATGTGACTGAATCAAAATGAATGAAAGATCAAAGAACTGTTTCACTTTTGAATAATTTAAATTAGTTTCTAGTTTCTAGCTTTCTACCAACGCGGGCTTATTGTTAATTTGTTATATGAACGGGTTATTGCCGAACAAACCATTTTGAACGAGCTGGTGCTGGTCAAACACAGCCGGTACTTTGCAGTTTCTTTATTCAGCTAGTTGTTTCGGAAACCGGGTTTGTTTGCATGTCAGCAATTCATTAACAAGATGATAGACAGATGCTTCAGTTTGCAAAGTACGGTAATTCAGTAAAGTATTCACTCCACTTAAAGTCCAAGACAACCGTCGAATTTATGACGCTTTCACAGCAGTTTTCTGAAATTGCAGTTTGGCTTTTTCGGAGTCGGGCGGCCCGTTCATCGGGGACTTCACGGTCGGCGCCATCGGGACCCTGGGAAGCCACGCCCTCCCCAACACCGCCCCGGCCATCCCCTCCATCGCGTTTATGTTGTACCAGATGCAGTTCGCCGCCATCACCGCCGCCCTCATCTTCGGCTCGGTCCCGGAGCGCACCCGCTTCGTCCCGGCCATGGTCTTCGTCTTCCTGTGGACGACCCTGGTGTACGACTTCGTCGCCTATTGGTCCTGGGCCGACCACGGCTGGATCCGCAATTTCGACTGCATCAAACAGCTGAGCGACCCCACCCAGAAACCCTGCATGATCGGCGGGTATGACTTCGCCGGTGGCGGACCAGTGCACATCGCCTCCGGCTTCACCGGGCTGGCGTACTGCCTGATCATCGGGAAGCGCCGGCGTATCCACGAGGAGCACCACAGCCTGGTCAATGTCATGTTCGGGACGGGGTTACTGTGGACCGGGTGGTTCGCGTTCAACGGGGGCTCCGCGTTGTCCTCCAGCACGCGGGCGGCCATGGCGGCGACCTGCACGACCCTGTCGGCTGCATCCGGGGGTTTAACGTGGATCTGGTATGATTGGCTGTTCACCCGGAAGTTGTCGGCGCTGTCGTTCTGCTCCGGGGTGGTGGCCGGGTTGGTGGGCGTGACCCCGGCGGCGGGGTTTGTGGCGCCGTGGGCGGCGGTGGTCATCGGGATTGTGACGGCGGTGTTCTGTAATCTGTGGTGCCGGTTGAAGCGGAATTTCGGGTTTGATGATTCGTTTGATGCGTGGAGTGTGCACGGGTCGGGCGGGTTCATCGGGAGCCTGCTGACGGCGATCTTCGCGCAGAAATGGGTGGGACGGCTGGATGGGACGGAGATCGAGGGCGGCTGGCTGGATCGCAACTGGATACAGATGGCGTATCAACTGGGCGGTTCAGCAGCTATTGTAAGTCGTACAGCAGGGCATCTAAAGGCATCGTAGACCTGTTATTGCTCAGTCTCCTGCTACTATAAATGCCGCATTATTTAATTGCTTCATAAAGGTCACCGGATAAAATGCAATATATTAATACTGGACATAACGCAGTACCACTATAAACATCAATAATGCTAAATAAAATAATTATTTAATTGAAAAAGTGTTCTTGTAGGCGGTGTGGTCATTCACGGTCAGTATAATCCTGTTGGTCATCATAAATAAAATTCCCGGACTGCATCTGCGTCAGAGCGACGTGGACGAAGTGATGGGCGGAGATTTTGCCGAGATGGGCGAGGTAATTAAATGCAGTGTAATGAAGACTGTTTACAACAGCCGTTATATGTTTGCCGGTATGCAGTCGCATTGCATATCATTATAAAAACATATCGGCCCATATGTTTAAAAATCACACCGCATTCATGAAAGTTGCAAGCTGATCAATAGCTTACATATGTTTCCTTGTCGCGCCATTCACCCACGCACAATTCACACACAACCGGTTTGCATTGCTGATTGCTCTACGGGTTGAAAACGTATCTGTTTGTTGCTTGCACATGGCAATCATTGGACATTCATTTAATAAACACCGATTCTCGCAGTGCACACTACACAACGCTTAGTATTAATTTAGTAATTAACTACAACGGACGTATGAATAATTTCCACAGGTGGGCTACCTGCTGATCATCACGGATCCCAGCGCCGAGCCGGAACCCTCCACCGTCCCGGTAGGCACCCTCCTGGATGGCCGGCGCGTCTCCGTGGCCGACTCCAACTACCAGAAGCACATCGAGCGACGCCGGTCGTCGCTGCACTCGCTGTCCAACCACTCCTTCCGCAAATCCAAACTCGTGGCGCTGCAGAACATGGTGGCCGACCACCACCACCACAACCACCACCGCGGCGGCGGCCACCTGGCGCTGGACACCGTCACCGAGGCATGACGGGCCGGCCCGCACCTGGAACGGCAGAAACGCTGGGTCTGTCTCAGCTGAGCCGCCGTCCGTGTGCGGGCGCCTACGACACAGCGTGGCGCATCTTCTATCAAAATCTTTCGGCTGTCTATAGCAACCAACACCTTTTCTGGGATCTGATGAGCGTCCTGTTCTTGTCAACGATAAATCACATAAAGATGCGCCGCGCGGTGAAGTATTGAAAAATGACGGTGCAGTTTGAGATGATCGACAGCGTGTCCTTAAAGTGGATGACTCTTTAACAGTGCACAATTTGTGGCTGGCTAAGCACTTGTTGCAGCGCTTACGCTTTGTATATAACGCTTCACACATGTTTTTTTTGCAGTGCTTTCTTGTTGTGCTTCTTTGGCTTGCATCAAGCATTTATCAAACGGCAATTAAAATCAACTGAAGGGGGGTTTATGTAATCACAAAACGGTCAAAGGGGGGCAGCCGACCCAACGCAGAGGCAATCGCAACTTGGCACGTTCCCGAAACATACATGGCACCGCTCTCTGACAACCATCACAACTGTGCTGCGTCAAAAGAAAAAATAATAAAAAATTCCAACAGCTGGATCAACATTATCATCCGGCCGGCGCTTTCCGCCGTTCAGTTAGTACAAAGAGAGAAAAAGGTAAAAAACAACACGCGGAAGCTGTGCAACGGGAGCCGCCAGCTCCGGGCGGTTGGAGGCTACATCCGCGGTTGGTCGCTGCGCGGCGAGGACTGTTCGTGCTCGAAGCCGCGCGGTGTGCCTGCAAAATCAAATACGGTACAAATGGTAAAATTAATAACAACGCACCGCGCACAACGACATAAAAAATGAAAAAAAAATGGTAAATCAAAGATACACAATATTACAATTATTAGAATAGTCAAAAGAAATAAATATATGTAGTTACCAAATTCGGCAAACTAATCATTAAAAATAAAGCCAATAATGAAATAAACGAAGCTACAAAATTCGTGAAATTATTCGCTGACATATTCATTAAATACAATTACCAAAACACCGATAAGGAAAACATTATTATCATTAGTGAATGATGGCCCATTTACGATCAGAGAATCCAAAAACTGAAATACATGTACGGTGGACCAAAATCACCATTAACAAACACCACCACTGACACCCAAGGTCAATTTGACATAAAAATTTAAAAAATAAATAAACATAATCGCATATTTATTAAAGCTAACGAAAGCCAGCAGTAAAAAAAGTAATGAATTAAAAATCGAAAAAATATGTACAAACATGCATGTATATTTGTACGTCGTTTTCAGGAAAGCATGTAAGCCATAACACGTTAGACGACACCACGAGTGCTTCTAAAAATAAATCCTGTTGCGAATAAAAATCATTTTCCACAATAAACGCAGATTTATAAAAGAAATTTACTTCAAAGCGGAGCAAAATTACCAGCATTATAGAAAAACAGCCCGTACACCGAGATTGAAATTAAATACGAACAAGAACGACGGATAATCACGGCAACGCGATCACCCGGTTCCACCCACCTTCGCCGTCGGCCAGGTTGGCGTCGAATTTCGCGTCGAAGGTGTCGTTGTTGTCCGGGGCCTGGTTCTCGGCGTCCTTGTCGGTGTCGGCGGTGGCCTTGCGGCAGGGACGACAGCAGCAGCAACAGCAGAAGCAGCAGAAACATCCGGTGAAGATCCCGCACAGGATCATACACGCCTGCACAATTGTCAACATTATTACACTGCAGAATCATCTGCTTTCGACTGCAAATTGTGCCCGTGTGCTGTACCAATCACGGCAGTGCGTCACTCCGTCAACACACGCCATTTGCATACAATAAACGATGTTAACAAACAACAAAGCGCTGTGCTGAAAACGCTGTTCTTGACATTATGCGCGTCGTATGGCAAGCAAAGTATGACGCAATTCGCATTCGAGGAAGGAAATATTGACAAAAGAAAATGTTCCGTTTTCTGGATAAATGGAGGGACAGAATAACGAACAAACATTAAAATTATCAACCTTTTCCCAAAAAAAAACGTTTCAATAATTTCAAATCAATTAATTTCCAAATTTTTAATTTAGTATTTAATTCAAATTTAAACTGTTGGAATATATGATAAATTAGGGCGCACATTTACAGTAGAAAAACAGGGAAATCACTTGGTTTGATACGGAATTTTTGAGCAAAAACCGACGGAGAAACCCAGTATCTTAAAAAAGGCGTAAAAAAGGACGGAAAATAAAGCAATAAATTAATACAAATCGTACGGTATCGGAAAAACACTTCATCTACAGTATGTTTTCACACGCAACCGCCAATAACGAAATAAACTGCTGATTATTCAAAAATTTACACCTGTGGTACAACGTATTGGTCGATAATCAAAAACAGTACAATATTTGCAGAATTAAAACTTCATTAAACTTGATCTATGATTTACTCATATTAATAACGAACACTGCAGCAGTTCTCAGTCGTCAGGGTACATGTTATAGTTTTAACGGGCAATGCATTAAGAAAATGACTACAGTGACGCGGACGTACCTTGAAACATTTGCCTTGAGCAAAGAAATACAGCCGCACGTTATCCTCACCGATCTGCTCGGCCACGCTCAGACCCTGCCAACAACCACCTGCGATTAATTGATTAAATATAACTATCTCCATCTTGTTCCTGCGCATATGCAAACGCACGCTACGTGTCCCGTTTCACCTGTTCACCAGGGAATATTTCCCACAAAAAAAATAGGCAATATTCTACCAAATCTTAACCAGAAAAACGGAATTTTCAACTCTCACTGACGGTTATTATTGATTTAATTATTAAAAACATTATTACCTGCATAATGTATTTATTTATGTTTATTAAGATATATTCAACGATTTTATTTTGCTATTATTTGAATATCAATTAAATTAACAACTGTGAAATTCCTGTCTATAAACTTTCTCATTTATGTCGTAGAAAGAAATAACGAATAAAACGAAATAAGCGTCTTACTGTGGTGGCGAAAGAGCAACCAATAATAATAAAAAACAATAATCAATAAACAGTCCTGACAACCTGCTACATAAATCAATGATAACACCGAACCAAGCCAGTGTAAGAAAATGCGGACTAGCTTACCATGGATCCGTAGGCGTCGTATAATTCGCGTTTCTTCACATCCGACAGGATCTGGTTGGCGAAATTCACATCACGAATCTGCAGCCAGCACCGTACTGATTTACAACCGAATATTCAATCGTAACTCAAAATTATGAAAAGATTAACGTAGAAAATTATTGCCCTAAAACTTCAAAATACGGTACTTGGGAAACTGGGAATATTTACCCGCGAGTAAGATATCAATTTGAATTTCTGTTAATTTCATTGCCTACCTTTTTCTATCTACCGTAATATAATTATGGCTGAGGTTGTCTCCTTATAATTAATGAATAATGAATCGAACTTAATTATTAATGATGAATTTTCAGAGAAACGCCAGTGTCGAATCGCCTACCTTTTCTTGTGCGTTGGGATCATCGGGATTTTTATCGGGATGGTAGCGCAATGCCATCTACAAGATTATCCGAACGACACAAAAATAACGAAGATGATAAAACTCTGTAGAGCAAAACACAAATCTAATTACGGAAATTTCGAATGACGCACCGTTCTGTAGGCCCGTTTAACTTCCTCGGGCGAGGCCTCCTTCTTAATCCCCAGCGTCTGGTACAGCGACAAGCCCGCCGTGCTACAGACCAACACGAAAACATCCCAACCCGATTAGAAAAACCACACTCCATGCACAAATGGGAAAAGAGGGGAGGCGCAGCAGAGCTTACGATAATTTCCTCTCGGGAGCTTTCACGCGCTTCTGACGGACCATTCTTCCCTAGCTATGGCTCCCACACCGCCCAGAAAACTATCCCAGATTCCCAGTTAGACGGCCAACAAGGGGGTAGTACCACCGAAGCACGAGTGAGTCAGCAATCCGCCCAAGAACCCCAGCAAAACTGGGCTCTTCGAGATCAGAGCGAAACACAGAGAATGCTGCACAGTCCCCAGATCAACGGTCTGTTACATGGCAGCCGTGAAGTAATGCAGTAAATATGGGAACAGCGAATAGTACGAAGAGAACGGATGAATTAGGCGCGATAACACCAGTACAATGTTTTCAAGACAGTTGGTTTTTCTGGTGCCAACGGTAAAGTCGGAGAAACGTAAAACGCGACTCAAAAATCAAAAGTCAGAAAAATATTCCGACCGTGCATCATGTCGAAACGCGTTTAAATTGTTTAAATTGCCAGATGTGGGCGGGTGCCGTGCAGTACAGTGAGTTGATACGCGCGACCGCACCGGTGATCCGCCCAACCGGAAGTGATCAGACCGTCGACTGCTACCGGAAGAGCTCAGTACACTCGTGCAGTGTGCAGCAGTGCACTGCGAAGTACTGTACGAGTACGAATGGACGCTTTCGCAAATGAATTATTAATAATACGAACTTTTATAATATTTTCTTTCGGTTTTTGAATTGTTTGTTACCGAACAGAATTTCCAAAAAAATTTTGTTGTGCCGCCTTGCAGCTGTTTTGCAAGCTGTTGGAAGCAGATTACTCGCACGCGTGTCGCATCTTTGCCAGTTGCAGACTGCAACCAGTTGAATGTGGAATTGAGCTGGTTGGAATTTACTAGAATTTAGATTTTAGAGGATATTAATTTTGTGCCATATCGCTGTCGGCTGTTTGGAATGTGGAACGTCCATTGAGGAACGGGCGGGAAAACAACAAGTACACGATTGTGATTCGTCAGCACAACGTTGTTAGTTTTTACAGAAACCTCGGGGATGGGTTATCGGTTCACTTGCCCGTGTCAGCGTTGCGCTCGGACTGCAAAGCGCCATCATCCGCACTTATCCAGGCTGGACCAACTGAAGCGCCGCAGCACGGGGCGTTGCGTGTGCCCACCGCAATGGAAATTTCCCGTTTACCATCGTCCCGATGAGATCTACAGCTGGAACGCGGTACTCGTTCCGTCGGGCGACGGACTGCAGCAGTATGGCCGCGTCATCGACGTCGTGGACGACGGTCTCCTGGTGGACTTTGACTGCCCCGAGCGCCACGAGGAGCTGGTGGACCCCGCCACCGCCCTACGGTGTCTGCATATTCCGGGGTATGTGCGACGATGTACTAGTAGCCCTGCAGCAGCATACCTACAAGATTTGTTAGTGTATATGCAGTATGCTCCTGCTCGTGGTGATAGGCGATCTTCCACGTTCGTTCGTTCGCGTACGCTTAAAGATATGGCGAACAAAATTCTGGAACGTGAGATCTGGCCAGTGTGTTTGCAAGGGAACGGGTGTACTGATGTTAGTTGTGGTGTTTAAATGCGCTGCTGTACTCGTATCCTTGTTTAAAGTTCAATCTGAAATGCTGTGTATTCTGGAGAACTGTGTTGTTGTGTGTGTCTGCTGCCTCCAATTGGGCTCTTGCCCTGAATGTGTGCGGACGTTAAACCATTAAACCTAAACCTACAAGTCGGTGTACAGTTGCGGACTCGCACGTCACCGAAAGCTCTAAGAACTGTGACAGCGTGGCCCCACTGGCCAAAAGTTCCAAAGGGGGGAAGTGTTCGCTTCTGGAAAACGGATACCCTGTTTATCCTTTAGTGATGGAAACGCTGGGAGTTTTCGGTCCGGCTCTAAGTGAGCTGCTACATTTTATGCGTTGCAAAATTCGAGACTTAACTGGAGAAGCGCGCGTTCTGCTGCTTTCCTCAACCAGGGATATTGTATTCTTATTTCTTGTTGTTGTTAAAGGAAATGCTATGGCTATTTTAAGTCAGAGACTTTGGTTGTTTTTTTAATGTTTAAAAATTCTAACTGCTAAGTAGTGTACCAGCGCTAGCATGTGGGTTCTTTCACGTCTTTGGGAGGCTATTGCCAATATAGTAAACCTACAAGTACGTAGTATGTGCGGTACTTTTGCTACACTATTAATTTCTTTCGAATCATGATTCTTATGGCTGCAGCCAGACATTACTGCTTAAAAATGAGATTTCTTGTACTTTGACGTTTTTGGCATTCCGGATGTTTTCGCAATATGGATTCGCGTACCGTGTCCGAATTGCGGAAAACTTATGGAAAACATACAGTACTAGTACTTGTACTCGCAGTGCCGCACACTCGCATGCCGCCCTTTTCTGTTAGTGTGGTTACGCAGTGTTCTTGTGTTGGCGCTGCGAACGGCCAGCCGGAAGCGCCCTGCTTGTAAGTCTATCGCGACATTCTTTTGACTTTCTGATTCAGGAGTTTTTTGAGTCTGAATTAAATTAATTTTACCATCGGGGATGCAGTTTCTCGCTGCACACCCGTAACGCGTGGTTCGTAGCTTACACAATATTTCGCTATAATCAAGTATTCGAAGATTAATTATTAGCTCATTCGCACGGAGAAAATGTTAGCTGATTTTCGTTCGTTGAGTCAGATCGCGATAGGATAAGTTTTACGATATTAAAACAATGCTCTTAAAGCATCTCAACTAGAAATGCTTTATGCAGCCAGTCTGCTCCCTTTTTCCAGGGAGCAAACAATTGTACGCGGGCAGTGTCCGTACAGCTTGGAAAAGGATGCGAGGTCACGAAGCAGTTAAGATTACGATTTACGACTACCAGAAACGAGAAACACCAGTTTACTGTGCGGCCAGATCGCTGGCCTAGTTTATTAGAACAACGTCCCGTACGAACGGAAGAAGAAACAAAACTACATCAGGTTTAGAAACAGAATGGACAGCGTCCGATAATGTGTCTACTCAAGCTACGCGCATGGGGAACTGGTCAGAACAGGTTGCCACACATGGTGAACCGCTAATTGTAAGATAACATTCGTCCGCTTTAATATTTGTCCTTATTGTACGAATCTCTCTGTCAGGTGCACCTTCCAGCACGATATCCGTGACAACCTGGATTTCGAAACGCGTGCGCTTTCATCCCGCGAGGCTCGATATATGCAGGTGCTGGCGCGATCCTCTCCCAACCACCCCTGGGAGTGGCATGCGGCCACGCTCATGGGGGGCAGCCTATTCTGGCATCGTTACTGCATCGTAGTCATCCACCTGGATGGGCGCGTCCTGCGCCGATGGATCCGGGCGCACGCCCTGCGTTTTGAGCCGTATTTCGAACCGGCGGCACGCGCTGACGTTAAGAAAAATGGTTTTGCGAAGCGCACCGTTGCGCTACCGGACGAATATGTGGGTGAGGACCTCCTAGACACACCTCTGTGGAACGCCTTGATCGAGGTGACGAAGGATTGCGTGTTTCCGGTTGGATTAAGGGATGGATCGTTGGTGTACGTGCAGGATGCGAAGGACAAACCGCTACAGGCCGGGCATCTGGTAAGATTCATGCCACACAGATGCGCTCCTTATATCTGAAGGAAAATGGCGCGGTATATAGCGTCAAAAATGGGATACATACACTAAAGCGTTCGCTTTCGCGCGCTTCGAATCTCTTTTTTGTAATACTTTATATCATTCGTAAGTTATATGATTTGAATACATTGTTTGAATACATGATTTGTATACATTGTTCTGAAAACCGTTTGCGCGCGCAACATCCGGTTGCCGAGATAAGGCGTACTGAAATGGGTGAAAAAATTAAATGGATTGTTGTGTACCAAAACTCTGGTTATTACCCGATCTTCTTGAGGGCTCACCGACATTTCGTCGACTAACACTTGGTCGCTCTCGTGACACTTCGTCGCTCGTCACGAGAGCGACGACAAAAAAACCTAAGAAAACTACGAAAGCTAATAACCTAAAAAACGGTTTTCGGAACCAATGTATACAAATCACTTAGCTTAAAAATGACAGGTATTTCAAAAAAGCCATTCGAAGTGCGCGAAAGCGAGTTTTAATGTAGGAACACCATTTTTGACACCATATACCGGACTATTTCCCTGAATTCTTAACTAAACGCCCATATATTCTACCCAGTAAGCTCTAAAATTCAAAGGAATCGATAGACTACAATTACACAGCCTGTATTCGTACTGACAATCAAAATCAACTGAGCTTTGGTTCTGTGTGAGATTTTGTCCTCGCCGTTTATCGTGATTAAAAGCGATACTTCCGCATTTTATTATTTACAGAAAACGTTATTTGGGTCCGCGAATAATAAGCTCGTCGAGCAATTTTACTCGCATACGGTGTTAGTTCCCGCTCTTGGTCCGCAGAATCAACCAGACCATTTGCCAGTGTTGCCCTCGGAAATCCACATGGAGATCCTCCGTATGTTGGACAGTGTGCAACGCCAACAATGTCGCCGTGTCTGCTGGATGTGGAACCGCATCATACAACGGGAGAACAGTGGCCGGGAAATCTGGGTGTCCTTCTCCCATCAACGTCTCCTGGAAGGATCGCCGCGTACGGCCACTGTCCCCGACGAAGCTGCCTGGCGCCGGTCAGTAGAAAATAAAATTTGAGAGACCTCTAGCGTGTTCCAGATCATTTGAAATGATCTCGCATTCTGTACAATATTGATACATTTCTCTGCGCTGTTCCACGGTAAAAAATTTGATAAATTTTTTTCGTAATTTTATTTAATTTCGGGCACAAGTTTGTATGAAAACTGAAAACACAAATTATTACGTAACCAATCTTTGAAAAGTTCCGGTCATGTGGAACAACATGGAGATTGGAGAATACCTTGCCTCTGACATCCGGTGCGCGAATTAGAATACTCTGTATGTCCGCAATGCGAGAAATCTCCAATTATAAGAACTGCTTATGAATATTACTTACTTTTTTAAAGTTATTGCTAACGGGAAATAATTGCTTAAGTCTTGCGTGCAGCCAGCAAACGTGTAGTGTAGCAAGCGAGAAATAATTTCTGAATTCTTGCAGTGCCGAAAAAGGAAAATGTTTGATCGAGTTTTGTATCACCTATCAGTGGCACTTAAATTTTTTTTTTCAAAAACGGCTGAAAAGAGCGTGGGTGTAATCTGCAGATCGGCGTATCTGTTGGGAAGGTGTCTGTGGAAATTCCGCACGGCGGATGTGGATACGATCATCATCAGCCGCGCCACCGAGCAGCAGGATGACAATGGCGTTCTCAGCGATACCCTGCGCTTAATTAACCTGGCGTGGCGACGTCGGCCGTCCACCGGACGAACGCTCATCCTCCATCAATTCCACTGGGATCTTGACTTTGCTCTGCACGCGGAGATGCAGCATGTAGAGAGGCTGGTGTGGAAGAATTGCACGTTCTCAGATCCTCGTTTTGGGCACTTTAGCCGGCAGCCTGTCTTGAACCTGGTCGGCCAGCAGGACGTTGATGAGGGGCGCCAAGGGAAGGGTATGGATGTGTATGGTGCCTTGCAGGCCAGTCTGCCGGAGGTCAGTGCCGATGAAATGGCGCAGCTGTATCAGTGGATGGAGGAGGCCAGGGAGCGGCCGTGCGGGATGACACCGATGAACAAGGTAATTCGCTAACTTTTGTTCGGATATTTTAGCACCCGGTGAGCAGTTTATCAAGACAAACTGCAAGGTGCATCACGTTCTGGAAACTTTCGCAATACGGATTGGCGTGCCGTACACCAGAAACACGATATTCTTTGCGCTATTCTATGTTAGAGAAAACTTAAACGTTAGAGTTATTAAGGGATTTGGCCTGTCACATAGCACCAAGTTCGTGTACATTCAGGCGAACTTTCGCTGTTGCGCGCTCCCAAACACTTTTTTGCATTGTTTTATGGTATTTTGTAGCCAGAAGAATTGTATACCTCGGTGAGAAAACCGTTTGCGTGCGCAGCATCCGGTTGCGAAGTTATGAGGGTATCAAAATTCCTAAAAGTTTAAATGCATTCAGGTGTACCAAAAGTCTCATTATGGACCGATCCCTTTCGAAGTTTGCACGTAAATGCACATAACCATGAAGATCGTTTTGACACGGATCCGTACTTCTACGATCTTTTTCGAATTTTAAAATGAATTTTAAAGTTTTTGAAATTTATTTTAAAATTTGAAAAAACATGCTAGAGCAGTGGATCGGTGTCAAAACGATCTTCATGGTTATGTCCATTTACGTGCAAACTTCGAAAGGGATCGGTCCATAATGAGACTTTTGGTACACCTGAATGCATTTAAACTTTTAGGAATTTTGATACCCTCATAACTTCGCAACCGGATGTTGCGCACGGAAACGGTTTTCACGCCTATATACACCAATCATTTGGCTCACAATGTCAAAAAGCAACCCAAAAATGCGTTTGAAAGTGCGCGAAAGCGACTATTCCCGTCAATGTACACGATTTTAATGCTGTGTACCGGGCCAAATCCCTTAAGCTTATTCTACGTTAGAGAAAGCTTAATAATTTTTAATTAAGCTCGTACAAAAACACTAATTATTAGTTATTTATTACCTACTCAATTTTTGAACAGTTTTGGATAGAATTAACGTGGTTTTGGTAGGTTGCTTTAATGAAGAGTAGATCTGCTTAAGCAGTACTGCTTATCAGTCAGCTGTTTCATTTGGCCATTTTGTCAGATTGTAGGGTTCTACATGTATAATGATCCGCAAGGGCACTGGGCTCGCAATATTGCCGGTGGGATGGCGGTGATCTTGCATACGCATGGTCTGGCCAAATTAACCCGGCTGACACTCCACGCATTATTGCGGGAGATGCAGCGCGCACGCGTTATTGCGCGGGAGACCGCGCCCCTTTCCCAACCGCGTCCTCTGCCCAAGAGCCGGTGTTGTGTGACCTAAATGGATCGGCCGGCGGCATGCTAACGACCAACCGTGCCACCAACTTACCAAGCCTCATTCGTTACCGCGCGTGGCGATATTCTAACAGCATGTTTGAAAATTTCGTCAGGAATTTTCTTTACCAAGCTTTGCACTCTTTTCTGGTTTGATTTTTCTACATAATAAACCCGTCCATTATAGGATCTGTCATACAAGTGGGAGAACCTGCGATTCTTGGCAGTATTTTTGAATTTTTGCATGTGCATAATTTGTTTTAATGGTGTCATCTGTTGCCCATACTGACCGTCATTGCTTAATCGGAATAAATATTTATAAATGTCAAAGTTTTGGCTAATCAAGCACTTGATACCAGCAAAAAGAAATATGTTACAGTACAAAAACACCCACATCATGCCAAAATCAAGCAGGACACAAGCACACAGAAACCCCACCCATCAACCAACAACAACATGAATGAACTTGTGCTCTACTGTGTCCGACGCACAACAGTTCAGAGCGTGCAGCTACAGGAGATCCAGGTACAATAAAGTGACAACCAGTCGCTACAAGCGGTTCGTTTTAGCGTCTCTGTCCCGGGATATTCCAGACGAATCCCTGATCGACATCGGCCGCTGGTCGCTGCGGAACCGGCCGCTTTTTATCGCCGCCGGGCACCGGGGATGGTCGTGTCAGCGCGGGGAGAGGGGGCTGGGGCCGCGGAGGTGCGGCAAACATGTCGGTGCCGGAGAAACCCGGCACCGGGCCGCCGGGTACCGGCGGGGATTTGGTCTTGACGGGGGTGTGCAGTTTGGACGCCACGAAGCGGGTGATGTTCGGGGAGAAGTGGGCCGGCAACGGATGACCCTACAGCGCACAATATACACAATATGCACACAGAATTGAATTCGCATTACAGGCTGTCTTGTTACCGGTTCAGAGGTCATGCCACCGACTCCGTACATTTCTCTTTAGAACGGTGCTATTCAGGGCTTATAGACTACTAGTGGTGGTTGCGAACCACATGATTGCACGAGCGCGAGCGCCAATACCACTGGGAAATGGTATTGGGATTGTGGAATTGGAAAAGTGTTACGTACGCTCGTCGTGGCGTCAGACAAACTCTGCTGTGGAAATGTATGCTCTGCTATGGAACGTGCATCACTTGACGAAGACTTAATTGCAGCACCTCGCGTGCACACTAGGTACTGCCATGTAACCGATCGACGCGACAGTGTCATCTGATTATCGAATTACAAAATGTGTAGGTAAACCGAGCCGTTTTCGAAAGCACTAGCCGAATAAGGCACTCGTAAAGTACGGCAGTGTTGTATGAACATATGGATGCATGTTGTATGAACATATGCATGGACGTTTTGAAACTGAATAGCATTACTTTGTATTCATTGATCGGGCAGGCAAGAATGTTTCTCGGTCTGGAATTATGAGCACTTACCGCAATGCTGGGCGGCTTGCGTTGCGTGCCCGAAACAGACGGCGCCGGTGGGATCTTGGCCACGCTGGATGGCGCCCTCGGCTGTTGATGGATAACCGATGGCGGCGGAAGAGGCGAGCGCGGTGTATAATGGAGTGGCGGCGCTTGGGCTCCGGGGAAGATGGGCGGCGGTTGGTACATGGAACGCGGTGCCTGTTTAGCCGGACAGCTTGTTGCATTAAAATAGTAATAATTATTATCACTGCTAGCTTAGATAATTGCATTCCGGTCCATTACGAAAATAGACAGCATGTACCGGTGTGGCCATCGAAGCCATAGTTTGGAGAAACGGCGAAGATGCCTATCAAAAAAAAGGTCACATTACACTCTTTAACAACGTATATAAGGCAGTACGCTTCTGTATAATTGCGAACGAAAACCCGCGCATTTTCTAAGATTAGCGAACGAACATTTTTTCATTTGCGAACGAAAACCCGCGCTTTTTCTACTTCCCGCGCATGATGGTATTGGATGTTTTGGTAGTACCTAATTTTGTAGCAGTAGTGTCTGGTTAATACTGTCATAATTATGAATCGAAACAAAGAAGAAATACTTTTCTAATATCTGTATGAAGCGGATTCGATATACAGTACAGTACATACCGCTAAATGAGAGCGCGGATACGAATTCTGCATGACCGGCTGCACCGGCGGTGGCGGGACATACGGCGTCCTGGGCATCTCAATCTCCCGCTTCTCCAGTTTAACCGATATACTGGAATCCGACCGGGACTCCACGGCCTCGTCCTCCTCTTCCAGCCGGGCAGTTCTCCGTGACCTTTGGGTCCTCCGCGTCCGTTCAGTACGCTAAAGCCGGTTTGACGGTTAACTAAGGTAGCTGATGAGAAACAATCGCGGCTGTACCTACTTCCGAACGCAGATCATCATCCTCCGACGGATCCTCCACGGGACTCATGGGTCCTGCCCGCGGAGGTTGTCCCAACTTCCCCCTTTCCATCAGGTGCCGGCGCACATCGGGATTCTTCAGCTGCTCCCGGTAGTTCTGCGCCTTGGCCACCGCCCGCAGATCCACCTTGGGCGGCACCCCACCCCGCGGGCGGTTGGCCTGGGCGTAGAGGTTCTCCACAATATGGAAGGTCTCCTCGCGGCCGGCCTCCTTCTTCGTCAGGACCGGTTCCTGGTGCGGCAGGGCGAACTTATCGGCGAACCGGTACGGGACCATGTAGCTCTGCACGGCGTGCTCCAACCCCGCGTCCTCCACATTCTCCAGGAACTTATCGGGGAACCTCCACCGGTGGGTGTTCGGGTCCTGCTCGATGCGCAGGATGTTGGAGACGAAGGTGCGGTACTCGTGCTGCATGGTGCCCAGCATCCCGCGCAGATACTTCTCCGCCATCATCCGTAGCGCCCCGATATGCCCGTAGCGGTTGCGGAAGTTGACCAGGGTCGTCTGGGTCAGCCAGCGTTTGGTCTCCGCCCGCAGTTTCTGAAAGTCCGGGTCCAGGCCGCTCTCCACGTGGAGAATTGGTTTATAGGATAACCAATTCCGCACGATGATCTCGACCAGCACACGGTCCTTCTTGGAGAAACTAGCCACTTCCGGGACTTTGCAGTGTTGTAAAAGGTCACGGTACACGCGGATCTCGTCGCGGCTGGGATTGCTGATCATTTCGTTTTTAAAGAGGTGGATGTAGTAGAGACATTTCTGCCGTTTAATACAGTCCAGCTGTCCGGTTCGGTCCAACCGGAAACTGTTCATCAGGAACAGGCGAATAATCCGCCGATTCTGGATTTCATCGTCGGTGAAGATCTTGGGCCGGTCCGCCGGAATTTCGATGACGCCTTTGCGCGTCAACTCGTAAATGGCTTTTAGATCCCCAGTGGCTTCGTAGCTCTCCCGGTTGACGAGGGTGAACGCCCAGCCGCGGACCACGCAGTACGTGTTGACGAAATGGAAGAGCCGGTCGATGGTGTAGTACGCGAAATCCCCCAACGGCACCCGGCCCTCTTCCTCATCCGACCCGATATACTGCGGCATTGTAAAAAGCTTCGCTTTCCACGAATTCCACAAGATGTGTGAGTCCTCGACATGGCACACCGGGATAAAGTAGTCCTCCTCGGCGTAGGGACCCCGGAGTCCGAGGAGGAAGAACAAGTACTCCAGGAAGTCCTTCAACGGGTGCACGGTGGCGCCGTCCGTCAAGGACTGGATGGAGTGCAACTTGGCCTGCAGCTGCCCGTCCGACATCCGTCGGACATCGCTGTGGACCTTCAGTTTCCCGGTCCCCGGGTGGGTCTCCTCGTCGGAGTGGACGGAGTCCGAGAGGTTCCCGTCCGCCATGCGGAACTGTTTCCCGGTCTCGCTGTCGACGATGGTGCTGTCGGAGATGTTGACACCGACCTTGACGGCGGGGACCTCGGCGTCCGGTAGGACGGAGGGTTCCCCGACCTGGACGCCGGAGTCGGAGCTATGGGTGACCGGGACGGTCGCCCGCGGGATTCCGTCGGTGCTCAATGAGGTCTGGCACCCGATGGCGGTGGCCAGCAGCTCTGGACCGGTCTGGCATTCCGTGGTGGCCGTCGGCGGTTTCTCGGTCGAAGTCAGGGAATGACAGCTGGAGACAAAACGGGAGTCGACCGGCGCGGATTGGATTAGCGATTCCGCGGTGCTGACGTTCCGGGAGGCGGTTTCTCGAAAAAAATCCGGGAGTGCCGGAAGTTCCACGACCGGGAACGGTTCCGTTGCCGCGATTTTCTCCGCACTTTTTTGGAGCTTTATTGAAGGAAGCCGGTACGGATTCTCCTTAATCTTCTGTACGAGATTATCGTCGCTCATCGTTGACAATTGCCCGGTGTCGTAAACCTGTCGTGTGGGACGCCTGGCTTTCTGGTTGAACACGCTGTACGCCGCTTCCGATCGGCACAACCCGTAAACCACCGAATTATCGCTGGATTCGGTCGTTGGTCGTCGACGGGTTTTCGCCGAACTCTCTTGTCTGCTTCTTCGCGGCGTTCCCATCGTTTTATTCGGTTTCTCGGTCATTTTTCTTTGCGTCCGGTTTTCCCGTTCCACCGAACGCTCTTTAACGGACGGTGACCTTTTGACTGCTTTCTTCTCTCGCACAGAAACAGTTGTCTCCGATTTAGATTCTTTCGTATCCGGTTTGACAGTCTCCGATTTACTGGTTTCCGTCTGACTGAAACTCTTCCCCGGCGTCAACGTCGAACCCGATTCCGTGGAGATTTTCGGCATCACCACCGGCTCGGTTTGCCCGAGAAGGACTTTATTCCGCAGAACAGCGTTCTCCGCTTCCACAGCGCGTAACTTCTCATCGGCACGGCCTAATTCGTTGTTGGACCGGTGCAACTCGGAATTTAACGTTTGCAGCACGCTGGTCAAACTGGTGACGAAATCCTCCACCACCGTGTTGGTGCCGGCGACAGCTTGGTTCATCTGGAAGAGCGGGTGGATGGCGCTATTAGGGCTTGCTATGGGCACCACATTCGGGATTATCTCGGCGCTTTTCTGCAGGGATTTCGACACGACGGAACTGGATTCGCTCGCCGTGACCACCGGTGTCGCTGCCGGTTTAACGGGTAATTCGGTGACCTTTGCCTGGTTTTCGTGCTGTTCCTGTTGGTGTTTTTGGCGGAACATCCGGGATAACCGCCGTTGAAGGCGGTTGTTCAACCGGAAGCGGAAGTAGAAACGTCCGCGACGCCGCAGCGGCCGCTCAACAAGCAGGTCTTGACTGTAGTTCGGTCGCGGTTTTAACTTGGTGACTGTGCGTTCGGATTCGGATGTGGTTGGTTGAGCGGCGGGTACGGAGGGCGCCTTAGTCTTCACGGTTACGGCGGAGGAGCTTTTGCTTTTGGATAATGTACGGTTGGGCGGTGATTGCGGCATGTCGTCGATGGCGACATCGCTTATTGGCTGCGGTGTATTAGGCGGCAGCAAATCCGGTCGTTTTGCGTCGTTGGTCACATTCTTCACTGCATTAAATTAGACATCAAAATCTAACACGCGCAGTTAAATTTTTACTAAACTGCACACTTTAATCTGTACTTTTTCGTGATATTTATTCCAGTTAGATTAAAAGAGAAAGGTCAAAAAATTATTAAGGCAGCACATTACGGTTCATGAAATTTCTGATAAATATTTTGATGGTCATTCGAAAATTGTTGAGAAACGAAAACTCTTACCGTCAGTCACCTCTTTAAAATCCAATCCCGGTTTCGGCAGCTCCGGCGTCGGATGCACATAGGGATACATTCCGCGGTGCGCCTGCATCAGCGGCACCGACAACGACGCTTTGGCCATCGTCTGCGTCACCGTCTCCATCGTCCGCAACGGGAACGCCCAGTCATCGGAGATAATCGAGATCCGTCCCTCCTCCGGCCCACTCGGCGTCTCCACCCCGCCGTGGCTCGCACACCCCCGCCCACGGGTGGCGGCTGCTGCAGGTGCAGGAATGCACCGGGCACCGATGCGCCGTGACCTCTCGCACCGGGGTGACGGACTGATCGCGTTTAACGACGGGAACGGAGTCCCCGCGGTCGGGATGAACCCGGCTCTCCCGTGACCTTTGGGTGACGGATTCGGAGGAGGAGCTGGTGAGCTGCTTGGAGGAGTCATCCAGCCAGTGGCTTTTCCGGCCCTTTTTGGAAGGCAGACGCGGCAGGCTGGACGCGATTTCGTTGCAGGTGCGGAGTCCTTCGAAGAAGTACAACGCTTTCCGGAAGAGTTTCTGCAGGGATTTCCGCTTGGAGATCTTGCGGAGCGGCGAGCCCGGCTCGTCATCTTTTCTGCGTTTGCGCTCGGGACGACGACGCGGCGGACTGCTTTCTGAAAAACAGCGGAAAGGTCATGGATCGTTGATTACTGTGGACGTTTTCCTGGTCAACCTGAATGTTTCGTTGAACTAGGCAGCCTTTCTGGTTTCACTGGCACACTAGAAAGCAATATTCCCATTAAAAACTGGGCGAAACTGCATTCGCTAATGGATCTCATAAATCTCAGAGTTCGCGAAGCTTATTTTTTAGAGTGATAAGTCGCCTGCATTGCGTGATGCTATGATAGATAAAAGGCGTCTGTCGATTTCGTGGGAATTGGGAGGAAGTGCGCGTACTTACAGTACTTACATGGGCTGCTTACATTTTGCTGCGACTGGGTTCTTCCTTTTGGGTTTCACTGGTTTAACGATCTCGGTCTCACCTAAAAACACGTATGAATGTTACACAACACAAGAAGCACAACTACAGTATAATCAAAAGGCGAAAGCTTACTAAAGATTACCCAATCCAGAAAAGCCGTCAATTAGCGAAAATCAGATTTTGCTTTGTTTACTGATTAGGTTCGTAAAGCATTTAAAAAACAACGTGTCTGGAACCAAAATTGGTGGTAAGAGGCACATAAATTAAAAATAAAGAACGCTGCTTGTTATATTTAAGTGAAGTATGTGGAATGCAGAAACTCCAAATGCAAAAATCGTAAAGTAGGTATACAAACTGTAGTTGCGGCTGACGCTGTCCTGTCCCTCTCCCTTTCCCTCTTCCTCCCCTACAAATCCCCGATCCCCGCTCTCCCTTCCTCTTCCCCACTCAAGCGCAGCTCCTCATCTCCGGAACTGTACAATCCCAACTCCCGCAGTTCCTGTCGCCGTCGCCGCGTCCCACTTCCGGGCCGGGACGCGGAGGACGCCGGCGCCGCGGGGACCGGCCAGGGCTGGGCGCCATGGATGCGGCCGCTGGCGAAGTGCAACGACGGCGGTGCAGCAGCAGCGTGAACTTTATGCCCGTCGCGGCCGGGCTTAGGTGCTGACAGCATCCGGACAGTCCACCTCCCGCAGGGACATAGGCAGGGCGGAGGTGGTGGCGACGGGGAACCAGCCAAAATATGCAGTCATGAAGCTTTTGATAAGAAAATTGTATTTCGCAGTATTAACGCAATGAAAATCTCCTGAGTTTGGCCACAAATTGCAACCAGCGTGTTAGAACGCGATAGCGGTACGGGTTCTCAAGATTTGCGAGAAACATGACAGTAGGAGAAATTTCGCGTTATTTAAATTATGTAGATCAAAAGAAGCAAGAACTCTTCTTCCACCGTTCCACGTGCTAAGTAGTGTCACTATTATACAAAGCAATATATTATACAAAGCAAGTTTCCAATACGTATTGCAAAAGTAATACAGTGTGCGCGAAAGTCGCGTTGCTTAGCAATTGCCAAAAATAAACTGGACCTACATAAGACGTACAACAAGTATCAACAAGAACAACATCTTTAGCTGGAACGCGCTTTTTCCTCGGGCGCATACATTATCGCTCTCTGATATAATTAATGTTTTAATGTTCAACAAAAATAGTTAAGGCTATTAATAATTATTGTAAATTACAGTTTACAGTACATTAATAAAAATGAGCACAAGCGATTTGTGAAGCAAGCGATTTGTGAAGCTCCCAGACAGTTCCAGAAAAACAGCAGCCATTCTTATGGAAAACTTAATCTATTTCTTGTGGCGGTTTTGTGAAAGCGTGAGGAAAAGTGGCTGGCAAAGCAGGCCTAGTCGTCCTGATCGAAGGGATCATGCCGTCGGAAGGACACCTTGCGATCGGTGATGTGCATGCGCTCGGCGTGCTTCCGGTCCTCCTCGGCACGCTCACTGCGCTTCCGCATCTTGGCGATGAAGGAGGGATCTTCTTGCTCCGCGCTATCCCGCTCCATTTGCTTCAGGATCCGCGACAGCATCTCGCGCTGTTCCGCGACAGTATCATCCAGCTGTCGCAACCTACAATGCATAAAACCAACGAATTTATCATTAATTCAGAAACCTGTCAAAATCGCGAAGCTGCACCGTTTATACAAATTGGAAGTCTCGTCGCGCGCCATCAACGGCACATCCTCCACTTCGGACTCGCGTGTCTGCGGCTGGATGTGCGGCACATTGGGTTCGGCCATGCCGCCGCTCTGCAGAAACTTGGCCACCTGCAAAATAACCCGTTTCTGAAGTTATTTTACGCGAGTTCTCTGCGGACCACCCAGGTTCCCAAATTTATTTATGTGCCGACTTCTTTATTGCATTAAAAAGGTACCCGGTGTTTGAAAGGAATGGGTCGATGCGTGTACAGTTTATACACCTCCGTGGCGCGGTGAATGCGGTGGATAAGGAACGTCGGGAAGACCCGCTCCAGGGATTCGTGGAGGAAGACCTGCATCTCCAGACGTAAGGTCACGGCGTTGCTGCGGATGGCCTCCATGTCGCCGATCGCCAAACCCGTCTATAAATCAAACGACTGGATAAGAAACCGGAAAACTGTGTGGTGTCAAATCTGACCAGTAGGTTGTTGAGCAGGATGGGCATCAGAACCAGGAAGACGGCGTAGAAGAGGAACGCCAGTTCCGGGTAGGCGATCATTCCGTCCATCAGCGGGTACAGGAAGTTGTCTAGGGACTCCAGGTCCCCGATGGTCATGGCGCCGATGCGCAACCCGGAGATGACAACGTTCTCGTGCGAGGTGCGCAGGTCGTCAGGATCCAAGGGATCATCCTGAATTATTATCCCAGATTATCCAGGAAACTGCTTACAGAAGGTTGTACGTACGTGTTTGGCGTAGTATGTGGTGGAGTTTGGGTAGATCTTCGTCTGGAAAAGCGTGCTGAAGGCCCCGGTGAAAGCGGCCGTCAGGAGGAAGAAGAACCCGGAGACCTGGATCAAGGTCTTCAGGATCGTGAAGAACATGAACGAGTAGATTCCGAATGTCCCGAATCTGTAATCGTTGTGTTGAAAATCTTGAAAATGTGATAGAAAAGTTAGCGTACGGTCGAAAGAAGCGGAGGAGGTTGAACCAGGCTAAAAAGATGGCCACCGTCCCGAACTGGTACGTATAGCGTCCGACGGCTCCGGCGCGGTAATCCTGGTAGAAGCAGAAGACAAACCCGCCGCAGGTGATGAACAGAAGGATCTCCATGTAGTTCATCCACTGCATGAAGTACCGGAGACCCTGCAACAAAACAATCGAGCCGGCGAACGCTGATCGAGGTCGTTGATTGCGTGTACCTCGGAGCGCAACTCCGCGAGCTCTTTGAGGAAGATGATGATCAACGCCACACCTAATGTTAAAAGCGCCGGGGTGTCTTTGAAGGAGTAATCCTTGGCGGAGAGGATCTCCTCGTGGAAGTGCGCGAATGCCGGTCCGCTGAGGGCCTCCGAGCCGTTGGGATGGCAGAAGGCCACGTTGGCACGGGATTTTGCCAGTAAGTGGGGACGCAAATCACTCTCGACGGCCGACATCATCACGTACGACAGCACCGACACGAAGACCAGGTTGGACGCCATGATGATGCCTGCAGACGGAGAAAGGTCACTGTTTTACGCGTTCGGGTGTTTGCTGAGGTTGGAATTTACCGGAGCAGTACATTCCATAGGAGATCCTGGAAAACGCGCTAGTGATTAAGGATTTACGGAGATGGTAGGGAACTATACCATTTGCGCTCCAGAAGCGTTGTGCAAACGGGATGAGCGAGGAGATCACTGCGCCGCATCGTCGCCATCAGCTAAAAATTTTTTAGTGGGTGGACATTTTAAGGAGCGGAAATTCGGAAGAGCGCCTACTTTCAGCGCTCGCATGGGAACGGCCACACTGTTATACGGGCCTTTACTCTTCTCCGCGTTCGTACAGTGATGGAGTATCGTGAAGTCGTACTCGGTCTGCAACAGGGAAAAGCATGATTCAACAGATCAAAGGGACAGCAATTCGAGCGACTTACGTACGACCCATGCTCATCGAATTTGGCTTCGCTCATACTGCGATCCAGGCATCGCTGCAACGAAACCATCGACAAGTGTGCAACAAGCCGACGAAAAAGGTCACAAAGCGTACTTTCATCACGTTAGGGAGATGCGCGATCAACCCGAGAACGACGGTGCCGTATGTGAACGAGTGCTGCATGACGATGAGCTTCCAGTGTTTACTATTGATGAAGGCCAGTGCCGCGCGCTCGTTCTTATTGCGGATGGCCAGATCGACCGGTGTGTACCCTGACGCTTCCTCCCGCGTCACGGCTTGTACCACCATCGCGGCGTTGGTTAAGGAATTCAACAGGGATGTCACCGCTTCCGCAGCGTTATTGGCGGCCGCCAAATGCAGCGCGGTGTTCTGCAAACGAGGTACCTTATAAAAACTGAACAATCGTTGAAAAAACGCGGCGTACCCCGTATTTATCGGCATCGTTCAGTACCGCGCCGAAGTATACAGCAATCGACTCCATTATCTCTGCAATCAGACGTTAACGTGACCTTTGAAGACCCTAGCTAAAACACTCATACGGTAATGATTGCGCGCCGCGGCCAAGTGGAACGCGGTTCGACCGGAATCGTCGCGGAAAGCGAAGGCGCCTTTGGACAGTAGCAGTTCCACCACTTGCTGGTGACCTTTTAAAAAGAAAAACCGTAATTTAACAGCCGAAATGAATTAACGTAATGAGGACTTACCGTACGCCGCAGCCATGTGTAATGCGCCCCGCCCACGATGATCCATGGCGTTGAGGATGCGTGGACCGATGGGGTAGCCCAGCAGTGTTCGGACCATCTCCAGCTGTCCGTACCTGCTAACTCTGCCAGTCTGACTATGAAACGCACAGCTTGACAAGGAAAAATCCTGGTTACTTTGCGGCGTAATGAAGGACCGTTTTATTCTTGTGATTCTTGGAATCGATACTGGCGCCGATCTGCAGCAGTCCGTTAAACGTGGCGACGTGACCGTACCCTGCGGCGTACTGTAGCGCCGTGTACCCGAAACTGTCCAGCGCATCCAGACGCTTCTTCCATTCAGGATGCTGCGGGATAAATTGGACTTCGGGCTGTTGTACAAAAGCGTTCAATCAGAAAAAGAGCGTACCGAGTTCATGCGCTCGATTAGTTCCGGACAATCCAGCGGGTTCGCGCCCACCATGGCGGCGTGATGCGCCGTGGTGCGCTGGAAGACCGGGTCACAGATGAAGGGATTGACGCCGTACTTGAGCATGACGGCCGCCGCGTACCACGCTTCCCGCACCGCCGCCATGATCACCGGACTGCGGCCTTCGGCGTCCAGCATATCCGTCGGTGCGCCCTAAACCATGACCTTTAGAGCCTTCGCTCCAGTATACCACTATAGGTTGCCACCTTATCTAGCAAGTATTCCACCAGCGCCGGGTCGTCCAGCGCCACGGCACGGTGCAACGGCGTACTCCCTTCCGAGTCCTTGATGGAGAGGGCGCGCCGGAACTCCTCGGGGCGCAGTTCCGCCATTATACTGACCATCTCCAGGGAACGCTGCAGGCAGGCGTAGTGCAGCGGCGTGCACTGGGGACCCTGCAAATGAAATTTATTAAGGCGTTCTCAAAGGCGTTCCTAAACGAGCAAAGCGTTCCTTGAACGAGAAAAGCGTTCTGAAAACAAGAAGTGCGTCCTGAAGATGAGCGAAGCGTTCTCAAGTGGAGCAAAGCTTTAACAAAACGAAGAAAGCGTTCTTTAAACGAGGAAAGCGTTATCAAAACGAGCAAAGCGAAGAACCTTCCTATCATGCAAGCAAAACGAGGCAATCACGCTTTATTTCGGCTTACCCGGCTTTGCTGGTGATCCACCGACGCGCCACGCTCCAGCAACAGCTGAATACAGTCCATATGATGTCCCAGCACCGCCCAGTGCAGCGCCGTCCCGCCCTCGTAATCCTCGGCGGTGACGAACTTTTTATTATCTGCACCGGTTACTATGAAGAAGATTACGAAGCAGTGGAAATTTACGCGCTTGGTTACCGGTCGCGATGACGTCGACGAGTAAATAGCGGAGGACGTTATACGATCCTAAAGAACGAACAGAATGTGAGAAACGGATGCTTGTTCGAATGCCGGTGGCGTCTGACCGGTGGCGGCGGCGATGTGGACGGCCTGCAGCCAGTGGAAATCGGTCTGCTTGGAATGCAGGTCGGCGTGGTGCTGGCGCAGGAATTTGAACGCCGACAGATTGTCGAATTCCGCCGCCACGTGGATGGGTCGTTCACCCTTGCAGCTGTCGGCCACGCTCTCCGGATCCCAGCGCCACTTGGAATTACTCAACAGGCTCTATTCAAATAAACGCTGATTCGTCATAACAAGCAGATAAGTACCGTGATACAACTGAATTCCCGCTCATCAATATAGAATTTTAAAATAATCATGTGCTTAAACTTACAGAAGGCATACATTACTTACGAGGCGCATACCCCAACTCTTGATTCTCTGGTCTACCTGTGCTTGGTATCGTTAGAATCCTTAGAAATTAAGCAATATTTTGCTGTTGTTGAAATTAAGCAATATTAGAGTTGGGGTATGCGCCTCGTTACTAAAAACAGAAATTAATTTTCTTATTTCGCCGGTTTTATACAATACATACATAAATAAAAAAGCCGAGAAATAAATTAAAGAATGTTACAATACTAGTAAAAAAATTAAAACCATGATTATTTTGATAATGCTATATTTTGATTGATTAACAAAAATAAGTAATTATCCTGCTAAAAATAAAAAAAAAATAAAAATATATAAAAGCATCATCTTTGGTAAAAAAGTTGGTAGGTAATAAAAACTGTATAATACAAATAGTTGTAATATTATCAAAATTAATTGTGCCAATGATGAACTTATTGAATTTTGTTGAAGTAATGATAACAACAATAAAAATTGTATTAAATACTAATTTCTAATACAATGTACCTCGAGCAGGGCGAAATTGTCGGTGCGGACGGCGTAGTGGATGGGCTTCTCGTTCTCCCTGCCCTGTTTGGGGCCCAGGGAGGTGTCGATGACGAAGGAGGACAGCAGCTGGTTGAAGTCGCTCAACCCGGTCAATCCGGCCAGGTTGGCCGCGTTCAGCCCGTTGGCCGGGCTCATCCTGCGCCGCGGTGACCCGCCAACGCCATCCTCCAGCAGATGCCGGGATTGGCCGCCTGCCAACACCGCGATTGAACGGACAGCTTGTCGGATATCCGCGGCTTGTGTTTATTATTCTAACGCTCGCGGGCGAAAACTACTTGGCTGGTTGAGTAAATAATAACAATTTCAACTCTCGATAAGTCATTGCACTTTTGACGATATATGAGCAGCATTTTTTTCCGCCAATGTGTTTTTTATAAATGCAGAAGATTATCATGATTTTTTTATTTAAATAAATTTACTAAAAAAAAATACTGCGAATTTCCCAGTTTGTAAATTCATAAAAATTCGGTTTGATTTTAATTTTTTTGCTTGATTGTTTACCGATTAATTAGAGCATACATTAATTAAATGAACTGTAAAATTAATAACGATAAATATTTTCAGGATGTTTTGTTTAACATTGATCTGTTTTAAACCGAATTCGTGCTGTAAACCGACTTGTTCCTATTAAAACGGTTATTAAATAAGCCACCGGCAATGCCGGGTTTTACGGTAATCGACGTTTTACTCTCCCCTTGAAGCGCCCGCAGACAATCAACAACAAAAACATACACCAAATACCCGGATATTTTCATATAAAATTTCCCAAATATTATGCGCATAACTGCGTAACAATATTCGCAAGATACTCACCACAACAATAATTATTATTCACCTAGGATGGGCTATGCTTAATGACGTCAGTATGCATTGATTAAAGATTTTTGAATGTGACTTACGGTCCCGCGCGCTGGCGTTCCGCTCCTTATCCTGATCGCGGCTGCGATGCCGTTTTAATCCCTTAATAATGTTCCAATATTTACGCTTAATAAGTAAATAATCAAACAAATTACGCTCAACTTACGAGAGCTTCGCGAAGCCGTTCAAACATGATAACCCCGGTGAAAAATTAACAGCAAAATCATCACCAATAATCCATCGATTAATCGCCACTTATTTACCGTTTATTCCGTGAAGGTGGAGATCATAAAAAATTGTGTATAGTAAGCATTGCTTGCAGTAGAAAAAAACCAGTAGAATGTGTTGTGTGCGTCGCCGATAGAAAGTGTGCCCATGCTTTGGCAGCTTGAAGACATACGCGAGTACAGTATAATATGCCTCTGTTGGAGGTTTGGTTTGTTTGGTTTACTCCCGGCGCTTTATGAGCGGCGACAATGCACATCTTGTGAGTGTTCGGTAGCCGGCGAAAGAAAAAATGACTATTGTACCCGGTGTATCAAGATTGTGCAAAGTGGGCAAACAAGTTTAGACGCCTTGATATAAATCACACTCAGCGGTGCACCGGCATGCCGCGTTTTTATTACCGCCTCGTCACGTTTCTCTTTTACAGCGGCAAGGTACATATTATCGTTTAATTACAACCGAGAATATAAAAAAACCCTGTTAAAAATATTAACCGAAAGTTCTCGAATAAATATAAAACAGATAATTTGGAATTAACATTACAAATAAGCTGAATAAAAAAAAGGGTCTAACTTCGATATTGACTGACTAATGAAATCAGCGTTTTTCGCAACCACGATCAGCTGCTGCCCAGCATGAGCCCAATAAAAGCGGCGGTGTATAATGTGAAGGAGAGATTTCCTGTAAAGAATCACGCATTAATCATGCATTCCATTCAATCGCTTTTTCAAGACATAAAGATCGTAAAAATCAGCTGTTTACCTTTAACGTCAACAGCAGCGGATGCGGCGTGTTGGATTTCTTGACTAGGAGCAGGCGGATCAACCTGCAATATGTACAGTGCGTTAATACGCGAAATACAAAGGCCTAGGTCACAAATTAATTAAGAAAAAAATTTTCCCACACTAAAACCGCGTGGGAAAATCTACTGCACACTACTGAATAATGTACTTTTTGGCGTTAATTTTTTACGAGCGAATAAGGAAAAAATTCTTACAGTTAGCAAATCTGCAGATAAAATGCACTTAAAATGCACTTTTTAAAACGTTAAGCGTTACAAATTAATTGTCTCGCATCGCGAAGTTGCAAATAATAACCTGATTACTCAGGGAAAATTTTTTTCCCACACTAAAACTGTGTGGAAAAATCTGTTGCACAGAACTGAATAATGTACCTTTTCGCGTTAATTTTTAGAGAATCCGAAACGATAACTTGTTAGCAAATTCGCAGAGAAATATTCAATTTGTTTAAGTCGTGTGCAACGCAAAAACACAGATGAATTTGTTTGAACTATTGGTAATAAAAATTCCGTTTTATCGGCTGCATTTAAATATAAAATGCATCTTCTGTTATGCGTGGTTATTTCTTTACATTTCGTACCTGAGCAGTTCGCGTATCCGCTTTCTGCGGCGGCCCATAGAAAACTGTGGTCCCCGGCGACCAATCAAGCTGCAACCAATCACAGCACGTGTCACCCAACAGACGATCCACGCAGTTAACGTAGCGCCCCGCTTTGTATGGGCCGTTAACTCACGACAACACTGCCATTACCGCATTCCTGGAAGATCTGCGCCAGACTGCGCGTATTGCACAGCGTGGTGTTGCAGTACATGTTGATGCGCTTGTTCTCCGGCTGCTTGACACACCGCACATTGGCCGGAGCGGGAATACCCCCCGGGTAACTGCACTGCCGCACCACAATCACCTCGTTTTGGCCGTCGGGCGCGCGGTTCAACTGCTGACTGAAGGACACACAGTACGGTTCGTCGAAGATGACGCGGTCGCTTAAGGGCGACGGGGGGCGGGGGTTACAGGAGGCCACGCCTTCGATGTCGTTGCTGATCAGGGAGGGGTTCGTCTCGCAGGCCGACCCGATGGGGCCACGGCAGTGGTAGCATTTTAACGCGTCGGCGGACCAGTAGCCTAAAGGTCACCGGAAAAAAATATGAAATAAAAAGGAAAAACACTAAACGCACTAAAGGTCAACATGAAATAAAAAAAGTTTTCTCTCAAATCAATACAAGTTCTTTTATTCTTCGATTACACGCAAAAACACAAAAAAAGAAAAAGTTCCATGAAACATAATTATATAAAAAACATGTACAAAAACTGAAAATATATACTTGAAAAAATCATTGTCGGGCGTAATAATGTAATTCTTACAGCAGATAAATATCGCCGCCAAGATGACGACGACACGGTGTCGGCGCATTTTTTAATGCAGTTGACGGTCACTGCGGCGAGTGGAGATTAGCACAACATGGTCAAAAGTATTACATTGTTTCGCTATAAAAATATTGCAGAAAAGGATAGCAAAATGTCTTTGTACGTCAGTTTAGTTTGCCGTGCTGAAGTCGGACTTTACAGCAGACAGTGAGGGCATGCGCATTGAATTACTACTCCATATGATTGTCTATTATTGAAGGGCGTGCTTAAGTTGTGTTGCCATGACGACCCGTCTGTTGACAGTGACTCCGCTCGCCATTTCCCCAAAAAGCACAAGCGTGCTGTGCGAATAAGCGTGTAAAAGTTCTTATGAAAGTGCAGTACTTAAGTGTTATGTACTTGCCGTACTGTGTGACCAAGCACGCTTTAATGTGTGGGATGCGTGTCCAACACAGTAACACGCATTCATTCTAAGCGAAAGCGGAATGAAGTGAATTGTGGATGTAATTATGGCTACCACCCATTTCGCCAACGGGACATTTCGCCAACCGGACATTTCGCCAACCAGACAGCAGCACTTCGAATTGAGGCAGTTCGAATCGAAATCGAAATTGTATCTCTAACGGCTAGAAAAATTTAAAAACGAGCATATGAAAACCTAAGAACAGAACCTAAGAAACCAGACGGAAACCTGAAAAAATTTTAAGCATATCTACAGATAAGAAAATCAAGGAACCTTAGGCCTCGTCCCGAATTCAAAGCGAATCTCGTTATGGTACGGTTGCTCAACCACACGAGGTGGCTGTTTGCAGTGGCCACGCCTACAGATACGGTACGCGAAGCCACCTCGCGAGGTGGAGTTGCTGTATCGCAACGAGATTCGCTTCGAATTCGGGACAACGCCTTAGAAATTTAAGAAACCTAAGAAACCTAAGAAAACCTAAGAAACCTTAAGAGGATTAAGAAAAGTAGAAAAGCTAAGAAACCTAAGAACCTAAGAAACCTAAGAAAACCAAAGAAAGTAAAAAAACTACGGTTGTCGAAATGTCCCGTTGGCGAAATGTCCGGTTGGCGAAATGGCTTGTTGGCGAAATGGGATGATACCGTAATTATGTTTTAGAATTTAGCTGCGTAATGGAGATGACTGCTCCTGTTGTAGTTTCCGAAGGTTCCTTGCTTGCACACAATAATTAAACAAGCGCCGAATACTAAGCTTTAAACTGCAAGAAGAATATTGCACGGATTGTTTATGCTTACGCCCAGTTTCGCTGCTGCAAGCAGCAAAACGCGCTAGAGGATTACATGTCAGCGCGTGTTACACACCCGTGTAAAATCAGCAAAAATTCTCTCCTGTGTTAACTGATCCATAAAAGTTTCCCCACCGTTGTTGTTTGCCACCTGAGCGGCCTTATTCCGCCATGACGGACCCCACGGCCCGCCGCTCCGCCGACGACACATCCAAACCCCGGCGCTCCGTGGCGGCCGACAGTGGCGTCATAAAACCCTCCGCTCGACGGTGGGCGGGGCCGGAGCGGCGTTCCAGCGTGACCCCAGCGTGGAACTCAGCCCCTTCCTGTTAGTCGACCAGAACGATGACGCCAACCCACCGGCTGTCGTTCGTCGGCGCATCCTGGTGGAACCAGCGTTCGGTCGGCAGCAGCGGAATACAGGCCAGGCGGAGGACCAGTTCCGGCAGATTGTCCTGGATCAGGGGATTACGGATAAGCATCTGCTGGAGGAGATTAAACGCGGCAGCAATAATCTGTACGAGCTGGGCAAGCTGCTGCCGCTGCGGAATGTCCATGATTATGTGGATTATAGCAGTGAGGAGCTGGCGCATACCTACTTCAAAGAACACGTGAGTTTCGCTGGTTATTAGGATGGAAAGTTTAAGCACGACAGCAGAAAAGCTAAATTAGTGACCTTAACTAAGCCTACAGAGAGTGAACGTTATTAGTTCAGCAACAAATTTACAGGCAACGGGGAACCTTTTGCTATCTAATGGCTTCCGCTACGCGATCCTCTTCGTTATTTTATGGAACACCGTACTCATCGGTTTGGAGACCCATCCGACACTCAGTCTGCGCTATGCAGCGCTTTTTGAAGCCATGGAAAATATCATCATGGCGGCGTTTATCATTGGTATCACAATTTTTCTCTTTTTGTCATCATTGATATCATAATACTTCAAGCTGCAAAAAAATGGGTTGCAGAAATCCTAATCAAATGGTACTATAACTTTGACGTCTTCTGGAAAGGCGGCTGGAACATCCTGGACTTCCTCATCGTCTGCGTGTTGTTCTTCGGCAGCAACTGGCACTTTCTGGGCACCAGCCGGGTTCTCCGTATTCTGCGGGTGGTACGGGCGTTCCGCTCGCTCCGTGATACACCGCTCTTCAGTGGACGTAAGTGCGTTTGATTTTGCCAAAGGTCACACTGCTTAACGGCCAGTTCTTGCAGTGAGCCTCATCTTCCAGACGGTGACGCGTTCACTCCCGGACATGGTAAACATTAGTCTCTTAATGTACGACGCTTCCACGCTGAACAATGAATAACATACCAACGTGATGACCTTTCTAGGGCGCTGGTCATCTGCCTGCTGGGTGTGGTGGGAGTGCTGGTCTTCGGGGATTTCGCGCCGAATAACTTTGGGACGTTCTCCGATGCCGTGTTCTCCGTGTTCATCTGCCAGACGCAGCGCGGCTGGATCAATATCTTCAATCCGTTCATCGCGGCCGGTGGCGTAAGTGCAAACGCTTATCTGGACGTAATTTAAAGGTCACCAGACAGTTTTTACATTTTAATAAAGCAGTATAGGTGTCTTAATTCGTCATGTCTGGAATCAAATTATGCCCATTTGTCACATACAGATCTATGTCTGTATCTGTAGATTACAGCGTTTTGATTGGTCAGAAATTCGATGACATTTTAAAGGTCCACAGACACTTTTTACATTTTAATAAGCCAGCTGAGGTTCTTGATGCCATCCCGTGCGAAATTAAATTGCTCGTAAAGCAGGTATTTTTGTCACATATATTACAGCGTTCTGATTGGTCAGCATTTCGATGACATTTTAAAGGCAAATTGGCCCTTTTTTTGCAGGGTTATTACATTGGATCCTTCCTGTATTTCGTCCTGACGATCACCCTAACCGCGTTCATCCTAAAGAACCTCTTTGTCGCCGTAAGTTACTGAAAGGTCACCCAGTCAAATTCACGACAACATAATTTTGTCAACTAGGTCGTCGTCTCGAATCTGAAGAAGGAGATGCGTCTGGCCAAAGCGGAACGCGAACGCCAGATGATCAAACGCCAGAACGCCCTGCCGCCCAAACCTCCCACGGACGGCGACCAGGAGGAGGAAGACGAGGCGGACGCCAAATCCTCCCTCGTCCCCATGGTGGAGGCGGCGCGGCACTGGAAAGCCGGCGACACGCAGCGCCGCGTCCTGTCGCCCATGTTTTTGAATATGGTCAACGTGGAGGAATACCGCAAGTTCCTGCTGCTGCAGGCGGCGTTGGAAATCAATTTGACGGAGTACGAACAGCTGCGGGCGCAGTTCAAGCAGGTGCATGATGCTGTAGCGGGGCTGAACGAGAATTATTTTCGGGCGCTGCGGAAGGATACGCTGTCGCGGTTCAGCGCACCCCGGAAACGCTCCAAGTTGGACGTCATCTCGAAAGTGTCGGTGTAGCGGGAAACGCTGACGCTTCCCGCCACGATTTACAGAACTTTGTTAATAACATTACCAACTTCTTGCGCAAACACCGGTATTTATTCGCTTGACTGGAAGTATGTTAAGAAATCATTGAGTAAATTAATTACTGAAATTACAAGACTTCTGCTAGTGGCATTCGGTTTCTGTGCACAAATAAAATGCTAAAAAAAACGGTAAAGGCAAGCACGAAAACAAAATAATCAGGAGAAAACAAACGCAGCACAGGGCGGTCTGCATTATTAAAAGCTACTCGTTCCCCGATAATAGGAGCAATCGCAGACTTCGTCGCTATCAAACCGTGCCGGTTGCTCTTCTCAGCAGCCATCTACCGGCGATCATGGGCGCCACGAAGATCCAGAGCCGTACGATGGAAGTATCTACACAGGACATTAACAGCGCATTACATCAACAACGTGCCATACTGTTAGTATTAGAGAATTAAAGAAATCGTACCAGCAGCATGGATACTGTGACTGCCTCCAGCGGCAGCGGCTTGGTTGGCCTTCATCACCAACTCCGGCTACAAGAGAACCCCGTAACATTGATCGTCGAAACGCTTAGCTTCTTTAGCGGTTATATACAGAGTTGTGTACACCCACCACTGTGCTCTTTTACGCTGCTAATTCTCACTACTTGTATTAGAAATTCTTTGAAGATGACCACACTGTAGTGCAGCTATATAATCAGCGTTACAGTCCAGCGCTACCGTTATGAGGATAAGAACAACTAGTGCAGTAGGTGAGTACGGCGATGGACATTGGCGATATATGGTCATCGAGCCGTCTGGGTAACATCATTACTGGATAACGGTACTTACGGCCAGGGCCCGCTCCATATACGCTTTCTGCAGCTCGGGAGGGAGAGTGATCTGCAGTGGACACAATCAGTCAACTGCGGCGTATACGTATTGTGCAATGAGTGACAGCATCGACGCTTACCGGGACCACTGGGCCGTGGGTCACTTGCGTGGCCTGCAATGCGAACACGAGCGTTTGAAGTTTGAACAGAATAATTCCCGCGTGCGTCGAATAACACACAACAGCAGATAATTTTCAACAAACATGAAATGATTATACAATGCGCGTGTAAAGGTCACCGCGACGCAAACATGCATGCACTGTGTTTAGAGGAGAAATGAAATGTGTTTAGAGGAATTTCTGAAATCTGCACACGTGGATGAACGGTTCTTTTACATTGCACCCGGTTCAATTCCTGTTCTCCGTTTTGGTTTGTATTACGGGATTTTTTTTAGTTCCTGTTTCGAAATGTATGAATGAAGTTTTTACTATTCATTGGTAATTTTGTGTTTGTCAGGATATCTTAACACCAGGTGACCCGAATATGAAAACGTATACTGGAAGGGACCACAAACTGAGAAAAATTGAAGCTCTAAAATTAAAGAAATCATGGAAAATACCGATTTTGTAATACTAATGGTCATAATAAAGGTCACTTACCGACAGATCCGGCGTGCTAGCCCCCGCCTGCCCCAGCATGGTGTAGCACTTGCTCAGCACATCGGACTGCGAGAGCGTATTGCAGAGGTTAGACCAGCAGAAGAGGGCGATAAAGTTGCGCGAGTAGCCCGCTACGCCCTGGTGCTTGGCGTGGAAGTCCGTGATGTTCATGCACTCGTTGGGGCGGACCTCCATGTAGACGTTGCGCCGCTCCAGCCACGAGTCGAACAGCTGGCCGTTCCGGTAGGCCGTGGCCACGTAGGTGACGCACACCGGGTCCAGTCGCTGCACCAGCCGCAGCCGGGCCATGGTGGCCAGGTCGATGACGCTGGAGGTCTTGCTGCTGAGGTAGCCGGTCTGGCTGCTGCCGAACTGGCCGCTGGTGCAGCTGCTGCCCTCCCAGCTGCCGCAGCTGTAGCATTGGAGGGTCGTCGGGGCCGTCCATTTGTACAGATCGGCCGCTGCGGGAAAAGCAACCGCCGCATCAACATTCAACTTAATTAGTGGAGCTTTCTAGGCGAACAGCTTAATGAAGCGTTCCACGCTACACTATTAACGCTCTACACGCAATGGGTATGGTTGATGTATGCTAAATATCGGTCTAATCTATCGATATAATAAATCATAAAATAATAACTTTCTCTTTTATACTGTATTTATCTTAAATATCGAAAGGAGTACAGAGTAATTTGTCATTGTGGTAAAGGCAGTGTAGTGACACTCGTTCACAGCTTTCGCGCTAAATAATTTCTATCTGTAGTTTTACGATAGAAATTACGGGGCAAACTTATACCATGCATTATCACATTTTAAATGGGCAACGTTAACCAATAGGCGATATACGGAAAGACATAAAAAAAACACCGGAACACAGTACGGGACCACGGGTAACGTTGGTACCTGCGGCGAAATAGCTCCAGGATGCCAAGAGGGTCACGACCGCCAGGCTACTGAGCGGCAGCAGCGACATGCGGCCTGGGGAGAGAGCTAGGGAGATAAGGAGCCCCAGAGGAAGCAGAGTGCGGCCTGTTAAAAATTAGTTTCAGCTGGATTGCAATTAATTTTATGAGATAGTATATCCACATTCGATAATCCATCCGCGAGGCGCAACATCACTACACTCTTCCACCTTACCATGCCCCACTGGCAGTGCTGAATTGTTAGCAGTTGCATTGGATACGTCCAGCTATAAAGACACAACCTGTTGCATTAATAGCTGACATAATGTAACACGAAGTATTGTGTGTTACATCCGCTTACCGAGCGCAGGGAGGCAAAATCACAGCGCGACTCCAGATCGGCGCGCTTGATGGTGTTGCAGTTGTCGGAGCTGTTGCAGAAGACGGCCGTTCGGATGGCGACAAAGCCGTCCGAGGGTCCCCAGTTCCAAAAGTTGCGGAAATCCCAGTCGGACGCTGCAATGCAGAGGAGCCGGCGGGTTATTTGTACTTGGAGTTTGGTCGCATTCTGGACACGATCACAATACGAATGCGCATACCGGACACCAGAAACACTTTCCGCGCCGTTCCGCGTTATAATACCCCGTAATTTCCTTGCTAATTTCGTGTACAAGCTTGTATAGAAAACACTAATTATCACGCAATCAGTTTTGGAGTTTTCTCAACACGGAACAACGCGGAGGGTACCGTGTTTCTGGTGTTGGATCCATATTGTAAAAGTGTCCGGAATGCGATGAACGTCCGAGTACATCATAAGTTCGTTTTAACTTAACCCAGGAAAACCGGGTACTAGAAGGGGTGGGACTACGGTTTTGAAAATTTACAGTCTGGGATAGAAAAATTCAATTAAGAGAAAAATGATTTTTTCAAAATTTTAGCGACCATAGGTCAAGCAGGAGATGACCATGTCGGACTAACACGCATGGTAACCATGTTGCACCGACATGTTATTTACTGCCGTTTATAACAGCTGACAGAAAAATCGCACAGAACGTGCCAATAGCTCAAACGATAGGTCTCAACGAGTACTTGAACACAGATGCATTATGATGGTCATCAAAATGACCAGTGGTCAAGGAAAATTTAGAAACGAAAAAACCTAATCTGCACCAGTACATAAGTGCTACTTCGATATTTCGCAACAGTTGGTCCCTTCTACACTACGGTTTGGACAACTGGTCAACTGACTTATTGTTGACCACAGTCCTGGTGACGGCTACAGTGGAAATTATACTATACCGGGTTGTGCAACCGAATATTATAGCAGAGATAGCGAGCAGAAAGCATAGATAACATTCTCAGAGTGTTGTACAAGTGACAGGCCCAGCCTACGGTTATATATTTTAAACTGTCGTCTAACATAACTTCTTTGAAATAAAACCAATAGAAACAACCAATGATCATAACAGCGGACTACAGAAAAGAAGTCCTCCACCATGTCGGTCTAACACGCATAGTGTGGAACGGGTTAAGGGAAGGAGGCCGGTACATGGTACCAAATTCGTGTACATGCACGAAAACTTTTACTTTCGCCCACACCCAAACACATTTTTTCTTTTCGGTTTATAACATTCTGTAGCCAGACTATTTGTGTACACTGGCGTGAAAACCGTTTGTGCGCGCAACATCCGGTTCGGGAGTTACAATGTAGGACTAAATGGTCGCATAGGCCCATACCCAGCATTCTGTACGCAAGCGGTGCAGTGCACTTGTACGAAACGGATATTTTGAACTCAGTCGTACAGTGCACTGCGTTGCATTCGTTCTGAATGTGGAGATGCTGGGTATACGACCATTTTGTCCTAAGCAGTATGGCTATTAGAAATTTCAAAAAGTTTAAATGCGTTCAGGTGTACCAAAAGTCTCATTATGGACCGATCACCTTCAAATTTTGCTCGTAAATGCACCTTGCCATTAAGATCGTTTTTACACCGATCCAGACTTCCATAATTTTTTTAAAATCTAAAATGAATTTTTCAAAATTTTGAAATTCGTTTTAAAGTTTGAAAAACATGCTAGAACAGTGGATCGGTGTAAATACGTTCTTCGTGGCCATGTGCATTTACGACCAAAATTTGAAGGAGACCAGTCCATAATGAGACTTTTGGTAACACCTGAATGCGTTTAAACGTTTTGGAATTTTCTAGCAGCCATAACTCCCGAACCGACTGTTGCGCGCACAAACGGTTTTCACGCTTATGTATACAAATTAACTGGCTGCAGAATTGTTATACAACAAGAGAAAAAGGGTTTGGAGTGCGCGAAAGTGAAAGATTTCGTGCATGTACTGTGTACACGACTTTGGTGCCATGTAACGAGCCATTTCCCTTGATCGCGGGCCGTGCCTCAGTTGCCTGTGGGCAAGGTATTATTAACGCGGCTCTTACTTCGCCAGAGGAAGGCGTTGGGCGCGTCGTCGTAGCGCAGGCAGTCCGGCGGCGGCAACGAGCCTCCCGGGTGCGCGCAGTCCCGCACCATGCGGTCGCTGACCACTTTGCCCTGGGATTTGAGCAGCTCGATGAACGTCACGCAGTAGGGCCGTAAGGGTAGCCCGATGAGGTTGTTGGTGAAGGGCTTGGGGGCCACCCATTTGCAGGGCCCGCTGTACTTGTTGGGCGGGGCGCCGCCCGCCTGCCGCACCAGCTCCTCCACGCGGCCATCGCAGTTGGAGTCCAGGTTGGTGTCGCAGAAGTAGCAGTTGATGGGGTTAAAGCCGGACGTCTGCACCTGGCCCGCGGCCCCGGCTACAATACGTTCAGCACCTCAGAATACGTTTTCAAATAATACTCTGTACATACAAGTAGTTAAATTAATTTTCCTATGTAATAAACAAATACAGAAAAATAAGACAAAAATCATTAGGACTTCTGCTAAGCAAATTTTCGGTTGGATTAATTTTCTTAGGTAAAAATCCCACTACTGCTACTAATTTTCGTTGTTAACCAAATAGTAATTACAGGTTTATTAATTATTGACATTGAATAGATTACTGTATTGTTCACCTTTTTCAAAATTATATAATCCCATTTCAGTTCACTCCAGGATTTAATCTTTAGTTTCTATAAATTTGCCTTATTTGATAGAAGCATTACACTCGGTTTTGTGATGAAATAAATGACCTTTTCCACTTATGGTGAAAAAGAATAGTACTTGATTAATTATATTAGGAAGCTGTAGAAAAATAAGAAGTACGAGTAAATTTATTCATAAGATCAAGGAATACGGATAAGTATTTTTGATTTTTCAGTAATGCCAGCGCGCGAGTCTTCTCGTTGCTAAAGTTGGCTGTGTCGAATATACGCTTCTTAGTCTGTAGAGTCTTACCAATAAATTCCAAGATAAACAGAGATAACAGGAGCGAAACAGTCATTCCGCGATCCAGATTAAGATTAACCGCGGTCCATCGCATTTTAACCACTTCTTGAATTCCTTATTCCCCCACAAGCTGGCTTAGTCCGCAGCGCATTCACAAACAAATTGTAGGAACCAACCCGTTAGATAGGATTTCCGAAGCAGCGTACAAGGTATGAAAATTATCGGGCGCACAATACTCCCCGGTGCTCAGTGGCAAGGTCAAAAAATTTTCCCCGGGACAAACTGGGTTTTCCGGGCACTTACGGTGTCCATAGCGATGACCGCAGTATACAGAACGACCACCACAATCTTCCCCTTCACCGTCAGGTAAAATACGTGCCGTACGCGGGAGCTCTCCAACGATTTTTCCTACAGCGACCCATCCAGTATGTTGCCCACGGGAGGCGTCTACCTGGGCGCCGGCCTCTTCCTGCTGCTGCTCAGCCGCGCGACCGCCTGTTATCCCCATCTGTTGACAACGCGGTTGCCCAACTACCAGTGTCCGGTCCTGGATGCCAATCATGTTAACTGCCAGCGCGGCTGGAAGGGATTGGCGGGCTACACGTACGGCTGCTGTCCGGGCTGGTTCAAGGAGCGCATGCACCAGGTGTGGTGCGAATGGGCCTACACCTCTGGCCAGACCGGTGAGGAATGCGCCGAGTACTACCTGGAGAGCGTGGATACCTTCCCGCGAACCCGGCTGCCCGATCGGCCCGTGGGATATTAGGAAAAGCTGAACTACAGAAGTGTGGAGGAGAATGTTGTGTATGTGATTGGTCTAAACTGGTCCTGAGATTGATCGCTCGAGGGGGAACCTCGGTTTCTCGTAGAACTCGACATTTGTTCGAAGATGTCTGTGCTTTGGTTTTTAGTTTTATCTGCTTGAGACGTGCTGAGAATTCTGCTGTCATGGTTTTGTTGTTGCTCTAGTTTATATTCGTCTTTCTGTTCCGCAGAATCTGAAACTATACGGTTTGTATGACGGGCCTGCGTTTATTTTGATCAATAATACTAATGCTAATGCTGCGTCAGCGTTTCGAAAAATCTGCATAGTCATAGAAAAACGGCTACGTTAATTAAGCACCGTTTTTCAAAAATGGAAAACGCAAAAGTCATTCTTTTTACTTGAAAGGGAAAGGTCAAAGTCTAAGGAGACTCAAATATCAGTGTGTAAAACGTTCCAGGAATATTATTTCAAAGTTTTACAAGCCCTTTGCTATTAGTTGTGTGGATAACGCAGACTGCACAGCGGTTAATTTTGGCGATGCAGTGGAAACCGGGAAAACTTCCGACCGGCCGCAGCTGAAACCACACCACGCCGAAGTACAGAACGAAGATAAAATTAATGGAAGTCAGTTACTTTAGGAAACAGTAAACACCCAACAAAAACTAATCCGGGCAGGAAATCTATGCAAAAACTGATCGACTATCAACGTAGACTGGATGGAAAACAGACCCTTTCACGAACGGCTAATGAAGAGTCTGAAGCAGCCACCTCACGAAGCATGCGCTAGCAGAAATTGGGCGGATCTCGCGCTGGCAGTATGATGTAATGATTTCGATAATCATTTCGATGTGAACTGCGCTTTCTAAGTTCCGCTGTGTCCCATCGTTCTTCGGTTTGTGTCCGTATGAAGATGTCACAGGGAGCAGAATCTGAAATCCCCTGAATACGTACACCACGACCCGATTCTGCTCGGGCATTTTAACTGGTGTCAGAGCGACAATAAAACAGGAAATAATCCCGCTGTTCGTGAGCTACCCATGGCTAGGTTTGACGCTTATCCATTTCAACTTAAAATTTTGGGACTCAGATGTGCTATAGCTCTCGCGCGTTCGATACGGCGGTGCATGTCTGCTGTACGTGTGCAGAAGGTCAACACTGATATTTGGTCCAGACAAAAACTGCTTATTAATCGCAGTTAAGTCGCAGTAAAATTGTCTATCTGCAGCTCGCAGTTTGGCGGACTGTGTTTAACATGCGCTCGCACTGAAAAGCGTCTATACTTTGTCTTTTAAGGCTTGAGCTTGAAGAACAACTTGGAAAGCAGTACAAAATTACTACTGTACGTTTAGTACGTTTACAAGCAGAAATGTGTGGATTTGAGCCAGGTCTAATACGTAGAGCACTTCTGCGATACAGCATTTCGGCCACAAAGTGTTATTACGGTGGATACAGCTACACGGATAGCTGTCCTTCATACATCCTTTAATCAGTATTAAAGGTTGCTGGGGCAACGGAACTGCAGACTCTTCGAGGCAACAACAACTGTGAGCTCAGTGCTGCTTTTATCCATCTATATTATATCTTTGCAATGTTTAGTAAATATTCTGACGTATTCGTACTCCAGCAAGGATTTTATGAAAACTTCTGGTGCCCCTTTTACAGCGCCACGAAAATTCGGTACAGTGTTGAACGACTACAGTCACAGCCAACGCAAAGGATTTTTGGGAAAGGTCAGTAAAGCGACGTGGGCTTCGGTGGCAGAGGCATACTGTCAAAAGCGTAGATGACCTTTACATGCAACGGAGAACATGGTGTACTTACTGATCACTGAGCAAAGTGTCGTCACTCAACCAATCACCGCACTGCAGATTTGAAGGAAAACCACAACAAACACATCGTGCAAGAGGCCAGCATAGGCATGTGAAAGCTGATGGTTAAACATGCGGCGTGCGACTCGGGCTCCGACTCTTCATCTGCGCTGGCATCGAAGTCATTAAGAAACTGTCTAAAGAGCTGCCACTGCTTCCATTTTGTTAGGTTCTTCTCCTCCAGTTCCTTCAAATAGTTTCGTGCCCTCTCCGCCAGTGCCCGGTCGCTTTCTTCTTGCGCTTCTCTCATCTCCTTGTCCTAAAGCCGACACTGATTATCTGTTGCTCATAATTATTTCTGCTCTAGAGTAAATATCCCGTCCGAGTCGGACGGAAGATTGACTGGTATAGTGCTTAGTGGCCAGCGCATCACGACGGAACTTTGTAAAGGAAAAACAAACTGACGGGACCATCCCAGGCAAATATTACCCGGGAACATGGTTGTAATGGAAAATTCACAAGAAATTTGGCTGTGGCAATTAACTCTTGTTTTTGCTACAAAATTTAATTAATGTGACTGGCCCGTGCTAGTGAAAAACCTGTTGGAAAAACAAGTATCACTTACGAAGACCCCTGGGGTAAAATTCCAGTACCGCCAAATTTCAGGTGTCTTCGTCTAGACAGAGAATAGCGTTGTCACTGCGTTATGCCTGTTTCACTCTGCAGATGGCACCTACTGTTACGGTGGGCACTGTAATGGCCGGTGTAGTCATAACCGGCGAAGGACCGCGCTGCAAATGGCAATACGGAAGCAGTAATGACGATGTTGGTAAGTCCGAGGCGTGGCTTACCGTCGTAAGTGTTTTATCGATACACTCCGCCACGAACGCCGTGTGGCTCCAGGCATTGCACCGGTCACTCAGGCAGTACTTCACAAAGCGCGTTCTGGAGACGAATTTGTTGGGGTCATTTGCGCCGCTCTGATAGTGGTGAATGACGGTATTAACATCAGTGGGATTCAGGTAAAAGATTTGTGGGAACGGTCGACGCGGTGTATACTCCACCTCCAGGCAGTTGTCCGGCGGCCCACCGGGGTACACACAGCCACGCCCGATCACCGTCTTGTAGGATTTGTCGGCGGGGATTTTATCCACCCAGGTGGCGCAGTATCCCTTCTGCACCACGACTAAGTCGAGGTTGTTGGGCGGCGGAAACCGGTCGGGGCAGTTGACGGTGTCCTTCAGTCCGACGGCGTCGTAGCAGGAGCGGGTGTCGCTGGCGGGTTTGGTGCTGTCGTCCTCGCAGACGTAACACTGTAGGGCATCCGCACTGCGTACCACTGCAGGAGCCAATTAAAAATTAGGTTTAACCTTGAATGCGCTAAGTTGCAAAACCGGCAGAAGAGCCAATTCGCTTGACGTCTTTCGTCTTGTCACATGCGTCTGCTAAGTCTTGCAAAAAACCTGCGGTTGCAAGTAACCTAGAAAATTCTAATTTTATCAAGCTTTTTAATTGACGCAGTGAAATTTTTTAACTAAAAGGTTATTCAACCACTTGATGGAATATTAAGAAACAAATTAATATGGCGAATTACACAAAGTACAGTAACAGCTCAAGTTCTTACAGGAGGCTACCAGCCCGACGAGTACTGCGCTGCGCATCGAGCTAAAGACACACATGACCATCGATACTGTAGTAAGAAAGGATAGAGTCCACAGGTCACAGATAACTGCTCTTTGAGCTCCATCCGAGTCGCTTCGACTCTGCAAAAGTATGCAACGGTAAAAGATACAGATCAAAACTATACAGCTCAAAGATGAAACTCCTCATATCCGTCACAACATTGAACTTTTTACCGCACAGAGCCATAACACCCATATAAAAGGTACCTTTAATAGGTACCATAATACGAGTACAAACTATGTAACAGCACATTACCTTGGCAGCCGGATTGAATTCTTCATTCTGGAATCCAGGCAGCACACCGTTAATCAAGCCAGCAGATCTGTCTAGTAATCATAACCGACACACTCTAACCTACACCTTTGTGAAGCACTGCCGGGCCATCTCCGACCGGGTGATGCTATTGCACAAGCTGGTGCTGCAGAAAATGTAGTACTTGAGCGTGGGATACTGGTTATGTGGGAGACGGGGGTCCTTGGTGACCGCGTTCTCCTTCACGCATCCCGAAGGCGGGTTGTAGCCCGGCCAGCCGCCGCTGCGCACTAAGAAGGTCAGGACATCGTTGTCCTTTTTGATCTGCAGGATGAAGGTGAAGCAGTAGGGCTGCAGCGGCAGCACCATGCCGTCCATGAACCATGCTTCCAGCCCCCGAAAATGCACTGGATAGAAGTTGGCAAAGTATCGATCATTGTTGATCAGCAAGCTCGTATCGTTGTCGCACAACGCGCTATGCTGGATGGAAGTGTTGGCCGTATTCGAGCAGAAGAAGCACTGTATCGGGCTGTAGAGTTTGTTCTGGTTGAGGGCGTGGCCTGTAACATAAGAAAGACCTTCAACAGCGTCGGCCAACGATCGTAAAATCCAATATTCTTTGCCATACAAAAACTCGCTTGTTATTGACTGAGAAGCACTGAGAAGGAACTAAATGCAACAGCATATTTGATGGGTTCGGGTTCGAAATTATGGGTGCGAATCCATATTTTGAAGGAAGCGCCATATACTGTTACGTATGTAGTGTAGTATGTACTTACGCACACAAAATAAGTTGATGCACGATTACAGCAACAGCAGTTCTCTTCATCACTTTAAAACCAGATTGTGGTCCATTTGTTACAATTTCTGGTTTAATCCCGCACAATCTAAAGAATATTCAAGCACAAAGAAGATTTAGCAAAACTTAGAATGATCAAAAATCCCTGAGTTTTGCGTTTTAAGGCTGAGCATCAGAATCATAAGATGGATGCAAAACTGCGAATGACAGCTGCGGTATGTACGAGTAGGTTGACAAATCAAGGTGCGGCAAATACTGCGTTGAAGAATAATGTTTTTTGGACGACGAACTTTTTACAGCTGTTAAGAGTTAAAGACAACGAAAACACTAATGCTGTTTGCCATTTTTAGGGGCACCACCTGTTTTTACTGTACGCCACGCCGTCACGCACAACAACCGAGAAGACGCTGCAACCACCCTAGCAACTGGGACAAGGTAACTGTGGCCCTGTTCCACCGGAGAGCGCAAAGGTTATCTGCACTCCAGGGCAATACTGTGATTCACTCGAGCGAGGACCTGAGCTCGTCAAAATCCTCCAGATTTAAACGAAAATGTCTTTGTTTTTAGTTGTAGGATTCTGCTGCGTTATGAGGATTCTTTTATGTTGGCTTTCTTTTTCTCTGTGCAGTGTTCGTATTTTACGAAGACTGCACATCCATATGGTTTTTATGATTGATTTAACACTTGACAGAATCATAAGCCAGGTAAATAAGTGAATCTGATGCGCGAATTTCTTAACAAAAACCAAATTCTGTACAATTATCAGTTTGCGTACCGAAACAAAAGGTCAACTGAATTACAGCTATTTTACTTTGTAAAATTTTTCGCGATTTCATCGCGAACGGCGTTGAGGTCGACGCTGTATTTTTGGACTGTTCCAAAGCATTTGACAAGCTTTCACATAAATCTATCCTTAACGCTTTAGCTGAAATGAAATTTCCAAGTCAAGTCGTGCATTTAATTTCGGACTATCTGCAAGGTCGGTTACAATGTGTAACTGTCGAAGGTGTAGTTTCTGGCTTTCTTCCTGTTACGAGCGGTGTTCCTCAAGGGTCAGTGTTGGGTCCATTGCTGTTCATTTGTGTACTTAACTACATTGCTTCAATCCTAAAATACAAAAGCGCCGCTTTCGTTTTCGCTGACGATATTGTCCTTTTCCGTCCTGTTGCCGACAAAGAGGACTGTGCAATGCTGCAGGGAGATCTCGTGCAAGTTAATGATCGGCTGGTCGATAAACAGCTGTGCCTTAATGTCGCCAAGTCAGCCCATGTCCGTTTCTCTAAAAAAATTAGCCTTGAACATCCACATGAATACAGTATTAATAACGTAAGTATTCCCAATTGTGAGCATGTGAAACACCTTGGAATCGTTCTTGACAGAAAACTTGATTGGAAAATAAACAGCGAAAATATAGCTAAGAAGTGCAACAAAAGAATTAGCTATATCAATCATGTTTTCCGGTACATTGATTATGGGGCGCGGATAAAACTTTTCGAGTCGCTTGTCATGTCCGTTATCGACTACTGCAGCTCGGTTACGCACCCTTCCTTAAAACAATCGCATGATATCCTCGAACGGTGCCAAAGACGATTCACTAAAACAGTACGACTCGGCAACAATGTCTTGAATTACGAAGAAAGATTAAAGGAATTAAAGTGGGACAATCTGAGTGTGCGTCGAATGAAAAAAGCACTTGTGTTCCTTTACAAGTTGGTGTTTCGCGTTATCCCCTTGGGGGAAGAAATCGTACTTCCGTTTTACAGCCGAAATACGAACATTTCGGCTGCTGCGTTTCAGTGTGTTTCAGGCAACACCAGATTAGCCCAGCGCATGAAAGATCACCCCTGCCCTATTAAACCGGCTCCGACAACCGTATGTGGAAAGACGGTGATCCCAGTCCATGATTCATCATACCTTTGCCACCTCACCGCTGTGTGGAATGAAATTAGCCTGAAACCAATCGCATACACCACTTTGGAATCCTTCACCGCAGCACTGAAAACCGTGGAATGGGAAAAGTTGCCATCTGTCAAAAAACTGTTTATGCAGCAACGTCGTTCTGTGAAAAAAAAAACCTTGACCACCATGTGATGTAAAATGTTTTTACTTGTTGTGTTTCGTAATCTTTACTATGTCTTGACATCGCTCTTATTACCTGCTATCTCAACGGTTGCGATTCAGTTGAAACCATATAGACGGCGATTACGTGCGTAAGTGTCCTTGCTTTCCTTTTTCCCACAGTTTTATTTTTGAACAACAATTTTGAAAATTTTCAGAAATTTGTAATTTAACAATTATCGTATGTGGGTTTTGGTTTTATGCATCGACCCCAGCGCGATCGCCTCCCACCCTTTTTCCACAGTAACATTAACGTATCGCAACCGTACGAATTACTTCATAGAAAGCATTCACTGTGCTGTTTCCTGTACTGATGGTTGTTTGTTTTGCTTTGTTTATTTTGCGTGTCGTCATAATAATATTCATGTTTTCATGGTACCACCTCTCCATGTTAGCGTCATTTTGTTGTGTTTTTTTCTTGTTGGTGTTCTTCTGTCTGAAGCCTAGAGGGGGCAACCGCTCCGTTGCAAGGACAATAAACTTCATTATTATTATAATGTAGTTGTATAGTCTCTTGTACGAGACGTTTGTATAGTCTCTCGTATTAGTTGTCTTGTATTGCTCATTTTGTACTGTTGGGATTAATTCTAAATACAGATCAGCGTCGCTCATCGAAATACATCGAAAAATTTTAAAAACCTTGTGTCCGTTGTTTAAAATCTTGTGTCCATACATTATACCCATACATTGCGGCAATTACGGACCAGGACGTATCGCGTGTCACATGTTTATAGCAACGTACAGAATATCTTCAGAATATCCAGATTACTGAGTGTTTCTAGTACTACATTTGTACTTATGACATGATACTTATTAAAGGTCATATTTCGATTACTGAGCCTTTAGTTGATCGTCATCCGGATTCGGGACTGACGCTGCGCACCACCAGTTCATCTTTGCTGACGGCAGCAGCCGAGTCATTCGGCAGATAGTAGTGAGGCGGCGAAACAGGTGTGAAGTAGAAGTTGGACGTAGGGAGTGGATCGAACCGATTGGACAGTGGCTAATGGTAGAATTGCGCAAACGTTGCACAGTGCTTGCCACACAACGACCGTTGAATGGCGTTCGAAAGTTCTTATGTTCTGGTAACATTGGTTAGCCCGTTACTAATATAATTCTTGTAGAGTTCCAATCCGCGCATTTTCCTTGATTTTTTCTCTCGTGCACAGCGGGTTTTCCATGTCAGTTTATTTAGTTTTAAAAATTTCAAGCACAACGAACTTTGACTTTTTTTAACAAACGGTTATGCTTTTCCATCTTATAAAATATCTTCCTGTCAAATTTTTAATTTGTGGCCACATCACAGCTCGCAAATCTGACGGACTCGGTTATCCACGTAACATAAGTTTCTTCTGATTGGTTGTTCTTTTCAGCCGTTGTGCGGCGTGTTGCCTTGGCGCATTTCTAGTATTAGTTATCGTTCAATCGGTACGATCCACTTCCTACGTCCAACTTCTACTTCACACCTGTTTCGCCGCCTCACTACGGATGGTGTAGGATCGTAATTATCCGCATTGCTTCTCTTCCATCGTAGTAGGATAGAGAAGAAGTTATGCGGATAATTTAATACTGAGTGGTTTCTTCTTGCCGGCGCTTATCATATTATGTAGTTTTGAAAATAGAAGCTGAAACGTAATATCTTATCAACAGCTTGCGAATGACAAGAATAGAGTTTTAGCGCACATCGAACATTATCAACCTGGATGCAAATGTATTTATCCCAAGTCGGTCTCCTTATCTCTGCGTCGAAATGTTATGCCGTTAAGCAACGCTGAACATAACCGAGGAAACAAATTCTTTTCCGCAGTGAATTCTTTTCCGCAGTAATGTTCGGCGTCGCTTGGTGCACACGGTTCCTCCAGGTTGCCTTGGATGGAGGAAACCGACGGGCAATACACTACGAGAAGAAGTTTTTGCTGGACTTGCTCATGCCGGTGCTGAAATCAAAACCGACTGTTCCATTGGGCCAACGGTATCTATCTGCCCCATTCCACCACATTCCCCATTAAATGCAAAAATATCAGAACTGCAGATAACAGGCAACGGATCAATAACACAGGCTGTGCAAAACTGCAACAGTTTTTGACGTCCATAAATTCAGATAAAATGCAAATAACGAAATTGGTATTACCTTGCAAGAGCTACGTGACATCACTAGTCGGTACTTTGCACATTGCACAGCGACAGACTTTGCACGGCAAAGACTGTAAACAGTACGAGTACGACAAATACTGCAATTTCTGTAACTTGTAATGATAGTAGACGAAGGAGATATTGTACAAATTATGGGCAAATTTCAGTATGAGATGCATGTTGTACGTTACCTCACAAACCCATTCTTTGTGGTCGTCGTTTTTACGCTTGTAGAGGGAGACATAATATATTTATGTGATTCTCATAAACGATGACCGCAATCACGTTTATCATGTCACCCTCTACAAGCGTAAAAAGATCATCGTCAAAATGCTCTTTCGAAGTGGTCCATAGCCGCTGCGAATTGACAAACATTATTAGCAAAATATTTGTAAACTAAAATTATTACTAATACCACTAAAAACATGCAATCACCTCTGGAAATTAATTTGCTTTCTTGCTACTATAGCTGGAATTACTTACCTCGGGAAAAGACACTGTGGCTTTGGGAAATCAGCTTCGGCCACAATAACCCGTAATCCACCTCATCGCTCAACCATTGCTTTTACTTGATTTCGATTCGAAATTAAGCAAAAGCGATGACTGAGTCGCTCATGTATCCGTACAGATATACATGCGCATACCGGTGAATCGAGATATTTACGGTCCGAAAATTTACACGCTTCGAGCCTGCCACAGAACAAGCTGTTACGAGTTTCGAAAAATCTGCCAAGCTGATAATATTGATGAAGCAGTTCGTGATTCTAGTCAGTGATAATTCTGATCAAACGGCTTTGCTGTCGTCGCTTAAATGTTAAGCTGAAATTTTCCCTGGACTAGCGAAAGCACTACTAATGCGCATACCGGCAGCTTGCCATCTGATCGCCCTTTGGAGTGTAGAGCAGCAGCAGAAATTAAAAGTAAGAGTTGCAGGGAGCGTGCGAGTTATTTCACGCAAGAAAACCGAGTTTTGAGTTATACCGCGAGTATCGCTACCGTAGACAACTCGAAAATAACTCGCGTTAAGTTAAAGGGTTAAAATAACTGCACGGATGTGAAAAGTACAGCGCGTGCGTCCAAACACGGTAAATGCACATGAACCGTCCGACTGTGTGCGATGAGAAAGACAAAATTAATCATCACAGCTGGACTGCAACATGAATAACGGTAACCGGCTGATTGCAGTTACAGTATATTAGGTAGAGTAGGGAAACGGCCACATAGCGAGACTAAAGCGTATTCGTTTGTGTTTTCTGTAAAATATTACTACACAAAAACGGTTAAGCCAATTCTAAAAACTTTAAGTACTTTGTGAAGTGTACGCCCTTTTTGACCAGGTTAAGAAGAAAAACTGGAAAGAAATAGGTTGTGGAATTTATTAATCGAATTATAAGTACAAGATGTGCAGCCACTATTGTTGGCGATGGCAAGTTTTTAGCTGCATTCCATCCATTTACTTCTTGAATTCTATTTTTAAAGTGCATTTTCAACTAGCGGGAAATCAGAATATTTTACTGAAGTTCAAGGCGAGTCGTGACATCAACATTTTCGAAGTACATGGTCAATTTAACTATCATAATGCGTGCTCTAGGAAACGGTAGTCGAACAAAGTCGTTGCACCAGTGTGTAGGGCATTTACTGTTCCATTCCATGAATTCGCGAAAACGAACATTCTAAGTAAAATAGATATACTTTAATAAGTATGTTTACAAAATGCAACACCTAGCGCTTAAGGATAACTAAAATTACCACAAAAATGCTTGCATGCATCAAACTGTCGAAATTTGTGTACGATTACGTACGGTCTAATGGTTAGTTTACAGTAGACCGCTCCTGCGGACTACGGTAAGAATCCCGGATTTTATCATACCGCTCAACACAGGCCGCCGTCATCATTCACGACATCAGGGACAAAAAATCGTTCGAGGGGATCAGCTGCAAGGTGCGGCATGTGGAAGGTAAGTAATGTGTCTGTACGGTTACAGACGTCTGTTGACAAGGTCGGAAATCTGTAGTGGTTCTAATTAGTGTCGCAACATTGACCACAGAGTGTTAACGGATGCCAACAGGTTCCAACAGGACGCCTGCGGGCGAGGGCAAAAATCTGTATCGATGTCTACAGGGTGTCATGGCCGGGACTACGGTATGTGTACAAACGGTTACGTTGGCTACTTGAAGGGAAAAAGCGTTCCAGTTTTTTTTTTCGGTACGAAAAACATTCCATATATTACCGCAAAACTGGGAGTGCTACTCATACTACATGAACTAATAACGTTCCGCGCCACGCGCACATAGGCAGTGCCAATAACAGCCAATCTATGGAGCGTCGTCCGGCGTGATTTATCCTTGTGTTCCTCTTGGTGGTCACCTCAAAGAAGTCCTCCTCCTCGATTTCCTTATCTTTGGCGACGGTCGGAGTCTTCTCCGCTTCCCACTTCTGTTTGATCTTCAAAAAGTATTCGTACCGTATTTTCAGCTCTTGTGTCCACGCTATTACAAACTCTCTTTCCTATAAAGTGCATCGCTAATTAGACCAAAGCAGCGCCCGGAAACGAAACAAGACCAGTATTGATCATAAACCGTGTAAAAGCCATAAAAAAACGGTCTTTGTACCATTTTCAGGCGTTCTTCTTTGATGCGGTCTTCGTCCTTTTTTGAATACGTCACCGGCTACATGGAGCGAATGAAATGCTCATTGAGCGAAGTCGACGGAGGAAGGCGACACTTACCAGTCGTGTAGATGGCGTCGTGATCGGTACCGACAAATCCCGCTACAATAAAAAATACATGTCGACATATGTTGCATGATGTTACTATATTGTGCGCATGTACATGTTTTCCCTGTTGTACGGAAGTGGATTGTTGTGTGTATCACTTATGGAGTCCATAGCATATTCTTATCTACCGATTGAGTAGGTTTGGTCATCTAGTGCGATTGTCGCGGTGCGACTTCCGCATAGCATTTCAAGGTCTTAGAAAACTGGGACTGGAACACTGTAATAATTGGCTTACCGTAGTTAACGTGCTGCCAACACCACCGAAACACCACTGGACCAGTTCGTTATAGGTTATCTGGTTGCACTTGTCAAACCGGCAGTACTTCACCATGCGCAGTCGGGGGATTATGGTTTTCTGTCCACCGTTCGGATTCTTCTTATCAAACCAGCCACCCAGAGAGGTAATGACCACGGTGCCGTCCGGATTGTAGTCGATGCCGGGGCCCACAAGGCGCTGGATCTCCGCATCCACCTGCAGACAGTTGTCCGGTTCGCCGCCCGGGTACACGCAGCCGCGGCTGATGACGTTGGTGCGACCGCCCCCGTTGGGGAACTGCTCCAACCAGGTGGCGCAGTAGCCTTGCTGGCGCAGGACCATCTTGTAGTTGTTGGGCGGCGGGTAGCGGTCGGGACAGTCGACCGTTTCCATGGCGGTCGGTACGTTGTAGCAGTTGTGCAGGTAGGCCGCGGTCCGGGCACCGTCGTCGGCGCAGGAGAAGCAGCGCAGAGCCTGTGCACCGTGGAGATCTAAGGCAGCACGGTCGGCAGTTAACGTAAAGTATGAGAAAACCTATTGGTTTCTGCTAGCGCAAATACGGCAGCAAGAAATACGTAATACGAGTACAGTACAGGTGCAATTGTACTACGTAGTAAGTACTTACCGAATGACCACAGCAGCGCAACGACCGCGTGCCATACTGAGGACAGCGAGCTTGACACGCCGACGCCCAGAAGCGTCGCAATGACTGGTATCATGTGAACACCAGGAAAGCTTTGTCTCACCGCTCCATCGGTAGCCTACAAATATAAGTCAGTCGAAGTTTCAACAAGTATCTTGTTTTTCGCTAGACGCTCTAGCGGGAGATTCAATTACACAGCGTGACAATCGGCTAACCTTAGCGTGCCCCAAAAACGCCGGTGGATCAAACTGCTCGTTCTGCAACAGCCAAAATTCCCTCATCGATAGTCGTCGATACCCGCTCAATGCACTGACCCGGGGTACGCTATCAGGTGACGACCTACATTTTTAAAGCACTGCTGCTCCAGCTTCTCCATCGTGATCGTATTGCAGAAGGCAGTACGGCAGAAGATGTAGTACTTGAGCGCCGGATGCTGGTTGTTCTCATCCCATTGCTGTTTGGTCTCCGTGTGCTCCTTGACACAGCCACTGGCATCCCCGGCGCCCGGATACGCGCCGCCCCGATCGAAGAAGCTGATGACTTCGCCGTCCTTCAGCACGCGTACCACGCTGGTATAGCAGTAGGGCTGCAGCGGCAGCACCAGCCCGTCATGGCTCCACGCGGCCTTCCCGCGGAACTGCTGCGTGGCGAAGCTGGCCACGTGCCGTTTGACGTCCTTCTTCAGGATCGTCACGTCCTTATCGCAAGCGACATTCTCCAGATGGGAACACACGTAGCAGGAGATGGCTGGCCAGCTGGTGTTCTGGTTGATGCCGTAGCTCCAGTGACCTACAACGTCACCACAATTAAGTACGGCTGCGGACTCCCAAGTCACCGCAAGAAAGAAATCCGGAAGTATATCCAAATTGGCCAGAAATAACGCCGCAGGTGATCGTTTTCGGACAATGGTCACCGTTTTTATTCTTAACTTGTTAACGATGGAGACGCTTAGTACTTAGGCGCTTAGTATTTTTGGCTCTGCAAAGTGAACTGCTGCGTTTCATGGGTCGAAAAATCCTGGACCTAACTGAAGTACCCTGTTTTACTGCTTCTTTCAAGCAGTGTTTCGGTTTATTTCTTGTAAAACTACGGCTGTTTTGAGTAAGTTATCGGTTAAGAGAGAAGATAGAGACCCGCGACGAAGAGAGACGATAGAGACCCGAGATCCGTGTCCCGAGAGAAGATAGACTTGGTTGTTTTTTAGTATTTAAATTTGAACTATCAAGTAGTGTACCATTGCTTGTAAAAGATTTTTTCTTTGGGTGGATACTGAAATAAAATTTTTAACAAGTATCGACTTTTAGGATGAGGATGCTACGCATCAACGAGTTTCGTCGTGCGGGCAGAAATGAATTTCTCAGCATTTGGATAGTGTGGGAAACAGGGTCCCCGTACGGATTTCAACCTTTGGAATTTGTCGACACGACGACAGTTTTGCGGATGGCAGCGCTTTGCATACATTAGTGCTGTCATCTACATTAGCGACCTTTACCTTATTTTAAAGTTAGCAGAATTACTTATGAAAAACTGAACAATGACGGCAAGTCCCACTCGTCCAGGTCGTACCATTTCCCAAAAACAAAATGGGGAGTTCCGATCCACGATGCGATAGTTCTTCGGTCTAAGGAGCCACGCGCGAATCAGCCTTCAATAATCCTGACGCCATAGCTGCATAGCATGCAAAAATGCACAGTGCGCGGAAGTCTACCACATTATTTTCCATACTCGTAGATCTTGCAGTTAACCGCCCAACGCACAGAGATTGGCTGCTTGTAGGAAACATCACAGCAATTATCCACGGGATAAATATGTGTGGCACTGGTATTTATCCCGTAGTGATAAACGCGCAAATACAAACATTTTCCTGCAAAACTTATTGAAAATAACAGTAATTTATAATATTATAATTATTATTACAAAACTTTATTAGAAATTTATTACTGTACTGCATATAAAACGTAAACAAACAAGAAACGTCAACATGCTTTTTGTCCGGCGATTATGTACAAGTCTACTTTGGTCACCAAGCAGGCAACGTTTCTGGCCGAATTTTTAGCACAACGCCTTCTTATGCAGATACTTATGCAACAACAACAATTCAACAGCAACAACATGCAGATGTTCGGTGTTAATTAAATCTTGGTCGTTTTGCAGTACATTAGTTTAAGCGCAGTGTCAATTGTAGCTTTATCGACAATATAAAATTCATAAAGGAATATGAATATCAGTTTTATTTTTGGAAATTTTTATTTAATGTTTTCTTTACGGGTGTACAAATGGTTCTAAGGTCTGAATTTTCAGCAACCTTAACGACCAATATCATCAGTACTCGTACAGATTCTGCAAAGTTTTACGGAGATTCTGGTGTCATCACAAGTCACGGTTACGGATTATGCAGCGACTTTAACGAAGCATGAGTGATATTGTGACTGCGATGATTTTCTAGTTCTAAATGAATACGGGCTCAATGCCTCAAATTCGTCTGAGCAAAGTGTGTTTTCAAAAAGATTGGAACAACATTTTTAGCGGCCCTCCAGACAAGCTTACAGTCTGAATTTCCTTTGCTCAGCTTCCGACCTGGCTCTCGAATCATACTACAACGCGGCGGAAAAGAATTTGACGCGCAAATTTCAAAATAAAATTTTTGCGGTGGATAACAATCCGCTGCTACATACTGCTCAACATGCTACAGCGAGCGACCAGGACCGCGATCAGCATTCAGCAAAAAACGACAAAACTGTACCGCGTTAAAGGACGGCAGTTCGACCTATCATACGTGCCAGCCCAAACAATCACAAAACTCAAAGCGCCTGCACTGCTACAGCAAATGGTAAAGAGCACAGAAGTCCGGTAACTTCCGGTAACGCAACCCACGCACTCTGCACAGAAACAATCACGGCAGTGCCTCTCCTAATCGGAATAAACTCAAGCAGCTCATGCATATGGGTAGTAGAAAAACGTCGAAGTTGATGATGATGCGCGTGGCGTGCGACTCTGTGTCCGCCTTGGTTTCATTGAATTCGAACTCCTTTAGGAATTCTTGGATACGGCGCTGTTGCTCCCATGCTGGTATATTGCTCTTTTCCAGTTTTCTCCTCTCGGCTTCCTCCGAAATCTTCTTGTCCCTTTTTCGATCTTTGTCCATTTCATCGTCCTAAATCAAAGCAGACGGTTGTTGCTTGTTTGTTCACAGTAAAGCCGTGCATTACAGGTACCTCAATAATTCTGAATAACTGGGTGCTTTTTTTACTAGACATTGTTAGAGCGGCATCCGCTCTCTATAGGATCGTTAGATAAAACATTTCGATACAATTTGCATGCTTTGCCGATAGCCTAGTGGTGCCTCTCTCGGCCTTAGAGTATGGAGTTTGTGGGTTCGACTCCCTCAATCGGCAGATTTATTCCGAAGTTCTATACGATCCTAGCACATCCCTTGCAACATGTTACACTATTCGTCGTAGATGTACATTCGTAGATAACTCGTAGATGTACGGATAATCAACTAAGTATTCTTACCCAGTTGAACCAAGGACGAATAGGCCAACCGTCATCGACATCATCGTCTTCCACAAAGTATTTATTCAAAGTGGGCTTCCTGGTCTTAACAAAGACTGTTACAGCGATAGTTATTGGCGGGAAGGATCTCTGTAGATGACACGTACCGGTATGGTGGGCATTGGGGTGGTCGGTGTGGATGGTGTGGTCATAACCGAGGAAAGATCGCGCTAAAAACGCAGTATGTGAGAGCAAAGTTAGCGGTGTACTTGGTCCTTACTCACAATTAATATCCATAGGAGAGCATCGTTTACAATTAATCGCACACACATGAAGAACAATTCATGGCATGAAATGGAACTGCACATGACTGATTTTCTTTATGGAGCAGCTTACCGTTGTTAGCGTCTTGTCGATGCACTCCGCCACAAACGCAGTGAAGGTCTCGGAGTTGCACCTGTCAGTCCGACAGTACTTGACCACCCGCAGACGCGGGCTCCATTGGGGTACACCGGGCTGGGGAGTGGGCGGCTCCATGTTCACTTCCAGACAGTTGTCCGGTTCCCCGCCGGGATACACGCAGCCGCGATTGATAAAATCCACGTAAGCGCCTTTGGTGGGCGTGGGCATCCGGTTCAGCCAGGTAGCGCAGTAGCCCTTCTGTAGCCAGACCATGTCGTAGCCGTTGGGCGGCGGATACCGATCCGGACAGTTGACCGTGCTCGGCAGCTCCTTGCCTTGGGCGAGCACGTTGTAACAGGGCAGCAGCTGACTGGCTGGTCGGCCGTCATCCGCGCAGGCGTAACACTGCAGCGCATCCGCACTACGCACCACTGTTATTGAAATCGAAATGCTGGTCTTTATGATGCACAAATTACGTAAGCAGCGAACCTGATTAATTTCTTCGCCTGTGCATGTGTGCCGTTGCCGTATTTTTATAAAATAAAATATAAAATTATATTTTTTTTTTAAAATAAAATATTAAGGGGTCAAAAGATTTTCTGCGTACTTAGATTTTCACTTACGAAAGCCTGCTAACCCGACGAGTACTGTGCATCGCCCTAGACTAAAGCCGCCAAGGGTGATTGATATTATAGTTAGACAGGAAAGCATCCGCCGATCACAGCTGACTGCAGCTCCATCCGAATTTTCAGCGTCCCGCTTCTGCAAAACTTACCATGATATGTTAAGACATATCGGATACATATCATCGACGTCATATTTCTCATATTTAGTAAGTTGGTTTTAGATGCTCAAAAATTACGTGCAATATACCCCGCTAACGCTACCTGGGCAAAGATCGTCTTAGGTGGATTGAAGTCCTCATCCTGGAAGCCCGGCAATACAGACACCGTTATCAGCTACCGGGTGTTAATGATTGAATCACACGCAGGCGTCACCTTGGCGAAGCACTGCCGGGTAAATTCGTCCTGGCCAATGTTATTACACAGGTTGGTACTGCAGAAGATGTAGTACTTGAGCGTAGGATACTGGTTGATGGCCTCCAATGGATTCTTGGTAGTCATCTCTTCTTTGATACAACCGGTAGGGGGTTTGTAGCCCGGCCATCCGCCGCTGCGGACTAAATAATTCAGTACAGCGCCATCTTTCTTGAACTGTAGGATGTACGTAAAGCAGTAGGGCTGCTGCGGCAGCACCAGGCCGTCCATTCCCCAGACTCGCGGACTGCGCATATACTCGGTGGCAAAGGAGCGTGTGTTTTGAGGGTCGTAACGCAGTAGGTTGAGATTTTGTCGACAAAAGGCGCTGTGATTTTCTTCAGCGGCCGAAATCTTCATGTCCGCGCAGGTGAAGCATTTTATCGGCGGGAATGTCGAATTCTGCTGTAAGGCGTGGCCTATAGCGTAAGGAACAACTTTTAACATCTGCCATCATCCTTAATATTGAGCTAAACATATAATCTTTTAACATTATCAGGTCCGCTTCGGCCATGCGCGGAGCGAGATAAAATGTTTGACAGTGCGTTCATGCACTTCGACTCAGGCAGATAAAAGATCTTAATGAAAAAGCTGATGAGAATCCAGGACAATAATATCGCGCTTCGCCGATTACGGTTTGGCTTTAGCTTACGGAATTACCAATCATGACCAGAAAACGATGTAACGTGTATGGAAAACCGGGACTGGAACAAAATAATGAGACATTTCACCCGAAATTCAAATTTACTCACATAAAATAAGCTGATGCAAGATTACAGCAGTTCTTCTGAACGAAATCATGATCTGCTTAAAAAACACACGGTTCACCAAGTTATAATATTATCATCTACTGCGCAATCCGTACAACCGAGAAAGGACCCCGGTAATACAAGATTTTGCAAAGTTCCCGTAGCTATCAGTACGTTCCGCACATATGGGACGTTAGCATAAGGTACAGTAAATCAAATACGTCAATACCATAATAATATTATGATATTGGCGTATAATTATGACGACGAATATTATTGGCCAGCATGAAATATAATGCGGCAGCAGCCACGAAGCCTTAGCGCAATTCTAATACGTCCATGAAGGCGTTTATGCAGATTACTGTGTTTACGCTCCTGTACGTACAGGAAACGAAACAGGAAAAGACGTTGTTGTCAACCTAGCAACCCAAGCTCAGGTAAGCAGCACGGGTCTAAACGTCAGCAGCTTGATGGCGACTGCCCTTCCTCATCCAAGTCAGACACCTAGCGTTGTTATGCTTAATGCTTTTTCGTGAGATACTGTACTGGTTACATGAAGGTAAAACAGTACTGTACTTATTTAACCGCCCCCAGTGAAGCAGTAAACATCAGACTGGCTGTTTTTGACTCTGGCAGCGTGTGTGTGTACTGTGCAGCCTGTGGATCATCTGAATCTCTGCTGTGTGTTTCAAATAGACTATAGAGCGTGTATTCACATTAACGACATGATCTTCGACTTCCGTAATTTCCTGCTCACTTTGGGCACTTTCTTTTCACAATTTCTGTTGCTTGCCTAATCAAACTCAGTTTGGTTTGATTATACTAATGATTTTTTTCTCTCGCTAAATATACCATCCCATGTTGTGTATTTTGTGTGACCTTTGCTGCGTATCATGATAAGTTTTTGGGATGTCAGAATATTTAATGCCTTGAGGGAACAGTGTCCCGTTGCACAAGGCAATAAATTAAATTAAATTAAATAGTACGGTGTATAGACAACGGCGTGTGTGTAATCAACGGTGGGAGACGAATGATCACCCCATTATGGCTAAACTGAAGCAAACCCAAGCAAGAGTTAATTAGCAAGTGCACGCGGGCAAGAACCAGCGAGCAAATCAAGCTGATGAAGAAGAACGCAGAAGCGTGGGGCAAGAAGCGCGGAAGGCGCGGAGCATTATACAGGAGCGTGAATTAATTAGCAAGCTCAGAACAAGCTGTAGCCAGATAATATATTCAAGGAAATTCTGACCGTGAGATGCGGTCGGTAAAATGTGGGAAAAATAATAAGGATTCTGGTCTTCATAACTCAATAACCAGGAAACAGTAGAGAGAGGCAATTAACACTCCTATTGGGGGTACAGTTTACTTTCTATCGCTTTAATATATGCACGTAGATCGACAATATGTCAAGGAACAACATCTATAAATTAAACTTCGAAAAAATCCGAAACATCGAGATCGGAAAAATAAAAGAGAAAGAAAACAACTGTAAACGCCATTACATTCAGCAAGCTCAGAAAATGTACCACCTGAACTTTTTTTTAATAAATCATACTAACCCGTGCTACCAATGCCGGTTCTGGCAAGGTTGGCTTTGGTGGTAGGAATTGATGGTCCGTTTCTTTTATCAAATAATTTATTGAAATTTACCCATATACCGTATTTAATACTCGTAGTTAATATACAGTAACACGCTACCAAATCTGTTTAATATTAAAACAGTGGTGGACGTTTTCAGTAAGTATCCAATTGCACATGACAGAAATGCGTCATACATCCAGCTGACACTGCGTCATACATCCAGCCTGGAATCTGGATGTATGACGCAGTTGGCACTGCTGCGTATTGCAAAACCGGCTCCAAAACGACACAAATAACCTATTTAGAAAGATCTACGAGAAACATCTGCAACACCCGGAAGATTGTATGTGCAGGAGAGTAGTACATGGTCAAAAGTGTTGCTGGTGCCTTTATTGCTTATTATTGTTTTGACGATCTGGTGGACAGTGAAGACGCTTTCCGTCAACTACAAAGTGATAAATCGACGACGGGTTCCTTACATGTTCTTTTATAAAGAGAGATTAGTCTATAAGTACCGTTGGCACGAATCCGTCATTGTGAATCATTGATTGCGGGTTTGACACCTAAAACAGTACTAACTGGTTTTGCGGCGGCCTGTTGATGTGCCGTAGTTGTAATTTTATTGTTGAACGCAGTAACGCAGTATCAGAAGGAAAACCATCCGCCGATGTTACTGAACATGTTACAGAGAGCGATGAAGACCGCGATCCGCAAAGAGCCATTGTGGTTACGTAACAATCTTAAACCGCTGGGATCCGGTGCATGGAGCACCCATACCGATTCTGTATATCCATTCAGCAGCATGTCATGCTCGCTCAAACACCATACCGACCCGTTATGTTCTCTGTACAATCACCCATAAATTTCACGCCAAGCAGCCGAGACGTTAAGGCAATGATGCAGCCATTATGCATTTCGTTCGCTGCTGCATTCCCAGCTGTTATACAAGTGGAAGTCGACTGGATAGTGGATAGCCAGTCTCTGTGTAGGTGTCGCAGCAACATAATCATGATCCTGCATTTCCGTATTCCGTTCACAACACCCTTCTCTCAGGGGACAGCATTCCGCATCAGCATCCTGTACGTCGTGGCCGGCGCACTGGCCACTTGCCTTCAGACTGCTGGTAATCAGACTACTTAATATTGTTATTGCAGTTATTATTATCGGGCTAAAGTAGCAACTCATTCCCAACAAATTATCTTGTTCAGCAATAATTATTATCGCTGCTTGGCTGCTTTGGATACAGATTTCCACATTCCTAATTTTTAAACATACTGTAAATTCCATACCTAAATCTAAACTGGGAGCGCGCTAGCGCGAGCAACACCTGTAGCTATTATACCTGTTTGAGGTTGTGTATCCGTTGGCTGATAAAATTAATCCATTAATTTATTTCCCAGGAAGTTAGTTTCGTACATTTTAATAATAATATTTACAAATGAAGTAGATTAACCCTTTCATCGTAATAATTAATTAGGTTAGTAAACTGTCATTAATTTTACTTTCGTATATTTTTGTATACCTTGTGATTAGTATGGTAAATGTTTGGCATTTATTTCGGCATATATATTCATCTTATTATTATATCTACAAGAAACAGCCTCGGCTTCGCCTCCGCGTTTCTTGTGGTCTCCATTCTCCAGTCTACGGCCGGTTTATTCAAATGGTTTCGATCAGCTATTTAGTTAACAGCTTATTCCTTCAGCGAAACAAAATGGTCTGAAAATAGCGCTAAAACGCAGATAGGATGAAAAGTGAATTTATGGCTTTTCTGCACTCAGACGCATTCACGTTGACTGAGAGGGGAATTTTTGTTAAGTTTTCCATCCCGACTCTTACTCTACCAGGTACTAAATTTCAACCTAGGGTAAGGAATGCTTGCAATGGATTCTGGTGGTAGTTGGGTCACTCAACCACCTAGCGGGCTTCGTGTGCTGGACAGTAATGGAACTTTGGTTAACTGCTCACCTTGCGGGCTGTAAGCTATGGACAGTAACGATACTTCGGTCACTCATTCATCTTACGGGCTGTGTGCTCTGGACAGTAACGATACTTCGGTCACTATTCATCTTACGGGCTGTGTGCTCTGGACAGTAACGATACTTCGGTCACTATTCATCTTACGGGCTGTGTGCTCTGGACAGTAACGATACTTCGGTCATTCATTGACGTACCGGGGTGTGTGCTCTGGACAGTAACGATACTTTGGTCACTCATTGACGTAGCGGGCTGTGTGCTCTGGACAGGAACGATACTTCGGTCACTATTCATCTTACGGGCTGTGTGCTCTGGACAGTAACGATACTTCGGTCACTCATTGACGTAGCGGGCTGTGTGCTCTAGACAGTAACGATACTTCGGTCACTCATTGACGTAGCGGGCTGTGTGCTCTGGACAGGAACGATACTTCGGTCACTCATTGACGTAGCGGGCTGTGTGCTCTGGACAGTAACGATACTTCGGTCACTCATTGACGTAGCGGGCTGTGTGCTCTGGACAGGAACGATACTTCGGTCACTATTCATCTTACGGGCTGTGTGCTCTGGACAGTAACGATACTTCGGTCACTCATTGACGTAGCGGGCTGTGTGCTATGGATAGTAACGATACTTCGGTCACTCATTCATCTTACGGGCTGTGTGCTCTGGACAGTAACGATACTTCGGTCACTCATTGACGTAGCGGGCTGTGTGCTCTGGACAGTAACGATACTTCGGTCACTCATTGACGTAGCGGGCTGTGTGCTCTGGACAGTAACGATACTTCGGTCACTCATTCATCTTACGGGCTGTGTGCTCTGGACAGTAACGATACTTCGGTCACTCATTGACGTAGCGGGCTGTGTGCTATGGACAGTAACGATACTTCGGTCACTCATTCATCTTACGGGCTGTGTGCTCTGGACAGTAACGATACTTCGGTCACTCATTGACGTAGCGGGCTGTGTGCTATGGACAGTAACGATACTTCGGTCACTCATTCATCTTACGAGCTGTGTGCTCAGGACAGTAACGATACTTCGGTCACTCGTTCACCTAACGGGCTGTGTGCTCTGGACAGGAACGGTACTTCGGTCACTCGTTCACCTAACGGGCTGTGTGCTCTGGACAGTAACGATACTTCGGTCACTCATTGACGTAGCGGGCTGTGTGCTCTGGACAGGAACGATACTTCGGTCACTCATTGACGTAGCGGGCTGTGTGCTCTGGACAGGAACGATACTTCGGTCACTCATTCACCTAGCGGGCTGTGTGCTCTGGACAGGAACGATACTTCGGTCACTCGTTCACCTAACGGGCTGTGTGCTCTGGACAGTAACGATACTTCGGTCACTCATTGACGTAGCGGGCTGTGTGCTCTGGACAGGAACGATACTTCGGTCACTCATTGACGTAGCGGGCTGTGTGCTCTGGACAGGAACGATACTTCGGTCACTCATTGACGTAGCGGGCTGTGTGCTCTGGACAGGAACGATACTTCGGTCACTCATTGACGTAGCGGGCTGTGTGCTCTGGACAGGAACGATACTTCGGTCACTCATTGACGTAGCGGGCTGTGTGCTCTGGACAGTAACGATACTTCGGTCACTCATTGACGTAGCGGGCTGTGTGCTCTGGACAGGAACGATACTTCGGTCACTCATTGACGTAGCGGGCTGTGTGCTCTGGACAGGAACGATACTTCGGTCACTCATTGACGTAGCGGGCTGTGTGCTCTGGACAGGAACGATACTTCGGTCACTCGTTCACCTAACGGGCTGTGTGCTCTGGACAGGAACGGTACTTCGGTCACTCGTTCACCTAACGGGCTGTGTGCTCTGGACAGTAACGATACTTCGGTCACTCATTGACGTAGCGGGCTGTGTGCTCTGGACAGGAACGATACTTCGGTCACTCATTGACGTAGCGGGCTGTGTGCTCTGGACAGTAACGATACTTCGGTCACTCATTGACGTAGCGGGCTGTGTGCTCTGGACAGTAACGATACTTCGGTCACTCATTGACGTAGCGGGCTGTGTGCTCTGGACAGTAACGATACTTCGGTCACTCATTGACGTAGCGGGCTGTGTGCTCTGGACAGGAACGATACTTCGGTCACTCATTGACGTAGCGGGCTGTGTGCTCTGGACAGGAACGATACTTCGGTCACTCATTGACGTAGCGGGCTGTGTGCTCTGGACAGTGAACGATACTTCGGTCACTCATTGATCTTAGCGGGCTGTGTGCTCTGGACAGGAACGATACTTCGGTCACTCATTGACGTAGCGGGCTGTGTGCTCTGGACAGGAACGATACTTCGGTCACTCATTGACGTAGCGGGCTGTGTGCTCTGGACAGGAACGATACTTCGGTCACTCATTGACGTAGCGGGCTGTGTGCTCTGGACAGGAACGATAATTCGGTCACTCATTGACGTAGCGGGCTGTGTGCTCTGGACAGGAACGATACTTCGGTCACTCATTGACGTAGCGGGCTGTGTGCTCTGGACAGGAACGGTACTTCGGTCACTCGTTCACCTAACGGGCTGTGTGCTCTGGACAGGAACGGTACTTCGGTCACTCGTTCACCTAACGGGCTGTGTGCTCTGGACAGTAACGATACTTCGGTCACTCGTTCACCTAACGAGCTGTGTGCTCGGGACAGTAACGGTACTTCGGTTATTCGTTTACCTAGCGCGCTCTGTGAAAGGCCGTCTGGCCGGGTTTTGGAATCGGGGCAATCAGATTATGGAAATGGTTTTTGCTGATGCCGTACGGGAAAGCTGCGTTCGTGTTTCCCGTTCTTTTTTTGTGGTAATAAAGATTTAGAATGTAGATACCGTATTATTCCGTATTATACGGAATAATTTACGCACCGTATGTGCTGATTAAGTAATCACTGTCCTTACTTTGCTCGGAGTGCAGTGAAGGGTCAGCCCGTTTGAACGATTACTATGGTCAGTTTTTTTAGCGCTTTAAATTGATAACGATTTTTTAAACGAAGCCGTCCACTTTAAGTAGCATCGTTTGTGTTACTGCTAACTGGCTTTTCTAGTTTTGTAGGAGTAAAAGTTTAAACCTTTTTATTTTGCTGAGCTAAAAAGGTACCAGTTTAAATTTTTTATTTGGTTTAAATTTTGATTTGAATTTTTGGTACTGATTGTTTGCTCCAAGCAACCGGACTCTGAAATTGTTTTCAAGGTCACCTTGAGCTTTCAGCTCTACCGGCACCGGGGTCTGTGCACGGGAGCCGGAGCGGATAATTACCAAAACAAAATTGTAATGGAGTTATACTATGTCTTAGCAACGGCAACGGTATCTGCGAATACCAGCTGCAGATGGTCAGTCGAGTTGTGTACGAGCAGCAATAAACAACAGCGTATTTGGCAATACGTGACAAAAATGCATGTGACACAGTTTCCAGACATGCTGAATCGAATGGCGTTTGCAGTTTTTCGATTAATTTTTTGGTTTGTTCTGACCAGATCGTACGGGGTTTTCCGTTGTAATATAGATCTTTACCTTGATAGTACGTACATGTATAAAGTCACTGTTAAGCTACTCGTACCTTATTAATAGACATTGTTGTTTGAATTGGATCAAATATGGCGTTTTTGCCATGCGAATAATAACAGCTGTATCAGTCTGCATGCATCTGTATTTGTAATGGTTTTTACGTAGAAATACTGCACCTACTTTATATGATGGGGATAATTTTCTACCATCTTATAAGTATACTCATACGCTGGCTAAGGAATTATGTCGTTAGCTTAATTTATTGCCGCTTATAAATAAATTGATTAAATTATTTGGCACTTGATAGTATACACGTTCGTCTTCCTGTACGAAGCCGTGTACGATTGGCGCGGGAACCTCGTTCTGGCGCGACTGCCGCTGGGCCTGCTCACCGGCCTGTGCTACACGGGCACCGCGTATCTCCTGCGTCAGACCAGCCGCCACCTGGCCCGTTCGCCATACCACACGCTGTCGCACAGCCACGTCCGCCGGTTACAATCCCTGTGCGCGACCAACATGGCGACGTCGCTCCTCCTGCTGGCCATGTCCGCCTACCTGCTCATCCCGCTGTCCGAATTCATCCAGGGTCCCCAGCTGGACACCATCCCCGCACCTTCGACCGGCCATACGAGAGAGAAGGCATTCGATCTGGCCAGCAACGCCCTCGGGGTGCTGCTGGTGCACGCCGGGGTGGGATTCCTAGCGGCCGGGATGCTGTTGGTCAGTGGGTGCACGCTATGCCGCTGTCCGTTGCCGCCGCCGGTCGTCCTGCCGTCCGCCCCGATGATGCCGGCCTCGGACGGGAATAATCAGGAAATCGCCCGAGACTCGGATTGTGCCACGGAGCCGGCAGTTTACTGCGAGTCAGAAGAGTTTTCATGCGTATAACAGCCGGACAAGGGATTCCCTACGCTCTTTGATGCACAGTGTGATGGTGTGCTTATGTAAATACTTCGGATTCTCAAAATAATGTTACACGTACATGTACATTCTAACGTAACATGTACAATACATGTACATGTACATATACAATACATGCGCACATAGTACATGTACATATTATAGTACATGCACATATAAATGCACATGTATTTACTTCATTGCGCTTACATGTTTTATTACGCAATGTGGAAATTGTTGGATTGGTACCGGACACCAGAGACACGATCTTCTTCCGCGTTGTTTCACATATCGAAAACTTTTCAAAAACTAAAAGTACGTAATAACAATTGTTTTTATATATAACAAGCTTGTACAGATACAGCGAAATTAGTACAAAATTTTCCAGGTTTCCAATGTGGAACAACGCAGAGAATACCCTGTCCCTTGTGTCTGGTATGCGTATCCGTAGTGCGAAAGAGCGCGAAATGCGATAAACGACGAAGTGCATATTCATAATTATACCGTGACTTTGGACGTTGCCGCTCTACATTAGTGCAGACAGACTTATAAGGAACTCAGTAATTGTTAGTCCTTATGTCATGTCGTTGTTGATGCTGTTGATGTTGTTGCTATGTTGCCACAACAGACTGACAATGGTAAAGATATCGCAGCTATCCTAGCAACTTAAATTGCACGCTAATTCGGATGAAATGTTCTGCATGGTGATCAGGCCGCCTGTTTCCGTAATCGGCTGAAGCTGTGTAATCAGTACAAATGTCGTGTACTTTTATACTTTATAGCAACCTGTGACTGTATAATATTTCGCCAGTCTCAATATAAAATTAATAGAGCTTTTGCTGTTGTGCCTAATAGTACTCAAGTTGTATTACATATGATTCTTAATATGATTGTATTACATGTTTCTTATTAATAATTAAAGGTTAATTCGCCCTGACGATAGACGGCAGTCAAGTCAAGGAGTAGCAAAGGTCTTCTAGTACATACTGTACTGCTACGTTTAACGTTAAAATAAATTTTAAATATTTCTGTCTGTCGTTTTGATATTTACGTTGTACATTTTTAGTGTAAAATTCTGTAGCAAACCCAACGACATCAAAAACAGAATCTTTTAACAAGTCAGGAAGGGGCCAAAGGGTGATTAAGGGGTGGGTTAACGGTCATTTTTAGGACTCCGATAACTACCTCTCCAGAAATTGACTCAACCAACATTTGTCCTAAGAAATTTTTGAAAACTGTCGAGTGTGCCAAAATGTCTTTTACGAGTTAGCAAAACCACCTTGCGCGGGCAGTGTTCGAGGCAGTCTTGAAATTAGATGTATCCTTCATAGGTTTGTAAGGTAAAAGTACCAAGTAAAAAATGTGATAACCGTAATCAACGCACTGGTCGTTTTGAACAAGATGTGAATGTTCATACAGAAATTAGGAAGGGTCCATTAAAAAGCCACGGTATCACTTTGGGCTTCTTAGCATCCAACAATTTCTAAAACATTATTGCATAAACATGGTTATTTCATATTAAGCAGAGCGATTTTGTGAAATAAATGAAAATAAAACTTTGGTTTCCAGAACATAAATTTCTTGCCTGGAATCGTGACCTGGAAAGATACTATAGACCGACAGCTATCACTCAAAAATGGAATAAAGATTTTATACTAAACTCCACCGGCTTACCCAGTGCTAATCTGTAACCCGAACAGGGGTTGTTTGGGCCTGTCAAACTCCCCTGTTCGGGACCAGAAACCAAGTCCGAGGTGCCATTGTGCGGGCCAGAGAGCTCAGGCCTACCGGCAAACGGGCGGAAGGCCTATTTGTAGACCCACTCTGAGCAAGTTCTGGTTCCGCCTGGGCCTATCGAAACACGATATGCAACGGCGTTCGGGCCCAGTCCAAACATTAAATTTATTTAGAATTTCAGTTGCTTTTTTATTTTGTATTTTACTTAAATCCAGCTTTACATGACTTAGAAGCTTTATTATTAAGTGACATAATAGGCTTTATTAATATTTATTGTAGCGCATCACATGCACTGATCACAAGTCTGCATTAATCACGGCATAAACATGGAAAAACAGGATGCACAGCGGTTATATGTACATTCATTTCTCAATATTTCGGCTCAATAATTTCGTAGTTAACATCCGCATCAGCTTTGCTCGAAGGCACATCCGACTTGATGGCATACAACTTCTCTCCCAAGTTCTTCTCCTCGGAAATATTTCGCAGCTTTAGTGGGTTCATGCGCGTGCTGGCAGCGGGCAGGCGTTCGGGAAAAATTTTCATCGGAAAGGGAGAATTTATGCGCAAGATCCTGAAATTAAAATATATTTATTAGTCCACTTATTAGTAATAAAATAATGGTTTTATAATAATAAAATAATGATAATAATAATAATAATAATGATAACAATAATAATAAAATAATGATGTAATAAAATAATGATTTTATTACCTTTAATCAATAATTTATTGCATTTTGAAATTAATGAAATTGGACTACAAACAATTTGGATTTTCTTCGCAAACGAAAACTTCACACCCACAATACAATACAGGTTCGACAATAATTAATTATTTAAAACTTAAAACAAGGGTAATAACGTGTCGCATCAGTAAAACGTTAGTAAAAAGAATTCCCAACGCAAATAAAATATACAGTATCTGTGCTGTTTGCATACTGATATTAATACTCAACACAGACAACACTGTATTCGAAGTACTTTTAACGCACGCACGCACCTGCATGGGATCATCTTGTTTTCTAATTTTCTAATATTTCCCATGTTCCGAACTTCCATGCTTGATCCTAAACCATGGGAGGCTTCGACAAGTTTGGATCTTCAGTGGAAAGGGTTTGACAATCAGTGAACTGACGCAAGTCGAGAGCTGGCAAAACCCACTAACCGTTGCAACAGCAAAGGCTTAACTCACACAATCACAGCGCAAAACAGCAATCTTAACCATTTCCCAGGAGCAATCGTTATAAGTTTCATATATACAAAATGCCTTCGTGATTACAACAATTCCGTAAAGCAAAACAGAGGTCTGAGAAAAATCAAGTTGGGAACTTGGGAGAAGAGCAGTTTATAATTTATTGCTATAAGTTTGCAATTTGCAGAAACAATCACTACCAGCACTAACACGCTACACTGATGTGTAATAAGTACAGTATGGTGCGTCTACACTGCAGCAACGGTAGCACCGCCTCCAAGCGCGGGAAAAGCAAACTACCCCGGCAGGCAGTTCCAAATCGTCCATCAAAATGTTTCAGTACATTGTATTGTAATAATATTTATTTAATTACTTGCTGAATAATTTTGTTGATGTAATTTTGTTAGCTTTTAACTTGGAATTTGTGTAATTATTTCGCATTTATACTTTTCGAATTAATAGTGTAATATTATATTATTAATTATTATTACGGAGCTCTAGGTACGGACCGGATATACGTGCGTAGTACGCACATTCCATACAATATACATGTACTTACATACCTGCTGCCGGTTAATTATCATGACTTGTAATTTAATAGGAATTTTGTAACGGACACCGCTAGATTTTGTTGGCTACCTGAATAAGATTACTCAAATAAAGAAGATTAATTTGTGGGCCAGAAATATGATTTTCTGGGCCAGAATATTTCAGCACTACGCTGGGCAAGTTCTTCCCACGAATCTGAACCAGATCTGGCCCACAATACGTTGGCCCGGAAATGCCATTATCCTGGAACAGAAAATGCTCCGGATAGGCCAGAGTGTTTCGTGCCCCGATCGGGCTTGATTTCGTTTCTAGAAATTGCACTGGGTAGGCAGCTGAATTTTAGTTACTGCCCCAACTTGGCTGTATAATATCGTGTAATAAAATGTTCACTGCAAGTGCACACAGTAAAAAATTTCTTTCTATAATGAATATAATATAATTTCTATATAATAATAATAATTTCTATAATAATAATAATAATTTCTATATAATAATAATAATTTCTATATATATAATAATAATTTCTATATATTTCTCTATAATATAATTTCTATATGCTGCTTTGATTACGTACATTACGCATACGTTCCATGCATCTGCATAGTCTGTACGTATAGATATTTTATGCGTCAAATCGTCACTGAATCGCTTAATGTACTTACTTACATTACGTTTGCATGTTTAAATTTACATTAATACGTACGTTTAATTTACGTTTAAATTAGGGTAAGTAATTTTACGATACAGTTATTGTTTGTAGTATATGCGTTACGTTGTGCGATCTCCTGTACAACATGAAAAAATTAATAATAATTCTAAGAAGCAAGTTTATTGTAATTTAACATCAATTAGTAGCATGACGATAATAGTAATATTAGGGGCAAAACTAAGCGTGTTCCACGGTTTCCCTGTATTGCTGCCGTCACCCGCCTGGAGTGTGACGTTACGGCAGTACATATGGTTAACTCTGGCGCGGTACATAAGCGCTATGCTTAGCCACAACGTAAAACTCCAGCCGGGTGACGGCAGCAGTACAGGGGAACCGTGAAACACGTTTAGTTGTGCCCCCTATATATCTTAATTTATCGACGATTGCGATGCAGTACTCTGTACATACGTACTGTACTGGCTGCACACGACAGTAATATATTGTTACCCGCGAGAACTGTAACCGGTTCGTTGAGCTTGCTTTAATTTCTTTCGAAACAGTTATCGGCAATTACCGTAATAACATTCGGATGATTTCAACTAGGTACGGACCACTGCGATGAGAGCATAAATTATTATCGTGGACTTACGTAGTTGCTGTCTCATGAGTTTGTACTAATATTCCGGTTAACTTTATAAGACTCTATAAATGTTCCCACGAGCGAGGCCAGCGCTTATCCATACCATCGAGACTCCCGGTTAGGATGACGTTTCGCCGAAGACGGACACGCCCACCCCGGATGCCGAGACTTAACTGCGGCCGGAGCTGATGCCCTGCTGACCAGGGGGGAGAGTGGTTGCACGTGTCAGCCACCACGGCTGCATAGTCAGCCACCAGAGCGGCTTTTGAATGGTTTCCCAACCGCCATCCGGAGGGACACAACAGATATCCCCTGCGTTGCATGAGGGATGTTGTCAGAGACCGCTCACTCGAGGCGGTAGATACCTCTTGTGGCTTGCTCTGTCGCCCGCACGCAGATGGCAACGCCACTCGTGCCGCGCTATTACGCTGATTACTCAGCGTATACTTTGTCTACGCTGACCAATCAGCGTTCCTGTTGCACTCGTGGGGCGGGGCGTAGCCCAGCGCTTACGAGCGATTGAATCGCTCGTAAGCGCTGCCTCATGCTTTGCGGCCTCAGCTGATACGCAGCTGCAGCACGCCGCTCATTATCACGATTTTCACTGAGCTCGCTGGCAGCTACTTTTTTCCATCAGCTTTTCCGCATTGGTTTTTCTGTTGGTTTTGTGGTTGCTTTATTGATACTCAATAAAGGTGATTGCTCCCTTTTCTTCCCTGCTTCGGTGTTGTTCTGACAATGTCTTTTACAAAGATGGAACCGGCATCGCTTAAGCAATTGTGCGCCCAGGCAGCTGGTTGACAGGGGCCGCAACTGGAGGGATGACAGCATTGTATGAATTAACCTTCGAAATCCATCCAATGCTGCCATGGCCCCAGCTGCGGCTCTTCTTGCTAGCTTCTTCAGCTGCCGTATATGTAAATACACACCAGTTAAGCTCAGCAATCTATCCAACCACCGAGATGATTTTCTAAAACAAGTTAATTATAAGGTTGCAAATTCAAATCACCAGACGATCGGTCTTTAAGTCAAAGAAAATCAAATTGACATGCAAGAGCTGTTGGGCATTGCTTACGGTTCACGGCAAATATCGATCGAAGTATGGATGAAATAAATACAGCAAATGCACTTTTGTTTATTAGTTCCATTATTATAGAAAGCAGTTATCTTTTCCAACCCACTGCTTAAAAAATTGTGCTAGTTTTTATAATTGATATCTTCTGAGCGATGCCCGGTACCGACATAACGTCGTACGGAATGATATTTTACTAGTCCCATCTCATGTTAACTGGGACAAATTTCTTTATTTGAGTGTTTTTTATGGCGCGAAGCTCGCCAAGGTACACAATGCGATTAAAGTAAAATACTTCACTAGTTACAACAAATTAACCGTTTAATGCGAGTAACCGTGTTTATGTCCAGCACGCTATTAAAACTGCTGTAAACTGAAAATGAGATAATAGATAGCGTCAAATAAGATGATAGATAGCGTCGAATGAGGTGAACGAATCAGATGAGGTGAGAGTTTTTCGCGAGATGAAATTTTTCTGGCCGTGGAACTGTGTGTACGTGGCAAAGCGGCCCTGGGAACATTCTGCTATGAATTCAACCATGTTTGCCAACTGCCAAGATACGTGAGCTCGCTGTACGTTAACGTCATTTAACGCTTAGGCGTTAATTTCTTTAATGTATGTTTATTATTATTGTTTAGTATTATAATATCGCGCCAGCGCGCTCTAGCGCGCTTCCAGTCGCGCCGGGTCGCCCTAGCGCGTTCACATTTCAGTTTTAGGCATGGAACTTATATTTAAAAAATTGGGATGTAGAAATCTGTGGCCCGTTTTTGGAAAATATTTCGTATAATATCATTTGAAAACGGGAAAATGGTATATTATAGAGGTATTGGCCCACTGGGCGCGGCCAGCTTTCGGGATTAAAATGTTTCGAAATTTTTTCGAAGTTTTCGAATTTTTTAATTTGTTGCGAAAGGTCGGAAATCTGAGGAATCTGAGAAATTTTAAAAGTTTCTAGAAATTTTAGAGCATTTTAGGAAACGTTTATAGAGGTAGAAATATGTCGCTAATTTGGAGAAACTTCCTGAACTATCGTCCCAAGCATTTAACTAAGCTGCTTTTAATTTTAATTTAAGTTTTGGCGTCGCTAGCCCTTCATGTATTAAGTTTTTGCGAGAATTGGGCAGACGGTTAAAAGATGCTTCGGGAGAACCGGAACGACGCTCTTACGAGTTTCTGTTACAGCGTGTTAGTATTGAAATACAGCGGTGGAATGCGCTGTCTGTGACTTCAACCGTACCGTGTTCTGATGGTTTTAACGCTGTTTACTTTGTTTTATGATGTTGATGTTTAAAATTTCCGAACGATAAGCAAACCAATAAATTCTGACAGATTTTAATTTGTCAAAAACTTTGCTGATGCTATATCTGTAGCAGTCCAGCACGACAACGTCGATCACTCAACTGTGCTTGAAAAACTGATAAAGCTTCGGCTGATGTTGTTAAATTGATTAATAGTTACTTGTCTGATAGGCTACAGTCTGTTGTTGTCAATTACCAAAGGTCGACTTGCTAACCGGCAACTATTAAGTAACCAGTTTGAAGACTTCCGGACATTGGAAAATTATAGACCTTTACACAGATAAACGAACGAGAGCCATAAGTGCCTAATGCGACATACCTGAAACAGTTTAAGAATTACAGCTTCAAAAAATAAAATCATAAGAAAGAATCGACAGTGTAACAAGGTACAGACGATGGCCAGCTTGGAGTGAAATGTGCTGTGAATTCGCGAAATGGCACTGTATGCTTCAGAGACCAAATTAACTTCGTTCTTCGAAGTGAAAAATAAGTCATCAAGTAAACAAAATTTGGCGCGGAATCTGGGAGACGCACGAAAACTTCGCTTCAAGCTTTTGCCGCAGACACGAGGACCGATCCACTTCGGACTTAAACGTGCGACAAAGCGGTCCGGCTTGACCACCACACGTGTCAGCGCACACCCAACAGTTGCAGCATCCGCACTCCCAGCATCTCCAGCACGAAAAGCCCCGCAAGACATGCAGAGAAACCGGTGTGCCGCGTGCGTGAATGGTTAGCGGCGCTGCCCAGATCGGATGCATTTCCTGATCGAATCTGTGAAGAACGGTTAAACAAATGGATGATACTCGCAGCGGGCGTTAATATTTGGTTGGCTTACTTTGGTGATCGTAATATTAGCCTCGATGTAGACGACCTCGATCCCCGGGTCCGTGGTTGTGAGATACTGAAACGTGGATTAACTGCACAACATGTACACAAAAATCAACCGAAAACTACGAATAACTGCTTATACAGAGCATACGCTACGCAGTGTAGCTGCCACGCTGCTCGTTAAGAAATTGTTATACAACGTCTTAGGTGCACGGAAAAACTTGAATGATGAAGTAATCGTGGTAATTTAATTCGCGTCAGAGCATGTAAGAATCGCTCTGCTACTCGGTGTAAAATTAAAAAGCTAGGTAACCATTCCCATGTTTTACCACGATCATAGTTCGCATAGAGTGGCGTGCCTGTTCGTCACTAACTGAGAAAATACTGCTTGTTTGTTATGTACCAACCAAATCTTACCAACGGGGTTGTTGGAGGTGGGTTAGAGGTGTCGTTGAAGTCCCTCTATAAAAACCAGCGCAGCGTTAGCATACATACTTTCGTTTAGAAAAGTGACCCGATGCATGGCCCAAATTCGTGTGCAGTCGAAAACATGTTTTTGAATTAACTAATGGCAATGTGTAGCCATAAGCCAAGTAATCTCTACTCTATACATTGGCGTGAAAACCGTATTAGCGCGCAACATTCAGCTGAAGAATAAAGGCTGTCAGAAAATTCCCATTAGTTGAAATGTAAGTAATTAGGTGCACCAACAATCTCATTATCCACCGATCTCTTTCAGTTTTATACGGAAACGCACACTGGCATGAAGATCGTTTTGCCACCGAACCACGTTTACCACGTTTCCGCCATGTTTTTGAAATTTAATATTAATTGAAAACATTATTTTAAAATTTTAAAAACATGGTAGGAATTTACGAACCTGCTTCGGTGCATAAGACGGTCTTCAGACTAATGTGCGCTTTTAAGCAAAATTTGAAGATCGGTTGATAACGAGGCTTTTGGTACACCTCCGCGCGTTTAAGCCTCTGGAATCTCAGCGAGACTGCGCGTGCAAAAACGGTTTCCACGCCAATTTATACGAGTACAAATCATTTGGCTACACAGTGCCATAAATCAATGCAAAAAAATGTGCGTGAGTGCGCGAAAGCGGACGTTTGCACGCATGTACCGGTGACTTCCTTTAAAACTTATACCGGGTCCGGCTTACCGTCACCGGAATGGCGGGTGTGGTGCCGCCGTCGATGAGGGCGGTGTTATTATAACATTTATTGATGAAGTCCTGAAAGGCGATGTTGTTGCACAGATCCCCGAGACAATACTGCGCCGTCCACACGTTATAAAAGGGAGCGGTACCGCCTACAACAGAAACGCAGCCTAAGACTGCTTGAAATGCCGATCCTGAAATGCCGGTTTTATACATCGAAGAGCCATTGCGTTCTTGGGCACTTACCGCCGGCAACCGGCACAGTCGTCGTGCCGTTAACATTCAGGCAGTCGTCGGGTTCGCCGCCGGGATACGCACAACCCCGCCCCAGGGTGTAGTACTTCTTCTGGGTCTGGATATCGCGCTGCTCCCGTATCCAGGTGGCACAGTAGCCCTTCTGCTTGGTGTAGATCTTGACGACACCGGGGATACTCATGGGCATATCGGAGCAGTCCTCCCGCTCGGCCGGTCCCAGTAGTATGGGATTAAACCAGCAGTTCTTCTCCTGGTTACCGTCTGGATCGACATAATCCTGGCAACGGTAGCACGTCATGGCTTGGATGTAGGGCACTGTAGAAGTCACCTGTTAAGCGTTTCCTAAAACTGGAGTTACCATATACGGCCATTTTGCTTGGCTACGAAGACCTTGACTACGTTTCAAACTCAAAGACAGACTATAATATCACAGTGTAGCGTAGAATAGTTGCAAGCTTTGGTTTTCAAAAATCCGGTTGTGACGTTTATCTCATACAGTGTGGGAAGGGGCAAAAAACAGCATATGCTTCGCTTTAACCCATATTGCGCATACGAGCGATTCTTTACTTAAACCCAGTGCTGTCGCACTGAACGGTTTCCTGTTTGCGCGCGTGTAGCCGGCAGAAAGGTGGATGCGATTTCTCTGAATATCCACCATCCACCCGTCCACATTTCTGCTGGCTACACGCGCTGTTTACTGACTTGATTTGAAATCACTTAACTGAGGACCGAACTGGTCAGTTTAAGATTTTCTTCCTTCGTTCTACATTGTACAAGCGACCGGTACTCCAGTAAACGCGGGTAACTTACAACAGGAAAGCGCAGTCAGTAGAACTGCCGCCACGCGAACCGTCCTGGAAATCGATGCAGGAACTTCATATGCTGCACTTAGTGCGAACATCAAAATCCCGGGCAGAATCCCATGCAATGATTCGCTAGCTCTTCCCGCTCCACCAGTAGTGCCATTCCCCTGTTTGGATGCATTACGATAATCATACAGTGCTTCAACGTTTTTTTTGTGTCGGACACTTGTGCATTAGGACTACGCGTGCCGGACACCAGAGACGCCATATTCTCTGCGTTCTTCCACATTAGAAAATATAACCGTATTTTACCCCGGGGTTATTAAATTAGTATCCCGGGGTTATTGAGTTTTCGTAAGGCCTTTGGGAGGAGACAGTAGTGATGGGCAATGTTTTATTAATCTAGCGTACAAGATGCAGTGCTTAAAACACTAACTTATGCAGTGCATAAAACATGCATTTTTATGCAGGCATTTTTATGCAGTGCATAAAACACTAATTTTTACGTAATCAATTTTGCAAAGCTTTTTTCATGTGGAACAAGGCCGAGAATACGGCGTCTGTGATGTCCGGTACGCGATTCGGTGTTGTGAAAATGTCGCGAATGCGAAGATTTTGAAAGCCTATCCATACCGTGTCATTTGCAGACACACGGACAATTATTTACGTACCTCCAGCGCGCGTAGTTCCTACAACAAGAAAAAGTGTTTTGCGGTCACTGACATTACGACATTCGAAGCAGCGATTGGTCCGAAGCGGTGTGTTACTTACGGCTTTAGTGAAGCACTGATTGGCTAGATCATCCATTGTGATGGTATTACAATTGCTCGTCGCGCAGAAGGCATACCTGGCGACGACGGTGTCATTTTTGTCGTTCTTCCAGACTTCTTCAAAACACGGCTTGATCGTGGAGGTCCCGAAATAGCCTGCGTTGCGTCCGAATGTTTTCCTATTAATCCCGTTGGTCATGCGGATCTGGGTGAGATACGAGTAGCAGAAGGGCTGCAGCGGCAGCACCAAGCCCGTGCGGTTAGGACCCGCCCAGGCCATGGGCCCGGTAAAGAGGAAGGGATTCACAAGGAAGGCGCCCTGGGGAACCGTGTCGCAGTTCTTCTGCTGGGTGACGTTGCATCTGTAGCAGGTAATGGCGGGGTATGTTGACGACTGGTTCCTGGCATAGCAGCCTGTAAAGGGTCAAGGGTCTACAGCGCGCACTAACAGCGTCGTTGTCGTTTCCACTCTACCAGCTTATACTGTTCTATAGCGCACCATATAAGGTAAGGAAATGATCTTGTCTGGAAATTCTCCGCCACGCGATTTCTTATCAAACCAAATGTATTTCCCGTTCTCAAACAATTTACATGGAAATACGTGCACAACCGTATTTTTACATCATGCTAGGTTCTCGGTTCTTTAAGAGCGTTCAGTGATCTACTCATACCTCCAAACAGCACTTGCATAAGCAGCACTATCCCGAAACTTCTTGATTTATCCATGGTGTTAAAACGGAGAACGACGTGCACACGCACTAATTGATAAATTTCCGTACTTTGCGCAATGAAATCACCGACCAGTTCCAGAATAACGAATAATTTTCGACTGGAGATTTCGCAATGCGAATAATCTTTCAAAAACAATCAACTATGCCTTGTTACACTGCTTTTTAAGCATGAAAGGTCCATTTTTCCGCCAAAGCTTAAACGATGTATAGAACAGTGCGTGTATGATTCAAGCTTTGAACTGCCAGAATAATGATTATTTTATTGAAATAAGTACGAATACGGTTGGTGCTCTTAATGAATACTACTAGAAAAATGAACGTTGGCGTGATTGGCAGACCGGAGCGCAGCAGCTTTTCCCTTGTTCGAGTAATAAATAATTTTTAACGCCCTACCAGCACTAGCAGCTCTCTTAAAAGGTAACAGATTTATTAATTTCGAATTTTGTAAGTTAGCAACAAAAGCAGCCAGCAACACTTTCGTAATGACCTTTCGTAACTACCCTTCGTACGGGCAGAAATCAACGAAAGCATTAGTCTTGAATATATATTGTGACAGCTGGCGAACAAAGGCTCACGATAGTGAGAAGAGGCTTTATTGTGATAGCAATAAAGTACAGAAAACCCAAACACAAAGGCTCGATGCGAGCTGGAACATGAAAATCACCGAATGTCAGCTAGTGAATGAAAATCAACGGCACGTCGAGCCATAACATGGGAAAAAGCCTAATGCGGCACTGGGCAGATCCAACACGAGCGAACGAACGCTGATAGGCCGAGATGAGGAAAGGAGGCGTGGCTCCGCCTACATCGAGGCCGGTGATTGGCCGAGACGTGAGGCTGGGCGGAAAGCTGCCTGAGTCGAGGCCGATCTAGCGCTCGACAGCGAGTGCGACTCGGTGTGAGTCAGCACACCGGAAGCGGGACTGTCGCTGGCTGCCTACTCGTAGGCTGCCATAGCGACTGGCCCAACATGCCTCTGGGCGGGAGTCCGAGCCCCTGCGAAGGACCGGCCTCGTACCGCTCCAGTGCCCGCTCCGCACACGACCCTATTGGGGTCGGTGGCTGCGCCTCGGGGGTGTCCGATGACGAAGGTATCTCGGTGCCGCGTTCTCCTCCGGACCCGTGGTGGCGATACAACTCACGGCCGAAATCCGAAGGTCGGTCTGTGGTATTGTTGGACCGGTGTAGGCATCTGTTGGTCGTGTCCGTAACGGCAAAAAAGTAAAAAAATAAAGTATTATTCCATTTCTCTCTCTCTCTAGTAAAAATAACATCACAATTCCTGGTGAGCAGGTTAGTGAAAAGATCAATAAAATTGAGAACATCATTTCGAGATTAGAAAAGTAAACTCAAAGTCTTTGGTCCGGGGCTTTGGTCCGGGTGCTTATTCCGACTAGAGCTGATCCGCTCACGGGGGCTCCAGTCCACAGGATATCCGGCCATCTAGGTCCGAGGCATCGGTTCTCGGGATACCAAGTGGTACCGGTTCATTTCACCGAGGGTCTGGGGTTCGACCCTCGAGGGTCAAAGGTTCGACCCTATCAACTTCGGGTTCCATCTATGGGATACGTCTCTATTGGAGACGTCGTCATGTCCGTTCGACCGGTTTTGCGGTTAGCCTAACCCTATTGGGGTCCAGCTACCGGTCTCTTTCATTCCAAGTCCACGTTGACCGGGGCTCCACCACCAAAGTGGGAACCTTCCGAGTCATCATCCTTATCCCGTTCCCGTCGGCTTGGGTGGTTCGAGGATGTAGCCTCCTGGGTACAGGTTGACTGCGATTCCGAGGCTTCCTGTCCGGGCTTTTCAGCTTTGGTTCGGCGGGCTTCGCGTCTTCGGCGGTTCCTGCCCGAGGATGATGAACCTGGCCACATGTTATACCGGTAGGATGACTTGCCCTCGGGCATCGGTGGTGATGTGAACCCGGGCGGCAAGTGGCGATGGGTCCGGCACCATTCCGAGAGGGTCGAGGCTTCATCGACATCCTTTTCCTCATCCGGATGGTACTGGTATTCCTTGTACCATCGCTCCGCCGTCATCAAGAAGTCACGCAGCCATAATCCTACCACTGTGTCTCGCATCGGCGCGGGGGCTGCGAGGGTGCATTGTCCATTTGCTGAAGTGAGCCACCTTCTTGTGGGGCCACCAGCTGCTGTTCTACCTGGCTCCGCTGAATTGCCGGCAGAGCCTCCGTTTGCTGGGGGTCAAGGATTTGGGCCATATATTGTCGGCCGTCAGGTCCGGTGAGTGTTACCGTCAGCCCGGTAAGTGGGGCGGGGCCGACCTGGAACGCGTCTTGAAGGCTGGACGTTTTTAGGGTCCGGTCCGGATTCAGCGCGTCCATATTAAGAGGTGCCGAGGGCTCATCCGGGAACCTTTTGGGTTCCGCCATGAGCCTGGCCTGTAAATCGCCGGCTACGCCTAAGATGGGATTCTTGTTCTCCTTCGGGCGTGTCCGTTTTTCGTGCTCACGCTGGGCTTTAGCGATCCGTCGGTCGGCTGCCTCTATTTCTCGGCGGTCATCCTCGCGCTCCTGCTCCCGTCGTTGTTCACGGGCATGGACCAATCGGGCGTTGTCCGGGACTGCTGGGGTGTTATCCCAGCCGGGCTCGTGGGTACGTCTGCGGTAGCGCTGCATGTCCCACATGTAGAGCAGTTGTCGACCGTCTAACTCGTCAAGGATGCGGCTGTTATGGACGGCGTGCATGTAGGCACTCAAGTTCCCGGTGACGACCTGGACGTACAGGGCATTGGCCTGGTCCCGTCGTGTAACTCTGTGATCCCCGGCTTGTCTGTCCAAGTGCCGTAACAGGCATTCTGCGCAGGGTTGGCGTGTTCGAGGAGAGTTGTTATTGGCCTTGCACGCCTGGCAATCCGGGTCGTAGGCTTCCGTTCGGGGCTGGGAAGGCTATGGTCAAAACACTTAACTTAATATTGTTAAGTTATTTTTGTTTTTAAACCTTTTGGGTCATTACGTAAACCTATTGGGTTAAACGTTCTATGGTTAGATGTAAGCTTAAACGGCCGGGTACGGTCAGGTCTTGTCCGATCCTTTCCCTTCTCGCCTATTGGGCAAGAGAAACGTCCCCGTTACGGAGGTTATAGGTCTCGCCTATTGGGCAAGGAACCTCCGATGATGTACTTCCGTTTAGCTCTTTTTCTTCGGCAGGTCAGCCGGGTTAGTTGACTTGGCCCGTGCCAACCGCTTCTGGGCTTCCGTTTCGGCCGAAGTAGGAGCCTTCGCCGGGCTCGCCGAGCTTGCCCGCGTCTTAGGCAGGTGCTGTCCGAAGTCTTCAGGTAGGTAGAAGACGGAGAACCGCTGCCCATGGGTCTTGTACACCTCACTCGATCCGAGGACTTTCTGTCGGCAGGCTTGCTCGAGGACATACTCCAGCTCATCGGCCAGGTAGTACAGATTGGTTTCCTTTCTTCGGACCGGTCGGTACCGTGCATCTTCCAATTGAGGGTAAGCAGACATCAGTATGAACTCGAACCGACCTATTAGGTGGTTCAAAATCTCCCGGCGAGTTAATCCTTCCGGGTGTCGATCTGTCCGCAGGCAGGCGATCACTGCGTCCCGCCATCCGAGGTAAGTCTTCGGCGCTGGGTCTTGTTCTTCCCTCTGAAAGACGTAGTACGGTCGTTCCGTTTTGGTATATACCCGAAGGATGGCACCAGTCTCGTATGCCATCCGACAGTAGATCTTCACTCTGTCGAGGCTAAGGTCGAACCAGCTTCCGTCCTTGTCGACGCGCCAATGCTTCAGCAGCTGGTAAGCCAACTCCGGGGTTGCGTAGGTGGGGCCCGACCAAGACAACGCCTTGAGTGCAGCGTGAACATGCACCCATCCAGGGTCGGTGTCGGAGATCCGAGGCTTCGGCTTAGATGCCCGCATGGTTGCCGGCTGTTTTGGCCGAGGAAGCCGAATATTAGGCTTCGATGGGATCTCCCGAGGCAGGACTTGCGCTGTATCCTCATGCCACTTCATAAGTAGCTGGTCGGCCGGAGGGCTCGGGGTCCTTTGGTCAAAGAGGCCCGAGGCTTGTTGTCCGGATGGGACCGTCGATCCCGCATCTTCCATCGGATCGTCCGGGTCATCTGCCGGAGGTTGTTCCCGATTGTCAGGCTCATCCTCCGGTTCTGGATGTTCGGGTGCCGCTGTTGGCGGCTGCCCTTTGCCATCTTCGTTATCGTCGTCGTCGCCATCCGAGTCGTCAGATTTGTCAGAGTCTTGGTCTGACTTGGCGTCCTTGTCATCATCATCCTCCGAAGAGGGTTCTTCTTCCTCCTCGAGGGACTGAGCATTCCGCGAAGTCCTACCCCTGTTCTTGCGCTTCTTAGTCAAAGACTGGCCCCTTGTTGAGGTTCCAGCCTGCGAAGACGACAAGTCCATGGGTGACGGGGGTTGGGATCCCGGAGGGGCTGAATGTGTGTCCTTGACAAATTTACCCCTTCTGTCTCGGGCCGATTGCTTAATGGGTTTACTGCCGGAGTCTTGGTCGGCTGAGGCGGACCTTTGCAAGCCGCCCGGGTCTCTTGGTCGTTCTGGAGGAAATCTGCTACCTGAGGAGGCTGCCGTTGATCTGGCCAGCTCCAACCATACTTTGGCTTGGGGTGCAGGGTCTTCCTCTGGTCTGATCTGGACCTCAGCTCCTTCCGGGCTATACTTCTTTGTGTGGAGGTACGACATCCGAAGCTTCTGTTCTCTCCGGTTCTTTTCGGGGATGAAGTTCGGTACGGTATACCGAAGGTGAACTCTGCGCTGCGCGTTAGTGGTCTGCAGCTCCCTTCATAGCACCATCTTCTCGAGGGTAGGGTTTGCTTCCCTCATGATATCCTCGATCTCGGCCTCACCTTTAGGTTTATCGCCGTAGGTGTACATCTTGTTGAGGAACCGTGCAATCTGGAGGCGAGTGGTACCTCTTGGGTTCCGGTAATAGCCAATGGCTCTGACTATCCGCTGTTCCGGTGTTTCCATCTGGCTTAACTTAGCCGGTGGTTTCGGGAGTACCAGTTCGCCCATTCGGTCCCAGGATCGATGGAGTATAAAGGCCATACATTCATCCTGGATCCAGCTGACTATCTTCCGCATGAATTGTGCGGTAAGGAAATGGCCTCGCTCTACCCGGTATTCTTCGGTGAGCTTCTCTACTAGGGCCTGGTAGACGTCTCTGCGTTCCGCGTCAGCTGTGGTAATGATCCGCCGGACGTCTTCTTTAAAGATCGCCTTGGAGAAGGTCGGTTCTGGTTCCCCAGGCTGTCTGTCCGGTAGCCTGTTGCGGATGTTATCCGGGGCTGGGAGATCAGACTCGTCGGTGTCAGCATGGTAGTCCCACATCTCTTCATGGGGACCCTCGGCCAGATGTTTGGCCGAGCTTGGTTCCAGCTGGTCCGATTCGTTAAGCTTCCGCTTGACTGGGGTATCCTCCATTTCAATCTCCGGGGATGCCGAGCGTTCTAAATCCCGGTCTCTTTGCTGGATGTT